AATGACATAACCCTTAATTTGTCTTATACTATATCAGTTTCTTGGCTTGAATTTATTGATTTCAATATCTCTTTCTATTCTCTTATTTAGTAACATACCCTTAATCATTGTAGCTATCAGACGTGTATGGAAGTTTATCACTGACACACAGCCAGTATATGAACTAGGAAAAATTTACCGCTTCTTTCTTTGATACCGATATTTCATCAATGTCAGAAACAGCATTTTCACACATGAAATACAAATTCTTTAGACAAACGCAAATCGGAAGAATTTTAGAGAATTATAAATTTATATCTTGAAATAGCTCATCTATGTCAGAAACATCATTTAGGTGGATCCATAAATTGGCTGTTAGTCTTTTATCCCCCAGAATATAAATTATTTTTAAATTCTCACACACCAAATAAAAATTTCTCGGAACTACTAATGCCTTTACTCGCAAGCGAATTATTGAAATAAAATTGTACCTTGTGTTAGTCACTCGAACATACAGATAAAATATTCAATAAGCTCAAATTAAAGATGTACTATGTGTAAGAGCTAAATCTGCCTATTACAACGAATTATTTAAAACTAGTCAAAGTACAGAAATAATGCAGAAAGTATTATTACTTAAACATTTATTTACATGGCAAGCCTATAATCAACTCTCTAGACCATTGGATGGCAGAGATTTAGATGGTTTAAAATGCTTGCAGGATTTGAAAATTTATGTCAAGTACATTCATATCTTGGCTCTGAATAAGTAGAGAATCTCCTACAAGTCTTTTTTGATATTTTTTTACATCAAAAAAGACGAGTAACAGATTTTATTTATCACCCAATCCTTTCTTACAAGCACAAATAAATAAATATAATTCTTTGCTATAGATTTCACTTTTACTGAACCTGATTACATTACGGTGTAGTGATACCTCATTTTTTGACAGCAATTCAACCATTGCAAAGTCCTTTATATTGGCTCAGTGTTTCCATCAAGGTCAATTAAATAAAAATAGTCCATTTTTAATAAAAAAAAAAAGAAGTTACTTTTAATAAAAAATAAACTGTTCTTTAAAAATAAAAAAAAAGTAGTTCCTTTGTAGAATGTATTATTGGGTGATAAAGTAATTTGAATGAAATTTTCATATATATATTCATTTTTGATTGTCTAATTTAAAGGAGCTGAAGCGCATTATGGTACACGATTCGTGTACCAATGGTAAAATGTTTATTTTGTCTTAAATATTGGATATCAAAAGCCCATCTTTTTCCGGTAAGATCACAACATGAATGTTGATTTAATTTGACAAATAAATCGTGTTTTCAATGTTGAAGATTTTGGATGATATTGAGTTAGAGACTTAGCTACTTTAAACTATTATAGCAAGAATGACCAGCTCTTTTTCTAAATCTTTCATAATGCATCTTTAAAACTGTGACTTGTTTAGTTCAGGGTGAGCACAAGCAATTAATGATAGAAATTGAGTGATTATAAATTAGCTAACATAATACTAATACTAATAATAGTCTTTTATAGTCCAAATTTGGCATAATGGATGTGTACGGCTAGCTCCTTGATCTATTCGCTTGATTTAATGTACTCTATTATGAAATGAAATAACAAATTTGATGTGTTCTGTCTTGATGAAATGGTTTGGTGTGTGGTGCACTTACTGTTAAATACATAGAATATGGAATTTTGATGTGCTCTGGTCGTGATGAAATGGGTTTGACCCCCCAGTAAACCTTTACTTGTTATAAGTCCCTTGTCATTTGTTGGAGACGATACAGATATACATTCTAAAATAATTACAAGGTGTCTACATTATCCAGATCCTGATGTTTGTAGCACTGAGACAAGCTGGTTTTATATTGTATTATTAGTATTAAATCAGACATAGTGTGTAAGGGGTTAAGCTAAGTCTACTTCTGAATGAATTCAGTTTTAGAAATCTGTCTGAGATCAAAGCAAAACACTTTTAATTAAATTTGACAAATCTTGTGTATTATAGATAGGCAATTGAAATTTTGCAATACATAGATGCAGATCATTAGATAACATCACAAAACTTTGGTGTTCTGAGTTTTCTGATTAAGCTAAACAGAGATATAAGCAATATCATTAGTCGAAACTTATACATGTACTAAAGAACTCTCCTTCAAATTGAGGTACAATGCTCAAATTTGATTTAGATGTTCACTTAGTAGTGAGTATTCTTTATCTGTCTATCACACTTTTTGGAAAACATTGAGGTAAAATGTTGGAACTTGGTGTAAATGTTCATTATATGGATGTTTTGACTGAATAGTTTCATCGATCAAGACTTTAATGATGATTAACAGAGAAATGAAATGGGGTTTAACATCTTACTTGATTAACAGAGATAAATAATGTGATTGGTCGAGACCGAGTTCGATTAATGAAAATTTTCTGCATAAGCAGAGTGATAAACAATTTGATTACTTGGTGCTTAATAAAAAGAGAAATGTTTTAAGAGTTTCGTTTATTTATTTTGGCATTGTAATGGTTGCTGAAACAAGAGGGAGTAAAAAATTTCGGACATTTTACCTGATTAGTGTAATACTATTATGGTCTCTGCGACCATATTGTAGGCTATCTTTAACTAATTATTGGATTCACATATAGTATAGAAGTCATATATTACGCACTCAGATTAATGAGTGATAGATTTATATATAAAAAGAGTGATAATTTGGTAAAAACACTGGTTATATCCTTTCCATTGTCAAAATATCCATCAAATACTGTCTTGTTTATAAATGTGTTTGATAGACCAAATAAGTAATGTTCTCCTCCCGGTCTTCGGTGTATGGAGGATGTTTATTCCATGTTTGGAAAGGAAATTAGCACCAAGGTCAGTCTGTGAGGTAAAGAAATTAGGGGGTTATAAAAGAGGGTGTTGAGTGAAATTCATTAGGGCTCACCCAGTCTGTCAAAGCAGCCATCAAAAGCTATATACACTTTATTAAGAACCAGGAACATTTGTATCTAACTGCTTAAATAATAAAGTTGTATAAACGAGTTAACCTGTAGTTGGTAATTTTGACCACAGAGAAAACACAACAAAGAAGTCCAGTAGTACTACATTAGCAAACAAAATTTTACAAAAGTGACTTAGATGGAATTGATATGAATTCTAAAGAATTCAAGCATTGTTGATTGATGAAAATGGTGTATTATATATAGGATAGACAGTAATATGTAATATTATGGGGTCCATGATTATAGATAGATCTAATAGTCTTGAACCAAACCTGACAGTGGTTGACAAACTCCTATAAAAACAACTAGGTCAAAGCTCCTCTTAATAGCGACTAATGAATATTTGATTTGATTGTTTCTGGAGAAATACCCCAGGGTAATGACTGTAACACTTATACAGTACAAGTCATTATTTGTCTTAAATTCTATTTTATTTTCAACACAGATCATGTAGAACATTTTAAGATATTTAATATTTCCCATGACATTTTACATTGGCAAAAAGTATTATAGATTCCCATTTGAAAAGGGAAAGAACAACACAGCAAACATTTATCTTTTTTAAAGAGACAGTGGAAGGATATTTGTTTAATGATTTCAACAATCAACCTTATTTATTACAGTATAACATATACTTGTGAACAAGAGCTACTAATATATTTGGGTGACGTTTATGTCATAGCAATAGATAATGCAATCATTATGACACATATCGCAGCATGTGATTTATAATTTGCTTGTCAGTTACTTGTAGCATAATGCCATAAACACTGATATTCACGACAACTTCACGCAGGACTATCTATCGCAAAAGAAGATTTCTGAGAGCAACTCAACAATTGTGCAAAAATATCTTATTCCATATATCTGTGATACATAATGGCAGTGTTTGCATGAACTCATGCATGGCTATATTTGGTACGACTGTTGAACCAATTGCCATGGCTTCCTTGTGGAAAAGCCAATCGAGAGTAAAAGAGGGAATTGCTTGATGCCTCTTCTCCAAATCTTGGTCTGTCACTTTATTATTAGACCTTTCAATTTAAATTATTGTTTTGACAAATTGATTTGTGATGTATCAGATTTGCTGTATTGAGTACTAAGTGGATCATCCTGAACAAATAGTTCATTGTAACTTCATCCGGTGTCGAGCAGTGCAGCAATTTAATTATCAATAATTGAATAAGAAGCTGTTTAAAATATGTTTGATCAGTAGAGCGAAGCAAGCACCTATTTTGGTATTTGTTTTGCTAGAGAGTTTAATATCAATAGCAACAAGTTTAAAGGTACAATTCTGCTTTTTGCTTCTGACACTTTCAGAATTTTTGGGTATTATGTAACTGTATGTACTGAGTCAACATGTACTTAGTATTATAATTTTATGTACTGAGTCAACATATTTATACCCCAAGAAGGTGTTTTATGTTGACTATATATTGTCCTTTGGTCTGTCGTCACAAATTTTCTTCAATTCTCGGGCTTTTGTAAATGCATCATTGTTTTGGGGATTTTAGTAAGGGTACAAGGAAGAACCTTATTGATTTTGAAAATTTTGTAATCATAAATTTTGAACCTTTTTGCAAAGTTATCTTTCCAGTGATATATTTCAGAACTGAATATTTCAATCTTAGATTTTGAAGTTATCAATCCTGCTTTTATTTTCAGATGAGCTATTGTTAAGAGTTCTCAACAAATCACAGAGTTGTTCCCCTTTTTATTTCAAAATTTACCAAAAATTCTTGTGTATGTGATGTAGAACTCAAAATTGTTTGTTAGGATATAAGGCAGAACCCCTTTGATTTACACGATTGTCAGATACAAAACTGTGTTTGAGCTTTGCTGGGTTCTCATTCGATCACCATTATGCTGTTGAATCTTGGGCCAGAATTAAATATGGGTTTTACTGCTAGTGGTAGTATTAGGGGTCTGTGAAAAGTTCCTGTCTGTGGTTTTCGCCCTATTAAATTGGGAGTGATAAGTATTAATCTTTTATCTGTGGGATATTTTTCAGATGGAGACACTTATTCAAGAGATGCAGAACCCAAAAACTGGAGTTTCTGTGAAATGTCAAAAATCATTTCTCTACACTATTCCATCTGTTTTTACTGGTGAGTAGAATGTTTTAAGATTTAACTTAATATAAAAAAAACTTATAAAAAGACCACCCCAAATGGTGCAGGAAATAACAGCACAAACAAAAACGGTTAAATTCAGTATGAGTATGTTTTAATTTGACTGTCTTCAATCATTCTGCCACCAGTACTGGGCTTGCAGGTTCAGTTTATGTTAAGGTCTGATGTTGAAAACAATAAAGTCATGTGACAAATAAATTGTTTTAATCAATTTTTAGCCATAGCACAAATAATGCACATAGAAAACTGACACTTTTAAAAAATGTGAATCACTCCCCTGAACACTCTTGGGGGAGCTGTTGATGTAGAACGATTTTGATTGTGATCAAATTTAGGAGAACTTTTTTTTGATCCTCTACCATTTTAAAACCTGCACGACTGGTGAAGGCTATCTTATTTTTCATTAATGAATGTTCAGCTATGGTACGAAACCCAGATTCTCCATGTAACTAAACAAAAAAGTTAGCAATCCAATATTTACTAGAATTCCAGACTTTAGAGCTTGCCTCTTCATTGTTTTTAAGAGATAGCAACATATTTTTATTGCGAGTAGGCAGTACAACTGTGGTATATTCTGTGTGAATGAAATAACTTGCCGAAAAATACTTTTAGATTTTGAAAGTACATGTATTGATTTACTAAATAATTCATAAACCAGCAAGTGAGCTAAGAGAGATGTTGGCCGTTGGAGAGAACCTTAAGGTGAAAGAAGTTAGTTGGATTGGCTAACCTTCACAACTTTATTTTGAGCAGACAAATTTAGATTTCAAAAATAAATCAGCTAACTGTCGGGTAATACTGACTATCAGTAATTTGTTGTTAATATATGCAGACATTATTGATCTGGCAGACAACTATTTTGGGTATTAATTAATTTTAACCGTTTGTGATGACATGAATTACATGAATATTTCATTTACACAATCGTATAATATATTGAATTAGATGATATGATTATGAATGCCTTAATGTTTTCTCCAGATATAATACTTATTTAGTACAGCTTCACAAATAAATTATGTTTACCATTGTATGCAGGGAGAGGTTTTTTCAGAGGCTAAACCTGTTCCCCAAACCCATTCAGAAATGAAATAAAATGAAATGGGGTTTAACGTCCTACTGTTCTCCTCTGAATTGGGTTAATGAAGATGGGCATACGCCATACAGTGTGCTATGAGGGAAATTTTGCCCAGACAGCGGCACTACGGCCAACTCTTATATTGAATTCTGTCAAGGGATCTTTTACATGGATGCCAATGTGTACACAGGACCTCGGTTTTTCGTCCCATCCAAAAGACTAGACAGCTGTCCTTGTCAGGCCCTCTGTCCTGCATTACTGACAAGGGAAAACCACGCCAGAAAATCTGGATGAACTTTCTCAGAAAGGCCAATGCAGGGATCGACCACCCGACCTCCAGGCAATCCCATTCAGATATCCTGAATAAAAATATAAAGATACCTGAATAAGGTATGCAATAACATGCAGAGACTGATTCCTGAACAACTGATACCAACTAACACTTCCCTGAGATATAAAAATACCCAAATCAACTAGTTGTAGCATCAGGCAAAATAACACAGAATAGACTAGACTGATGCCTGAACAATTGATATTAACCAACACCATGCTGAGAGTCTTGAGATATAAAAATACCCACATCAGTGTAGTATCAGGCAATAACACACAAAATAGACTGTATAGATAAATGGAAAATTTAAAATGATGACTGACTCGACTCTGAAGTATACAAATACTAAATATCAGGCAATAACACATAGACTCAATAGACTGATAGAAAAATTGAAAACTTAAAATGATGACTGATTTTCTGGTAAATTATTTTATTGAAATGCTTTCAACATAAGCTTACATAGAAACCAAAATGGCCTGAAAAAGTTAGGTAAAGTAGACCATGTCAGGATTACGATCATTTTAGTTTCCCATCCCCAGTGTATGCATGATTACTTTGTAGCTTTATAGAGAAAGATCAATTTTACAGAGTTCAAGAACAGTGTTACAGGGTCAAAAAAAACATTGTAACATTAGCAGACATTAATAACACAAATCAATTTTACATTGTTTATTCAAACCGCTTTCTAAATCTTCTTGGCAAATTTTTGTTGAAGAAGCGTAGAGTAGATGGCTAAGATGGAATATAGATAAAGAAAAGAGAAACCCTTGTCTCAAGAACAAAATTATTGTAAATAGACTTTGTAATGGATTCCAGATAAATCTATCACAAGATTCCATTCCTATCAATAGTTAAATACATATTCCGCTAAAATTATCCGTCAACTTGTTTTTCTTCAAATTAATAATCACAATCTGTGATTGGTTTGTCCGTGAATGGAATCAAATGTCCCAGTCTGGAGGCAAAGTCACCTAGACCTTGAAATCAAACACTTGGGAATAATCAATCATTTTTTGTAAAGTTCTTATAATACCAACTGTCAAAATGTTTAGAAAACAGTTGACATAATAAAAAACGATTCTGATCTTTAAGCAAATATGCTTTGTAGTTTTAATAAGATTTATTTTAGTGTCCATACTTATACCTATCTATCTTTTCCAGTTTGGGGGAGCTACAGTAACTCAATGAGTAAAGCTAAATGTTGCAAAATTTTCAATTAATCATTTTTTTTTGTAATTTGCAAGGGATTTTAAGTCCCTCAGATAACAATTTGGGTCTTGGTGACATTATATTTCTGGTTGTATGCAGGGCTGCCGACAACCAGTATCGCAGCGCAATTTGCGATACATATTTTGTCCGTTGCTAATCAAAAATTAAAATCTAACGTTTTTGATTCGCAGTAACTGCGAATCATTAACATGCCTGTCATTTTGGATATTGACACAAAGATTAATCCACATTTCTCAATGCTTTCAACGTATATAAAATATCAAATAAATTTTATAAACAAAACGGAATTCTCCGTGTGACATTTTCTTCTCGAACTACCCAGACTCAATTCATTATACTATAACTCTATGAATCAGGACTATTAAACCGGAAATAGGGAATTAAGTAGTACCACTCACGTTGCGAGTAATTATATCAGTATTCAATTTGAAAGAAATTAAATTCAATGTATCCCCCACGTATTGTAAATAAAATATAAAAAATAAATATGTGTAAACGTATTGTAAAATGAGAAATCAAAGTAAGAATTCCCGTAAACTATTATTGTTTATATCGCGTACGTCTAGTTAATCGAGATTATTCGTAAAATACCGCATGCTTACGATTGAACAAAAATAATAGAGAGAGAGAGAGAAATGGTGTTTAACGTCCACTCGACACAAACTAGGTCATTTCGGGACTAACATATGGTTTAATTTTATTTCAATAATTCGCTTGCGCGTAGGGGTCTTTAGCAGTGGGAGGAAACCGGAGGACCCGGAGAAAACCCACGAGGTTGGACAGGCGACCCTACTCCTTGTCACGTACAGCCGGGGATTCGAAACCACGCCAGTCGACTCAATGACAGACTTTATGATACAGCGCGCGCACGCTAACCATTCAGCCATCCAACCCCCCACAAAAATAATAACACACGATAAAAAGCAGACGAAATTGTTTTCTAACGAAGAAATAAGAAGTCACTGCCCAGACATAAGGCCTAACCAAAAGTCTACACTCATTCGGAAATGTTCACAGCTACCTGTAGAAGTGCTAAAATTCTAAAAAAATCTTAAGAATGAAATCTAACCATTTGTTATCAATTAAAATTAAAATAATCTTGTTATTTAGGTGTTTTATGTTGAAACTGAAAAACTGCTAATCAATTTTTAAATTTGCTAATCAAATTTGGCAAAATTGGACTTTTTGATTAGCAGTGCTGCTAATCATCTGTGAAAAATTACCGACAGCCCTGGTTGTATGAATTTATATACCGGTAGTTTAAAGTAGCAAAGTCCATAACTCAATATCATCCAAAATCTTCAACATTGAAAACACGATTTATTTGTCAAATTAAATCAACATTCATGTTGTGATCTTACCAGAAAAAGATGGGCTTTTGATATCCAATATTTAGGACAAAATAAACATTTTACCATTGGTACACGAATCGTGTACCATAATGCGCTTCAGCCCCAGTTGTATCAAGATACTCGAGGGACGAGGCTAGACACATTGCACCAAATCAAACGGCGTATGTAGACTGGAATAACCAGACGCTAGAAATTTTCACTCGCTTGAGACTGCTGGCTTATTTCGCCGAACATAACTGATTTGAAATTGGAGTAAAAACGGAAACCATTGAATGTAAATCAGTTTATATACATTCATATTACAGTATTATATGCGTTGCGACCCACTTTTGTCAATTTCTAGGTCCCAAATTTTAGCGATTTAGCTCCTTTAAGATTGAATAACAATAACATAAACTTGCATTTTTAATTTACTGGAAGGGAAAAAGTAATAAACAAATTTGTAAAAGAAACTACCGTAACCGGTAATAATAATTCTGTTGTGGAATTTGAAAATACATACTGTTGTTATCCATGCCAGACATTTGACAATATTGGTTTCAATTATTAGGCTATACAAAAAAGAAAATCTGCTTCTCAGACAATCCTTCCCCAAAATATGATGCAATAATGCGCTTCAGCCCCAGTTGTATCAAGATACTCGAGGGACGAGGCTAGACACATTCATATTACAGTATTATATGCGTTGCGACCCACTTTTTTCAATTTCTAGGTCCCAAATGTTAGCGATTTAGCTCCTTTAAGATTGAATAACAATAACATAAACTTGCATTTTTAATTTACTGGAAGGGAAAAAGTAATAAACAAATTTGTAAAAGAAACTACCGTAACCGGTAATAATAATTCTGTTGTGGAGTTTGAAAATACATACTGTTGTTATCCATGCCAGACATTTGACAATATTGGTTTCAATTATTAGGCTATACAAAAAAGAAAATCTGCTTCTCAGACAATCTTTCCCCAAAATATGATGCAATAGGGTGGTTTTATTTTGTCAAATCACTACTGGGCTGAGTGACATTTCAAGGCACTACATTTATCTCATCGTGTTTATTGGAATGCATGATTATACAGTATCATTTATATTTGTCAATAACATTTATCAGGGTATTTGAATGGCAACTAAGCATACAATACATTTCCAGATTTATTTGAAACTGTCTGTAGAGTTACTTCTTGTAACTAGGATAAAATATAGGCAATGCAGTAAATGAAACTGTTTTAATTTTTAGTTTTTGAATTAAAAAAGGGTCATGCAGCACTTGTTAATTTTTTTTATATTTCCTTGTATTGTATATTTTTTAGGTGTTGATGTTGTTAGTTGGTTAAAGAAGAGATTGAAGATATCAGATTCAGATAGTGGTGAAGCAACACATCTGGCTAACTTGTTGTGTAAATTTGGATATTTTTTCCCCGTATCTGACAGTAAATTACTTGTTGTTAAAGATGATGCATCCTTGTACAGATTTCAGGTACCTATAGTTATTTAAACATTGATGGAGGTGGTCTGTCGCATGTGCATTAGATCAATGAGTCAAATGACAAAGCTTCCATCCCAACCTTATATTTTTAAGAAGTAGGGTTGCCTGCCTAACCTTGTTGCTTTTCTTCGGGTCTTCCTGTTACCTCCTTCTCATAAAAAAAAAAAAACACATTACAGGGGAATTATTGAAATAAAATTGTACCTTATGTAAGTCTCAAAATGACCTGACTTTTGTCAAGTGGCAGTTAAACCCCATTTCACTCACTCTCACTTCTCAGTTGTAAAAAAATAAAAGAAATATCATTAGCGACACACTTAGGCTTATTATGATATATTATGCATATCTGCCAATTGAAGTACGATCGAAACTTGACATGTGCATTGGACAATTGTGCATTGGTTGACAGACTTTGATTTTTGACGCTTAGGGATTATTGGTGATAATTCTATATAATATGTGTATTCTCTTATTTATAGTGTCCCTATTACTGGCCCTCCCAGTCTATGGTTTCTGACAATGTTGCTTATGGTAAGTTCATGTACCTGTATAATGTCCAGAATCACATGTCATTTATTTGTTTTATAAATCAGTGTAAAGTTCCCTTTTTGACATGATTTAGTTAAAGTAGCTAAGTATTTAACTCAATATCATCCAAAATCTTCGACATTGAAAACACAAATTATTTGTCAATTTAAATCAATATTGATGTTATGATCTTACCGGGAATCGTGTACCATAATACATTTCAGCGCAGAACGAGATTAGACATAATCCACAAGTCATATCAAACGATGACGCCATATTCTTATCTGGAGAGCATGCGCAATAAATACTCCCGATGTAGACTGGAATAACCAGCTGCTAGAGGTTGCCATTCGATTTGAAATTAGAGTAAAAGTGGAAACGTTTGAATGTAAATCAGTTTACATACACTCATATTACATTATTATATGCGTTGCAACCCATTTGTGTAAATTTCTAGATAACAATTAGTAGCGATTTAGCTCCTTTAAAGCTAAAAAAATATTTGGATTGAGCTGTTGTGCTATTTTAATCAGTCACTGAGTCTCTGTACTTAATTATTATTGTCAGAGCTATTAACTTAGGTCTTTCCATCCTTCCATTATATTCTTTGAAATGCAATTTCCAGTGAATGAGTTTGGACACCTTCATTGTCACATTGTCTATGCAATATTTGATTATCCTACTACAATCTGATTGGTTTGATCCTGTGAAATGTAGAATTTATACATCTAGTGTTTGGATTAAACATGGAATATACCCTTCATTATCCCTGAAACTTGCCTAAAGTTAAAACATCAATGCCATCTATGGCTATCTGATTAGCCTACTTTAATGTGTTTTGACGTTTCTTTGAAACTATACTCCTTGTAGTTAATGGATCATTATCACGTTTATTTCTCCAGTCTACACCAACCATACATATTTAACTACTCTGCTTCAATCTATTCTGTGTAATGCATTAACTATACTTTTAGTGAATGGATTTTGATAAAAGTACAACCTACTTCAAACTGATTTATTTATTGTTTCAAACACAATAACTTTACTTTCCGTGAAAGGATTTTATGCCTTCATTATCACAGTCACTTGCCAAGGTTCTAACTTCTAACATTAGTGAATAATTATTTGATGTACTGCTATCAGATTGGTTGATTGTTTGGAACACAGTAACATTACATAGATCTGTACATGAATTTTAATAAACTTAAAAATTTGTTTTTATAGTCACTCACATCAATGCCATCTATGCATATTTAATTAGTTTAATTCAAGTTGAATTTCTTTAGTATGCCAAACTTTTGTGCATATTTCATAAACTTTCTGCAATTTGATTGTTTAATCATCTGAAATGCAATAACTGTACTTCTTATCAATGCCATCTAAATGAATTTAATTAACTTACAACGATATCAACTAAATTAGTTGCAGTCTGGATATCAGTGTCATATATGATGTTATGTATGGTCGAGAGCGAGACATTTCATAATATATTGAAACAACACGAGGGACTAACGTCCCTCGTGTTGTTTCAGTATATTATGCAATGTCTTGAGCTCAAGAACATTAAACAATTTAAGATACAGACACTCGCATGTGCTTGCAATGAAATACGGCGCGTGAGTCCAAAATTTCAACTAGTATGAATAATGTACGCCAGCATCAAAGGATGACATCTCATCTGTATTTTAATATTTTAATAATTACCATTCTTGAATCTAAATGTGTTATACGCTTATATACTTCCTGTGTAAGCCCTGTTCACTAATAGAATGTTGGACACAGGACTACAGTTAAGTCAACCTGTCAGCAGAGGAATCCGGTGTCAGTCTGTTTTAAGTTTTTTGACTACGGCCATGTTTACATTCAGATTAGTATCCAAAGTTAACTCCCCATAGCAATCCACTTGGTGTATGAGATCACCGATAATTTAGGTAATAGGCTTTAGGTCCAAGTAAGGATTAATCATTTTGGCGAATATATAAATGAACCCTTGAGAGTTGCAATTGGAAGTAAAAGTAGACTGTAACGCAGCTGTCCAGGGAAATTTCTCTTACAGCACATTGATGTTTGTCTTCATTAGGGCGGGAAAGTTGGGCGTTACCCTTACTTTATTTCATAAGGTTTGAATAGAAATGCAAAGATACAACAAAAATTTGTTTCTCTTGAGATTTCGCTGGCACATTATTTTAACACAGTTAGTAATCATTAGATTATTTCATTCTTTGATCATGTTATTGATTAATATTTATAAAAATATAACTTGGTTTATGTTTCAGCAATCCACCTAGCCAAACGATCTATGCGAAATAAACAGAAACATGGCCTAGAAGATTTTGAACAGGTAAGCTAATAAAATGTACTTTTATAAGGCCATACAACAAAAATATTTTGATTCTCGGACAATTTTGGTTTTTGTGTGTTTATTTTGTCAAAGCATTGCTACTGCTCTAAATGACTTGTTTATAAGAATGTATGATTATTTAGCCAGTATCATTAATGATTGTCAATAACATTTATCAAGGTTGTGTACTTGATAATTGAGCCTACAGTTCATTTCCTTATTCGTTCATTATGAGACTGTTTTTATTTTGTATTTTTTAAATACAGATGGGTTATGCTGTTCTTTTACAAAGACGCAGGAATATTTTTGAACCAATATTTTTTAATTTGGCCTAGCAAAAGTTTTCTGTTAAATTTTATGGATAATAAAAGTACATTACAAATATTTTTATGGCTGTATAAATTATATTGATGGTGATTATATGAAAGATACATGTGACATCTGTCAGGAATTGGTTTTATACGAAATTTAAAATGTGTAGATATAATAGAAGTAATAAACATAATCATTCAACCCAAAAATTATTAATTTATATTATAAGCATATTCATTGGTTATGACTATCTTTTGTTATTAAATTTGCAATGAATTGCGTTTTGGATGTTAGGTAGTACATAATACTGGTTATATAAGACAATATTTAGGACAATATTTTAGAGAGAGGAGAGAGAGAGTTTAATGTCTGAGTGTTTAATAATATAATAATAATAATAATCCTCTATTTATATATGCCGATAATACTAAAAACTAAAGTTTCTATTGCGCTTTTCAAGTTTTCTCGCTTGAACTACGGAAACGCTTCTGTAAACAGAAACGTCTTTAGCTGAGATTTAAATACATCTAGGGAGTCAATGGTTCTAATATTGTAAGGTAGCGAATTCCATAAGAGAGGAGCAGAGAACGAGAAAGATCTTTTTGCTATTTCAAGATTCACTGATGGTTGATAGAGAAATTGTTTATCTGTGGATCTAAGGGTTCTTGTGGATTTATATGGGGTAATCAGATCTTTGATATATTTTGGTGATCGATCATGTAATGCCTTGAAAGTCAACAGTAATATTTTGAACTTGATTCGTTGTTGAACTGGGAGCCAATGTAGATTTTTCAGAATCGGGGTGATGTGGTCTGATTTTTTTGTACTTGTCAAAACTCTGGCGGCAGCATTTTGAATTCGTTGAAGGTGTTGAATTTGATAATTCGGAAGGCCATAAAATAAGGCATTATGATAGTCTAGTTTATTTGTAATGAATGAATGAATGAGGAGTTCTGTACTCTCAGCATTTAGATATTTCTTTATTTTGTTAAATCTGTGAAGATGGAAATAAGAAGAGGAACAAACAGATTTAATGTGGGAGCTAAAGGACATTGTGGAATCTAGAACTGCACGAATGTTTTTGGCTTCTGGAGATTGAGCAAGACTTTCGTGTTGAAATTTAAGAGGTGGTATTGAGAATCTACTTAGTTGTTGTTTTGTTCAAATTACCAGATACTCAGTTTTTTTCAGGATTTAGTTTCAGAAAGTGTGATGTCATCCATAACCTGATTTCTTCCAGACAGTTTTCGATATTACTTAAAGTTGATGTAGTGGATTGTTGATTGAAGGAAGCATATATCTGTGTATCATCAGCATACAAGTGAATATTAAGACCAAACTTTTCAGCGATTTTAGTTAATGGTCGGGTGAAGGTAATGAACAGTACAGGGCCTAGAACTGACCCTTGGGGCACACCACACATCATTGGGACCTTAATAGATTTGACGTTATCGATCTTGACACATTGTTGTCTGTTTTCTAGGTATGCCCGGAACCAGCTCAAAACTGTGCCTCAAGCCCCTATTTCTTCCTGCAGAGCTTGGAGAAGGTCTTCGACATCAAGTGTATCAAAGGCAGCCGATAGGTCCAAAAGTATCAACAAAATACATTTTTGATCATCAATATTTTGGTATATATCATTAGTTATTTTGATTAAAGCTGTCTCGGTGCTGTGAAAACAGTTATATGCAGACTGTAAGATGTTTGTTAGGTTGTTCGATTCCATGTGTTTTGACAGTTGATCAAGTACACATTTCTCTATCAGTTTTGAAAGGTAGCTTAGGTTACTGACAGGCCTGTAATTTTTCATCATATTACGATCAAGGTTCTGTTTCTTAAGAAGTGGTCGTATGAGGGCTTTGCTCAGATCTTGAGGGAACACTCCCTCTTGTAAGGAACTATTAACAATGCCACAGAGAACTGGAAGAAGAAGATGAATGTTGTCTTTGACAAGAGTGGTTGGTGCTGGATCCAACTCGCAAGACTTCGATTTCGTTTCCTGGATTATCTTAAGTAGAGAATCGTTTGTATACGTATGGAAATTATTCCATAGATTTGCTGTTATGATTCTGTAAGTAGGCATTGATAGTGTCATAGAAGCTTGAACCTCCATGATATCAGTCCTAATCTTTAGAATCTTATCTTTAAAGTAGTGGACAAACCTGTCTGCAAGTTCATTAACAGAATTATGTGTTGGGAGGGTCTCGCTGAACTTTTGCCTATCCAATAAATTATTGGTGATGGAGAATATCTTCTTGTGGCATAATGGTCACTTAGGCATGAATCAAAAATTTGAATATTGGAAATACTTAATTCTTCCGTTCTAGTTAATACTAGGTCTAATGTATGACCTTTTGAGTGGGTTCGTTGGTTAACATGTTGAGTGAGACCGAGTGTGTCTATGGTATCCTTAAATTTGATGGAAGCATAATCATTTGGATTATCAACATGAAAATTAAAATCTCCACAGATGACAAGTTTACCACTCTTTAGAACAAGGGACCCAAAATAGTCAGAAAAATCAGAGAAAAAATGTGAAGTTTTCTTCGCAGACTTGCTGCTTATTGGTGGTCGGTAGATTACAATGACACGATAAGTTAAGGTTTTAGATTGCACAGTAGTTTCGATGTGCTCAAATGATCCAAATTTGTTTGTGTGTAATACAGATACAGTGTATTCTGGTTTGTGTAAAATTCCTACTCCCCCACCTCTTCCAGGTCTATAGACACATTCGAGGTGGAAACCAAGAGACTTTAATTCACTTCTAACAGGTCCAGAAGTCTTATTGTTCGGCCAGGTTTCAGTTAACAGGGCAATGTCGCAGTCTTTATCAGTCAAGTATTCTGTTAGATTTGTATATTTTTCATTAATTGATCTTATATTTAGAAGACAAAAATTCAATTTTGGGGGTTTAGGTGTAGAAACAGATTCGGTATCAATAGATTTTTTAGTCTGCTCAATACAAACCAGGTCACTTTGGGACTACCATGGTGCAGTTTTATTTCAATAATTTGCTTGTGTTTAGGGTCTTAACCACATGGTCCATTGACAAAATAAAAACTCAAAAAATAAAAATCTCCAGTCCAAATCGGATAAGCAATTTGATTGGTTGATATACATGAGACACAATAACTTTAATTAGTGAGAGTGAGGACACTTGGAGTATAGCTTTATTACATCAATACCTTGACTAAGTTTGATTATGAATATTTTCTGCTGAGGGTAAGCAGAGTGATAAGCAATTTGATTGGTCGAGACTTTGGAACACAATAACTCTCCTTCAAATTGAGGTAGAATGGTTAAACTTGGTGTAGGCGTTCATTATGTGAATGCCTTGGTGGAGTTCTATGATGAAGATTGTCTGCTTACGGTAAACAGAAATAAGTAATCTGATTGGTTGATGCTTTGAGGCACGATAACTTTGGTTATAATGAAGTGAGAGCGATGGAACTCTGAATATAGATTCATTACATCATTTCCATGACTAATTTTGAAGGTGAGAATTTTCTGCTTAGGCTAATGAGCGATAAGCAATTTGATTGGTCAAGACTTTGGAACATCACATCTCTGCTTTTAATTGAGGTAGAATGTTTAGACTTGATGTAGATGTTCATTAGGTGAATGTCTTGACTGAGTTCAATGATTAACATTTCGAGCTGAAGCTAAGCAGAGGTTATCAATATCATTGGTCAATGCTTTGGGAAGAGATAATCTTGATGAAACTTAGTGTATAGTTTGATTGCTTGATACTTTTGAAAAAAAAAATAAATGTGCGATTAATTAATGTGTGTCATCTATTTATTTTGGGATTTTGGCGGGGGACATCAGCCTCACTGTTGGCTTGTTCAAATACATTGGTGCAGGCGTCGAGATAATAATTTCTGTTGTATCAGACAAAATATCAGGCACTAATGAAGTTGTACTGGATCTATTTAATTCTGTGCTGGATGGTCTTGAGAATATTAACAAAAACATAGAAATATGACAAATATTGTGTCAAACAATGTGATAGACACTAGAACCAGGCTAAACCCAAATTTTTGCCTGACAAATGGCTTGGATTAACTCACTATTTATGGATAACAATTACTATGGTTTATTTCACTGCAACATTTCAACAAGATTTCAGATGTCGTTATCAAGCACATAACACAAAAAAATAAAATGAAAATAATATGGTTATATATACACAAGAGCAGTGCGAACCCTCCAATGGGATGCAAAATCAGCAAGCATGAGCAACTGTCCCAAGCCGTTAAATAAACAAATGTACATAGATGGTTATAAACTGTAATTGATATAGATAGTACAAGAATAAAGCATCAAACAATTATTAAGAGGTATAATGAGCCACGAGCAATCGGTCCTAACAGTAAAAACATGATAAATATATATATACAGTAATTACTTATATGAAAGTTATAATAAAAGATGAAAGGATAGGTATTATAGGGATGAACTGAAGCCATTAGCAGTTAATCATGACAGTAAAAGCAAGATGCAGTAAAAGTAAATTTGTAAATAATTTAAGGAAATGTACAATATTAAAAACAATGAAAATATTAAAATTAAAGGGTAATTGCTTTATGAATAGTTCAGAGACGATGTAAACTACATTTTAATGATGCGATCATACGCTCTTGGATGGCTTATTTCCAGTTGTGTTTTCATATCATTACTTAGTTGTAGACTACAATTCAAAACCTATAAGGCATATGTAATGGACAAGAGTGTAGATAGATATCTATGCTTTTGTAGCTAGAGAACTAAATATATTATAAATTCTTTCAATGGCATTTAGTACTGTAAATACATTGGTACAAATTCAATGAAATCAATTATTTTTTATTATACAGCGACATTTTGACTATTCTATAAATTGAATTCCATAGAATTGTGTCCTGAAATATATTATGGTATTTAGAGACACAAGATTTCATTGAAACTTTAGTCAGCTGCCTGTCAGACAACTTTATGGCGGAGATTGTTCTAATGTATGTGGAGAATAGTAGGTTTCTCATATTATTAGCTTAATGTCTATTTACAGACAGCATTGACCAAGTTGCAGAAGATGTTATGTGATAAATGGGAGTTCATTTGTACTCAAGCAGAGGATCAAGTACGATTAGCTAAAGAACGTAAAAGAACAGATAAACTTATATTAGATAGTCAAGAGAGAGCGTTTTGGAGAATACATAGACCACCAGTAAGACCTTTCATTTTCAAGAAGTTTATTAAATTCGCTAATTGTGCATTTTTGGAACACTGTCTTAATTTTCATGACTTAATCCACACTAAAATGTACTCCGATTGATTATTTAAGATTTAATTGAGAAAAAAAAATATCAACGATATCTGATTCTAGAGTTAACTTGTTACACTTGATTATCGCAGATTTCAAAATGTCAGAAAGCTCATCCTTGACGAGAATTTAGGTTTATCGAATCTGAACAGAATTCAATTAGAAATTCAACCTTCACAATATTGTAGTTTACAATTCATTCAAAATTCTTCAAGTGATGCCGAGACTTTAAAATATATAAAAAAAAGCCGCCAGGCATTTATATTAACCCTTTTTAAAATTAATTTGCGTATTGGTCTTAAATAAACTTAAAAACACAAAGACACCCACTTCAATGGGATGTAACTCTGTTTATAAATTTACAATATCTAATTTATTTACTTCTTTGTTCATATTCATGCAATTAGCAATTTATGTCTAGTCCTGTATGAATATTTGAATTTAGTTGTAATTCATGTCTCCATTTTCTTTGTGTTTAATTAGCCTGGTCAGATAAAATGTATTGAAGATGGACCTAAAAGAAATTTTCAACCCAGCCAAATGGCAAACCGAAAAAGAAAGAATCGAGAATTTTTACAAAAAGAGGTAAATACATTTAATGATTTAAAGGAGGTTTGTTCATGCCTGTTATTATTAAACTTTGATGGTTATAAGCTCATACATTTAACAAGTCTGTTAAGCATTGAAGATAGCATTCTAGAAATCATAATATAATAATACAATCTTTCATATTAATATTAGTTATTCATTATTATGACAGACAGGCCTACATGGTTTACTAGAATATTGCACATTTTTGAAAATACTGATTTTATGAAAACTTTCCGCTAAGCCCCAGATTACAATTTTCACTAATTGTAATCAAGATAATATTTGTATGCTTGGTTATATTATTATTCAATCGTTTATAGATTATACATCTGTTTAATGCTAATAAACATATTTTAATGCTTATTTATATTATTATGTTATTTATAGGTTAGACGTGTGAGGAATGCTGATAGACATATTTATATACAGTGCACTCTGTCACATCCGACATCGTACGGGATCGTTACAATATGTCGGATTACGCAGAGTGTTGGAATACCCAGTTTATTCCCTTTAAAAATGATAAACCTTTCTGTACATTCAAAATTTTATTACATTAATTTTTATTTCATTGAACATGCGTAAGCATTTTGAATAGGTCAAGTCTGTCGTTAATTTATCTCTTCGCCGTTTTCAGTTGATCGCACTCTTGTCTTTGCTATCACGTGTTCATTGATAATGGGCGTACTCGATTGAACTTTCCGGAATTGAATTCTCTCAATCCCAAAAGTAGCGACAATCGAGTGAACATGGGTACTTCGGGCTACAACGCATGTGTCGACTGGATATATTAATATCTCATCCAACCATGCAGCTGAAACTTGTTCGTCGTGTTTAATTACCTCACAATTCTACTCACACCACCTCCGTCGTCGGGACTGACAGAACTGTGACAGGACTGAATTCCGTGTCACTCGATTGCAATTCTGTCAATTCGAGATGTTCCGGACTGTGACTCGAGCATCCCAGCTCATCGGCACACGGTTCAAAGAGATCCGTAGGGTTACCAAACTTATAGGTTATTCAGGTTTAATCGGCATGCGCAACGAATGTTTCCAACAGGTGCTAGGAATATTTTTACGACTGTGAATTCGGGGGAAAATTCGTGGATATTCTTGAGTATTTGTCACAACTGTCGTACAAGAGATTAAAATTATCAAAGTAATCAACACAGACCCACGGTAGCGAGTTTTAATCTCACAGATAGTTGATTGGTGATTGCTTGTTAATCTTTTGTGGTATCACACCCATCCAGTTTTAATCTCACGGATAATTGATCGGTAAGTGTTTGCTTCACACCCACCGCTGGAAGGCCGGATTATACGGTGTCGATTCAATGGAAATCGTATGTTGGGGCTGCTGATTGATGTCGTAATCTGGAACGTACAGAGGTCGAATTACCCAGAGCTTTTTTGGCTGAAGTAATAAGGAAATAAATCGGGATGTAACAGAGTGCCGGAGTGATCAGAGGTCGGATGTGACAGAGTGCACTGTACTATTTTATATTACTATTATGTTATTTATAGGCTATACATTTGTATTATTATGTTATTAATAGGTTATACATTTGTATTATTATGTTATTTATAGGTTATACATTTGTATTATTATGTTATTTATAGGTTATACATTTGTATTATAATGTTATTTGTATTTTGTTATTTACAGGTTATACATTTGTATTATTATGTTATTTACAGGTTATACATTTGTATTATTATGTTATTTATAGGTTATACATTTAAGGAATGCTATCAACAGATGTAGACTTAAAACGTCTAAAGCAATAGACAGGTCAGTACTGTGTTTCTCATCTTTAAATTAACTACAATTACAGGCCATTTCAATGATATTATGTGTATTGCAGTACATCTGTACATTCTAACTCTAACCCTAACCTGTGTTATCACAGTAAATCAGCTGTAGTTGAAACACAGATGTTTTGTTGACTTACTGTCAGTAAAGGGTTAGGGGTTATTGCTATGTGACAAGTACTACAATGCAGTATCATCGTTAGCCGACTATTTTACCGAAATGTGATCCATAGAAAATTATGAATTTAATAAAATAAATGGTTGATTATTATGAAGGGAGATAAATCTGTTTGTAGTAAAATTTCACATGAAAAGGATATATTCCAACTGCAGATTTTTTCTGTCAGTTCATTTCTTATGATCAGAAAAGTAAAAATGTACGAATTGAAAGAGGCCTATTTGTGAGGAGTTAGTATATTCATAGAGAACAATTTCTAACATTTCATGGAATGAGCAATAATTAAATTTTCTAAGATGAGTGTTGTTGAGTTTATTCATTAAAATGTATATTTTAATATTTTACAATATATTTATTTTTGTGTAGTTATTTGCTGCGAGTTGAACAGTATGAAGACAATGACCCGTTCTTGTCTGGTGTTTTGCCCTCTAATCCGTGGATAACGGAAGATACAACCTTCTTTGAAACAAATAGTGATATGTAAGTTATTATTAAAAATTTGTCGTAAAAACACACAATCTTTAGATTTGGTAAAAAAAATAAAAATGGAATTCTTGACTTGCTTAAATTTGATGTGTTAATTTCTTATTTCACGATTTCTGACTGTTTTTGCAGCCATTGGGACTAACATATAGTTCAATTTTATTTCAAAAATTTGCTTGCGCGTATGGGTCTTTAGCAGTGGGAGGAAACTGGAGGACCCGGAGAAAGCCCACGAGGCTGGACAGGCAACCATAATGAAATTATTAACTGTCCATGAAATTAGTATTTGAGACCATATTGTGTATCATTTATTGGTCTATTTCTGTAAATTTACAAATTTTAGTACCTTCATACACAGCAGCTTTGCAGTTGACAATTGCTGACTATTTTATCAGTTGCCAGCATTTCATTTATTCCAAGGTTGATTAAAAAAAAAAAAATCCTTCATAAAGAAGTTGAGGTGTCAGTGGAGTTTGTTTAGGCTCAAAAAAAGGGTAAAGACAGAACTTCATGTCCCCCCACAAACATGCACGAATCATATTACATTACATATTTGATATAGCACACATTAATGCCATGCAATTCAATGGCGTTTCACAAAGGATATCAAAAAAGTTAAAGGAATGCTTTATGGAAAATAATGTTTTGAGTTTCTTTTTAAAATTTGTTACAGCCTGACATTACAGCCATGCATTCTATGGCATTTCACAAACTATATCACAAATGTTAAAGGAATACTGTATGGAAAAAATATGTTTTGAGTTGCTTTTTAAAATCTGTTACAGTCTGATATTGTTTTACACTTTCTGGAAGGGTATTCCAGAGTCACAGTCCTAACACACTGAAAGATCTATCTGCAAATGTTTTATATTTAGTTTTGAGTATTGATAGCATGTTTGGTGATGCCCAAGTTCAGATTTTGTCATTGATACCATATGATCAATTTCTGATCAGGATACCTGGCCTAAATCTTCACCTAGGTCTTCAGATTTTAAAAAAACACTGCCAAATTCCAAACCCTGGTACAAGACAAACATGTCGTGAACCATGCCTAAACACCAAACCTTGGTAAAAAGCCACCCCAATAACCCGCCAAAACCTATATATAGAACCTCACTAAGTGAGATTAATCAGTCTGAAGAGTTCAATACAAATGAAACTAGTTACTGCTAAATAGGGATTCTGGTCGATTCGCCCATTCTATTTACTCTAACATATTTTGCAATGACGGTCTTGTATTGTATGATGGAGTTTGGGACTATTAATTCAGAAAGGTAGGCAGGGGCAAGGTTGTGGAGACACTTAAACACCAGTACAAGTAGCTTGATAGCAGTAGAACTATGGTCGTAATTAACACCAAGAATTAATTTTGCAGTAAAATTTTGGAGAGGTTGGAGAAAAGCTGCTGGCAGATCAAAGAGCAGACTATTTCCATAATCTGTATGGTAGAAAAGTTAAGAGCTAGCAATCGTGAAAGAATTTCCTTAAGTTGAACATTGTCAAAGCAGCAGAACGAGTCTTCTGAGCAATATGATGCTTAAAGTTTAAATTTTCGTCCAAATGCATCCCCAGAAATTTAACACATGATGACTACTCAACTACAATCCCCATCTCTTAATTCGTGGATAATCATGTTAACTTATCCTACTTCACTGATCTAGATGTGAGAAAGTTATTTTGTCATGATCATCTAGTACCTATTCCAGTATTTGGCATATTTTCGATCATAGTTTGTGACCAGGAGTTAGGTAACCTTCCCAACCTCTGTTTTATCTGGGTGCAAGCGAATTATTGAAATAAAATGTTAGTTCTGAAATAACCTAATTTTTGTTGAGTAGATTTTAAACAACATATCTCTCTTAAAATTGTCAGTATATCTTTTGTTTTTGTCGAATGTTGTGGGAGTTATTTTGACAGTATGCCTGCTTGTACTACGATCAGAAAAACCTGGAAGACATTTTTGTTGGTATCTTTTTATTAAAAATAGATTATCGTCCCCAGAAACATATTTTTATGCTATATTTTTCAATTGTGTGTGAAGGGCCCTGGTAAGATCTAAAATGTGTATTGATACTTGAGTGTTATATGAGATTGAGAGGGAGGATGTGACAGAGTGATCTAACACTTGCTCTTTAGAGAACAGTCTATCATCTATGCAAGTTAAGGAGGAGGGTTACCTGCTTAATCTTACAGATTTACCCTGGGCTTTCCATTTTTCCACATAATGCCTAAAGACCTTACACACAAGAATATTAGATACCAATCCTAGTTTGTGTTTGGGTGGGCTTTAAACTCATTTTATGTCACTCAAGTTTAGGGGAAGGGGGAAACTGGGTGGTTGAGTTGTCCAACACATGTTTTAGAGCTGTCATTGACTCAAGTGGCGTGGTATTGATCCCATCCTTGCGTTTGTATGTGACAAGGGGTAGGGTCACCTGCCCACCTAATGGGTTTTCTTCCTACTGCTAAACACCCCTACAGAGAAGTGATATAGTATATTAATCAAGATGACTACATGTAACTACCGGTAGATCCCTGCTTCTATCATTGTCTGAACATGTATTTCTACTTATGTTCATCAGTTATTCAAATTTTCAATGTACGGCTAATAAGTTGATTGGTATTTGTGTGTACCAAACCAAATAGCGTGAAACATGCTTAAATTTAACAGTCTACTTGAAGATATATATATATTCAAAGACGCGCCACATTGACGCAATAAATGTGGAAATATCCATACTTACATCAGTAGTAGTACATCTTAATTAAACAATAATACCGTAATGAATATTGATTCTCTCTCTATTATTTAATTAAAAACTTTCTTCGCCAATAAATCCTCTAGAAACCTAATCAGATATATGCTCTGCTTAGTTTGCATTATTACTTTCCCGTAAGATGTTCATAACAGATTATTATAGTATGAATAATTACTTGTTATTTCATAAAGGAATATTGAACTTGCCAACAAAATTCTCGTAAGTTTAAACAGACACTGGTACAGTTAGAAAATTAATCAGTTCTAAGGTCATGTAATAGTCCGCCCACCCCCACCCTGACATCAGAGATTACTCTTATTGAGAGGCTTGAGTGATGAGTGTAATAAATTTATAGCATATGTTTATAGGCCATACAGATTTCAATTTTTGTTCTCCGGGAGCAATTCAAAATTCTGATTCCTATTTCTCGGTGGGGGAACATTTTTGAAAAAAATGTACATGGTGATTCTTTTCTCCCGTCTTCTTTAGCCCAGTTGTAGCAGAACAGTAGAAAGTTGAACCCCATTTCATTTCATTTCTTGGCTCTTCTCAATAGCTTATAGTTGAAAAATTTTAAGTTATGTAATTTTAACCAAACATTGTTCATGAAACTCGATTGGCTGGTTATTTGTCAAGACCCCACAGGACTAAAAATTAAATTGGTTTGGCCTTAGTCTTGCATATACAATACATGTTTCTTTGTCTGTTTCCGTTAAAGTTTCTCTACCATTGTTCTAATTTATTGTGGGTTTTGTAAGAACTTTGGTATATAAAGATCACTTTAGGTCTTTCTATTATCTGACCTTTATATAAAACAAACTCTTTTTATGTAAATGTGAGACATGATGAGAAGATAGAAATGGTAGTAGATAGAAATTTATGTATATTAAAAAAAAATGTGATATCTTCAATTTTATCACTGTTTTGTTTGTAGCTATATGTCGATCTGATTCTTTCATTAAAGTTTCTGACTGTGATTTGAGCGATATAGAAATTCCTTGCCAACAACAATATTTTAAAAGATGAATCTCTAATATCAGTCAAAAAAATGGTTCAATTCTGTACAAAATGAGTACATTATAGTTTTGATTTTGCCATAAGAAATTTGATAATTTTTGAAAAATGAAAATCATACACAGTTACTTTTATACCATTAAACATAAAATAATAAAAATTAAAGTCATTAGGTTTATGAATATTTGATGAAAATACTTTCTCTCTGAAAATTTGATTATGTGATTAGTAGAATGGAGGTTGGAGGGACACAACTATAGGATATATTTTAGCTCCAGGCAGTGTTTTTGTACGCAAAAATCCTATCCAGGATATTTGTACAAAAGGTAATTTTGGCACAGCATAGCCTGTCCCTCATTCTTAATAAAACTATATTGTCATGTCATTTAGTATGTATTGATTTAAAACAAGTAATGTTGCACTTTTGAAGCAATGTACTTGTATTTAGCTAAGAGTTTACGCATTAAGAGAATTAAGAGTTTACACATTAATTTGCTTTGTGTGTGAGCGACGAGCGTGCACGTGTGTAACTTAAAGGAAACCTTTGTTCTAGGTATTTATATTATTTATAGTAGTAGTATGAGCTTATTACATTAGATCAATATAGTTGGCAGTAGACAATATTCTTCCACTTCTCATCAATATAGACTTGGTTACTTAATTAAAGTGTTGAGGTGAAAGGCATCCCTGTTATTTAATCTCTTGTTCACTTGTCACCTACATGGATTATAAGCTCATAAGCTTTATATAGATTAATCAAGGTGAAAAATCTTTCATTTGATATTTAGGTTCTCAGAGAGGGATGTTGATGCTTTGGATTGCAACTTCTGTAGCGCACACAATATTAATAACTTGGGAGTATGACTATATAATGTTTAATCAGTTGGGATGATTGGAATGAAATTTATTACTACCAAAGAAAATGTTTAAAAAGTTATGAAAAAACACAATGTAATCAAATATGATACCAGTTTATGTGCATGGAGCATTCAATAGCCCGAAGGACTTTTGAAAGAAAAAAATCTAATGTCTAAAAAGCAGAGTGAAACAAAGCAAATACTCTGGATATTATTTCTTATAGTTTTGTTGGAATCTCTTCTAATTTATTTTCATTATCATAAAGTTGCTTTAATAGTTTAAAATTTTAAGAACAACAATGGAATATATGTCTGAATATAGGAACTGAGGCGTAGCAGAGCATAAAGGCTTTGCATTGTGTACTTCATGAGTACCATAGTAAAGTTATTAGTGTTACTGGAAAAAAATAGATGTTATCAATGAATCTAAAACAGAAACACATTGTACTAATTAGTATTAAAACAGATGGTAGAGTAAGAAGTATTGACAACAAATTGATCTAAATGAAAAATTTAATACTGGATAATGGTATAATAATAGGAAGACATTGCTCAAGTTAGTTTTATGTTTAGAGAGCTAAGTTTTCTGTTAACAAGGCTGTATATAACTATAAGAGATAAATGGGAATATATTGTGGTACACGTGATAAACAAAAAAATGTATTGATGACATTTGATGTAAATTGTGAATGAAGAAATCATGGTTATAGGAGACAAAATGATGCCAATTTGCTGTTCTGGGTAATTACTAAATGAATTATTATTATTCTATAACCCCAAAGTATGATGCCAATTTGTTGGTCTCGGTAACTATTGAAATGAATCATATGATTCTATGATCCAAGAGTATGATGTCAATTTACTTATTAATCTTGGAAGTCTGTTCTGTATGAGGAATGACTATATTAACCTTGATTCATTTATGCTGTATTTTAAATCTTACAACAAAACAAAGTTAGGAGGTTATTTTAAACTCTATAATGCAGGAAGAAAACACACTATAAAAGTAAGTGCAGATAGACCACACTACAATCAAAACAGAAACGACAAGACAAACTACACAGACATTGCAAGAAATTATGATTTATAAGAAAGATGTAACAGAAATAATGTGACCGATGACAGTCTCTTGCTGTCTTTTCTAGAGTTTTTCTTTCTGTGGCATTACTCCAGCGTGTTGTCAGACGTCATTCAAAAAGTCTAGCTTGTAGCAACACCATCTTTTTAAGTTCATACATTTAAATCCCCAGTTATTGGAAATGACATTGTTTTCTGTCCAATTATTTATAAATTTTGTGAATATTCAGAGCGTAATATTAAGGGTAGTGTGGTTGATTGATATTGCACAGGACAATAAATCAGTTAAGTTAATAACACTTCAGTTTGATGGTTCTGACCCCATGCCATCATTTTGTCAACAATTACATATATCATCAAATATGAATTAGATTGGTTATGTGTATGATAGAATTATTACTCTACGTGAATAATTGATTTACATAGTAGGCCAAGAATAGTCCGTAATTAATCTAATGTGTTAAGTCTTACATAATACAAGTATGGCACCATGCAGTTAAATTTGCAAGAACCATCGTAAGTTAAAGATACATTATGTGAGATTTAGATAAAGAGCTGGTCGTTTTTGCTATAATAATAGTTCGAAGATAGGTAATGCAAAATGAATATATTGAAAATTTCATTCAAATTACCTTAATCCAAGCCAAGCTATAACTGTTCGTAGTTTTGACAAGATATGTGCATCTTTTGTTAATTATCCTAACCACAGTACTTGTATATTCGAGTCTTAGCCATTTTTGAATTAAATCATTAAATGGCCAAACTGTTCTAATCTAGTTAAAATCTCGAGCATCCGATGGCATCAAGAGCTGATATGGTCTTGTCATATTTATAAATTTCAAATTTATATAACATAAAGAAAGACCTGCAATAAGCAAATTTAGCTTTTGAATAATGTATCTTTTAAGTTCCCATATTTTGACCAGAAACTGGGCCCTATTCAGTTTGTTCTTCTTGGCTCTGCCAATTCAGGTACCATCGACATGAAAAGTATGATCAACAAGAAACTTTGCATGATTTTTCATTGGACAATTGCGCATGGATGAATTGGCTTCAATTTTTAATTCAAGGTCACAATTCTAAGATGGCGTGAATGACCTCATGCTCAATTTCATATTACACCCATACTTGGTATATTTAAAAAGAACATCATTTTTCACAATATTTATGTAAAATAAATTGAGTAAAAGAATAAGTGTAAATTGATGTCATAGTTTGTTGTGTCGATATAGATGGAGGTGAAGCTATAGCAACTATATTATGACTAGTCTTTATGTAAGCATGTAATATGTAATCAATATAGAACAATATAGATTTAAGTATTACTTACATCCATATACATCTTTTATAGAGGCATAAATACATGTTACATATGACTCGATACTCGATAGGTGTAATTCACTTGCTGTAGATTATATGATCTGTCATCCGTGCAAGCCATACATTTACTGATAATTCAACGATTGTACATGATGAGGAGTAGAGTCATTTGTCTAACCTCGTGGCTTTTCTCAGTCACACATTTAATTATTGTAGTCCCAATACACAATATATGTAGCCCCTAGAAAATATATGTCGTTCTAAAATAACGAAATTAAATGGGGTTTAACATCCTACTGTCCTGCTCCGACTGGGCTAATGAAGATGGGCCCAAGATAAGATATATGTAGTCCCACATAACATCCCAAAATAAATTATTTGTATTCCCAAAATGCCCTGGTTTGTGTTGGCTTTAACGCTTACTGGCGCTCAGTGGAACTGAATATCCAAATTTTGTATTAATTTGGCTTTTTTCAACATTTTGTAGAGAATGCATTTAAATGAAATGAAATGGGGTAAACGTTCTGCACTGACTGGGGTAATGAAGATGGGCACGAATTCCAACTGTCAAGGTTGCATGCCAAGACCTCTTATTTCATCCAAACGACTATATAATGTTCCTTGCCAGGCCCTCTGTCCTGCATCACTGACATATATATATATCCATTTGGGATGGTGTAGAACTGGTTTGCTCATATCATAGATCTGCATGGTTGGTAAAAAAAAAAAAGCAGGACTCTTACCTCATTTCATTTCATATCTATGGGGATGTTGGACAATATGTAACCTTGGGGATTATTGACAATATGGAACCATGGAAATATTTGACAAGATGCATTTGTGGAAATATTTGACAAGATGCATTTGTGGAAATATTTGACAAGATGTATTTGTGGAAATATTTAACAATATGTAACAATGGAGATATTTGACAATATGTAACAATGGAGATATTTGACAATAATGTTACCACAGAGATATTTGACAATATGCAACCGTAGAGATATTTGACAATATGTAACCATAGAGATATTTGACAATATGTAACCATAGAAATATTTGACAATATGTAACCATAGAAATATTTGACAATATGTAACCTTGGAGTATGTAAGCATAATATGATGTTAATATTTAATTGTTTGTTACAGTATTGATACACCTACTGAACTGAGAATAAAGAAATGGGCTGTTAGTTTTCATGAACTTCTCACTGATCCACTGGGACTTCAAGAATTTGAGAATTTTCTGAAGAAAGAATACAGTCAAGAAAATATACGTTTCTGGGCAGCTTGTGAGCAACTGAAATTTTGTCCTGTGTCAGAAATTCCTGGCAAAATAGAATGTATATATGAGTAAGTTAACTTTATAATATTTATGATAAATAATTCTTCTAGATCTACAATAAACTTGATGTAAATGTAGTTAATATTTAATAAATATTCTACAAGTCAGTGATAATACTAGCAGGGGCGTGTCCATAGAGCATATTTTGTTCTCCCGCATTCATACAAAATAATGTTGAACAAACAAAGCTGTAAACATTGTCACCGTTTTGACCTCACACCACTCTAATACCAACATGTCTGCAACTAAATGAGCGGAAATTTTGTCCCGAAGCTTCTTATTGTATAAAAGTCTTGGGTAATAGTAGTAAATTTAATTTATTTAGTGACAATATTCTGGTAAATGTATATATCATGTAGTGAATAAATAACGTCTTCAATCTGTAATAGGTAGGAGGACTGCATATAAACAAAATCCATAAGACAAACCCACAGACAAGACACAATATAGCCTACACAGACCTTTCTAACAACAAATGTCTATATCATACCAAGTGAATTGTCCTAGTCTTTTAGTTTTACAGGGCTTACTCAAAATGAAAACAAACTAACAATAAGGGAGAAAATCCACAAAAACATGGGAATATTTCCCAATCGTTGTATCATTCTAATCTAATGTGAGTCAAGAATGACTATGTGCCACAAGAAATCTCAATTAAAAAATTAAAACAGGGGAATATTTCCAAAGCATTGTATCATTCTAATGTGAGTCAAGAATGACTATATGCCACAAGAAATCTCAATTAGAAAATTAAAATGTTTTTAGATAGTACTTGAAAAGATTCAAAACATGATGAACGTGTCAAAAGATGAAATTGTATTAAATATAAAGTTAGGATGTCCTTATACAGTCGCTGTAATAGCCACATCTCATTTACCCATACTTATCAATATATCTTAATTATTATAAATGCATTTAGATAGGATTTAACAAGAAATTTTGCAGTCTTCTAGGAAAGTCATTTAGAAGAAATCTATGAATGTTGGCGTTACAGCGTTGGACAATAAATTATAATAAGTATATGATAATCAATGGTAATTAATCAGATAATCAAGGTCGTTGATAACATAACAATAAGGTGATTAATAGTAATTTCAGGGGGACTGCACCACACACAAACAATTACACAGGACAATCCTACGGATAGGGCACAATATACTCAGACACCTTGAACAACAAACGTTTATATCGAGGTCGTTGATAACTTAACGATAGAAAATTAGAAGTAGGTAATTTTACAAAATAGTAGGACATTAATTTTGATATGTAGGAATGTCAGCCTCTTTCAAGATGCATTGATTTCTTGTCTTCCAAAAAATCTGAATGGGTGATCATCGACCCAGTTATTGTAGTTAGGATCCCAGTCTCGTATGAGCACTTATGATCATGAGTAAAGTGGCGTGCTAGCAATTCTGCAAGTGAACGTGAACACAAGTAAGGTCACTTGTCCAATCCACGTGTGTTTTCTTCTAGAACTCTGTTTTCCTTACACTGCTTAAGTCACTACGCACAATTGAATTATTGAAATATAATTGTAGCATAACTTAATCCAAAATGACCTGATTTGTATTGACTGGACATAAAACACATTTTCTCTCTTTAAATGTGTGTCCATATAATCCTCATCTATATCTGAAGTCTAAATAATGATCTTTATATGTTGTATTTGTAGAGAGTTTTTGACCACAGGCTCACCTCATGAAGTCAACATCGACAGTAAGACCATGGAAAGTGTTCAGTTAAATCGAAAATTAAAGAAACCAAGCAGGTAAATCGCTTAATTGTTTTTGCTAGATCTACACCGTTCAGATATTTTATAATATGATATTACCATTCAGGTATTTTGTAAAGTTGGACAACTTACAATATACATATCAACTTGACTGACAGAAAAAAGTGTTTATTGCCTTCACCTGCTCTTTTGAAACAAGAGGGTTTGGGTGGCCAAATGGTCCAATGTGTGTGCTTTAGGTCTTATGGTTTGTCAATGAGTCAAGTGGTGTGGTTTGGATTCCGAGCTTGTACGTAACAAGGAGTAAGGCCACCTATCCAACTTTGTGGGGTTTTCCGGGTTCTCTGGTTTCCTCCCACTGCTAAAGACCCCTACGCGCAAGTGAATTATTGAAATAAAATTGAACCATGTGTTACTCCCGAAATGACCTCACTTAATAATATTATGTTAGTCATGAAAATACCTAGTTTGTGTTGAGTGAAGTTAAACCACAATTTCTCTATCTCTCTTTTCTTTTGAGGGAGTTGGGTGGCCGAATGGTTAGCAAGTGCGTGCTGTATCATACAGTCTGTCATTGAGTCAACTGGCGTGGTTTCGATACCCTGGTTGTACGTGACAAGGAGTAGGGTCCTCCGCTTTCCTCCCACTGCTAAAGACCCCTACGCGCAAGCAAATTATTGAAATTATTGAAATAAAATTGAACCATGTGTTAGTCCTGAAATGACATAGTTTGTGTCAAGTGAACGTTAAACCCCATTTCTCTCTCTCTCTCTCTTTTCTTTTGAAACATTTTGAAATATCGAAATCGCAAGACTGGAAATAAGGAGTCTGTCACAGATGTTGTCGGGTTCAAATTCAGGTTGTCAGACACAATCCCTCTGGTGCCAGTCATTTTGTCTATCACAAGTTGATCTCTTCTGTGTTTGTATTGATATTTTAATACATGTCTGACACACAGTCCAAAATTTGGTGTTCTAGATTATTAGTGCCTGACATTTTGTCGGATGCAGCTAAAATCATTATTTACAGGTCTGTTAATGCTATCAGTATCAGTTTGTTCAAAGCTAACTATGTCATACAAACTGCAGACCATTGATGCTGTAAATGTCCGACTGAGAATATGCCCCATATTTATGCAGTACTTTACATTAAGATATCCTCAAAACTAATTCTGTTTTTATTTCAGATTCACGTTTGAAGCTGCAAAAGAACATATTTACACATTGATGAAAAAAGACAGTTATCCAAGATTCCTTCGTTCCGAGCATTATAAATCACTGCTGGCAAATGCTTTTGCCCCTTTTAGCAAGAAAAAGTAAGATATGCATATAATGAATTCTATGAACTTTTTGTTATTTGTATTACCATATTTTACTTCGTATAAGTCGATGTGGAGTATAAGTCGAATCGTCATCCATATATAAGTCAAAGCAGTATATAAGACGAATGTTTTTCAACTCCAGGGTAGCAATCTATTCAGATTCATGACTGTTATCCTAGTCTTATATAATACTGTGCCGGTGTACGCCAAGAAAAATTGGCCCATAATATTAAATAGGCCTACGATAAAATAATCAGTTTATAAATGTAGGACTAACTTGATTAATATTCAAAGTTGTGGTCTTTGTTTATTTGAACCAGTTTTTATTTCAATATATCCGATAAATATAAGACAATGCAGGCTCTGTTTCTAATGACACATAAGACAATGCAGGCTCTGTTTCTAATGACACGTGTTTATAAAGTCAATACTAAAAATAGAATAAAACAATGCAGTATAGTGTGATTGGTTAATTTAACCAAAAAATAAAAGTAGAAATCTCGTGAGACGCATGAAATTACGAGAAACGGAAATATGCCATTTTTAATGAATGTCTGAGAAAAGTTTTTATTTTGATGGCATATTCTTGGGTTGATGATAATATTTTGAAGGGGAGAGGGGGATGTCTTTAAAGAAATTAAACAAGCAAAGAAACGTCTACTAATATTTCGATTGGAATGGTGTAACCTAATGTAGTTTTGTTTTGTTTTACCCTCATCCATACATAAGTCGAGTCGGTGTATAAAACGAAGGCCAGACTTCAGCGAAAAAAAGTATCGACTTATACCCTGAAAAATACGGTATATATCTCTGAGGTCATTGATGGGTGGTCATCCTAAAATCTGCACACATCATTTCCAAACTTTCTGTCCCTCAGTTGTAAAATGCTAGACCAGGAACTAGTACCCAGGTTCTACTGATCTTGTTGTTCTTCTTAAGGGTGACACTCTTTGAAAAAAGCCTAGGGCTAAGGCTCTGCCAATTCAAGTCTGATCGACATGAAACTTTGACCTTCTTGGACAAATAACCGCGTGGATTGACAAACTCCAATTTATGACATGTCAAAATTCCAAGATGACGACGATGACGTCCGGCTCAGTTCTTGGTTCATATAGTACTATAACTGTACTTGTTATGTAAAGGTATTAAAAAAATTAATCTAGTTATGTCACAATTCCAAGATGGTGACGATGATGTCCTGCTCAGTTCTTGGTTCATACAGTACAATAATTGTACTTGTTGTGGAAAGGTATTAAAAAAAATTAATCTAGAAATGTCAGACTTTATATATAAAGCACTTAGCTAGTGGGATAAACAGTTGTCAATGTATAGAAAAACATTTCATTTTCTTATATTTCGATTGTTCATAAACACATTAATATCTGGTGGGATGGAATCAATGATGTATGATATAATGAGAGATAAAACATAGGTTGGTATGGTTTATTGACATAGTTATATAGTTTTATCTGTGTTTAGCCGTGAATATAGATCAATACAGGGTATATTGATATAGTAGTGTGAACAAGTGTAATATGTGAAGTTATTGATCAATATATATAATGTTTTACCTACACTGTCATTTGTGAGGTGTTTTTATTGATGAAACTTTTACTACTTTACTAAGTATTATGGCTTATCTACTACATCAGAAGGTTTGAATATTAAAACTTTTGTTAATAGCCATAAACTATATGAAGATAAATTCTTATATACCACACATAACACCTATAAATAAGCACTATGACTGATCTACTAAACCAGATGGCGTGAATATAAAAACTTTGTTAATATTCATAAACATTAAACATTAATTTTTTAAAATAGTGTTGAACAAATAGTATTATTTTTTTTATTATATCATATGCCACATCAAAAGTGTCTTAAAGGAGCTAAATCGCTAAAACTTTCTACCTAGAAATTGACACAAATGGATCGCAACGCATATAATAATGTTATACGAATGTATATTAACTGATTTACATTCAATCATTTCAGTTTTTATTGTAATTTCTAATCGGTTATGTTCGGCGAATACGCCAGAAGTCTCAATTGAATGGCGATCTCTAGAGTCTGGTTAGTCCAGTCTACACTGATAGTATTTATTGTGCATGGAATATGTCTAGACTTGTTCTTCGAGTCCCTTGTTACAAATGCACTGAAACGCAGTATGGTACACAATTAGTGTACCAATTGTAAAATGTTTATTTTGTCTTAAATATTGAATTTCAGAAGCCAATCTTTTCCCGGTAAAATCACAACATCAATGTTGATTTAAATTGACAAATAATTTGTGTTTTCAATGTCGAAGACTTTGGGTGATATTGAGTTAGAGACTTAGCTACTTTAACACCTGTACATAATAAAGCACTATGACTGATCTATGTTAGATGGATTGAATATTAAAATAACGTTAATAGCCATAAACTATCAGTTCAATAGTGTTGAAAAAAAAGTATCATATAGATCTGTTATATCTGATATGCTTTAATATAGAATTTAGAAAGTGTCTTTAACACCTGTTAATATGTGTAAAGGAAAAGCTACTTCTTGGGGAAAAATGACCTTGGCTTCTGCTAGTTCCATTCCATTTACAAGGTTAAAAAATTTCCATACCACCCTGAGAGGTCATATTCTCTAATAGTTATAAATTTTTTTATTTTATTATTCTGGTTCTTCGTGAGTGCATCTTGGCATGCTTGTTCCTTGTACAATTGCGCATGGATTGACATACAAGATGGCAGCTATGATGTAATGCTTGCTTGATTCCTGGTCTATTTGTTTAGACTATGCAAATTTTACCTTCTAATTAGGTGTCTTATTCAATAACACAAGACTTTTAATTGTCTTTTAAGAGCACTCACAAAATTTTGATTTGCTATCCTCATTCAGATTTGGATGCATATTTGATGGCTTTTATTTCAGATTTTTTAATTTTGGTTCAAGTCGAAAGAAGAATAATAATTTGAGCTTAAGTCCTCAACCTAAGAGAAGGAGTAGTGAAGGGAAGGATTGTTTTGATTCATCTAATTCGATTGCTCATCATTCTTTTAGTACTGGTAATTTGAGGGAATTAGATGATAGAACTGTAGTATTTAGGTGAGAATTGTTATTATATTATAATTGGTATGGTTACCCCTTGTCAATGGTATAGGATCGGAGGGACTGGCAATGGACAACGTATAGTCATTCTGATGTGATGAAAAACCGCGGTTCCCTGTACACATTAGCATGCACGGAGAAGAACTCTGGACATTTGGAATTCGAACTAAGAGTAGGCCGTAGGGGCGTTGTTGTCCTGGAAAAATTTATCATCTTTTGTATTCTGATTGATATTTATTATAATAAACTATGGAAAATGGCTATATTTAGTAACTGAACTGAGTAATAAACTATAACACATACTTATGGAAAGCTGCTTATATATTTAAGTGAGGTACATCATATTAAACATTCTCAGGGGTGTTAAGGATATTTCTTTTCATAAACCATAATACTTCTGGAAACAGTTACTAATATATTTGGTTGATGTTTCGAAGAGTATTCTCTCAAAGTTATGAACTTTGTTTTGTGAAAGGATCCCTGGGCTAATTAACTTCTCACAAACATCACATTTCAAGATTCTACATATCTTATCGTGGGTAATGCTGTTATAGGAATTTAAGATTATCCAGCACCAAATATGAATGTCATTGACATTTATGAGGATTACATACCTGATAATTTAGTCTACAGTATATTTCAGTTTTCAACTGGAAGTGTTTTATAGAGTTACTTCTATGGAATAAATGAACAGGCGGTAGATAATGAGATTTATTTTTGTTCTTTACTTTTTTAAATAAAAACTGTTCATGCGCCCCTTTATAAACATGCATTATGCAAGAGCTAAATCTGCCTATTGCAGGTATCTCTTTAAGCCTGAAATGTTATCTAAATTATTAATTGGAAATTAATTAACTTATCCAGACCATAATCTACCCTTGATGCCATACCCTGCGATATTTATCTAATGTTACCTAATGCCCCATTAAGTGAGAAACAGAATATTTTTTATACAGCCTTGTGATATAACATTTCAGGAGAAGTAACGGATCAGATACCAGTTTACCAAGATGGTAAGTTTCACTCTATATGTAGTATTATTTTTATTTCACAGTATTTCATCTACTCTTTTTATACTTTTGGGTCTTTTTTCACAAAATAAATGAAAGAATTTTAAATAAAAATCATACGCAGTGGAGCAGCTGAGAATTTTTGAAAAAATTATGTAATTTACTTATATTTGTGTATCTGTACATGAATAGTATTGTACATAACCAGCATCTAGTTGTACAGATGGTACATAAAATCTGTGTACCGCAGGCACTTTGAAATAAAGAGTAGTGCTGCTGTCTCAGCAAAATTCCTCATAGCGTACTGCATGGCATATGCCCATTTTCATTAGCTCAGATGGAGCAGAAAAGTAGGATGCTAAACCCCATTTCATTTCTGTAATATTGAGAAATAATATTACATTTCTGTTGGAGATGCCTATTTATGGTTTATCAAAGCATTGCCCCCCTTATTCTTTCAAGTTACACCCAATTTCATTCATTCATTCTTTCCAGTGATTAGTAGGAGGTTAAACCTCATTTCATTCATTCATTATTTTCAGTGATTCACCAGGTGTTGTTCATCGTCAGTCATCGGCTCTTTCAAACAGAATAGAAAGTCCGAGACGAAGTAAGCTAGAAGTTCCAAAACATCTCTCGGTTAATATGTGTGAAAATAAAACGGAAGCCACCACCTGTCTAGCTATAGCAGTACCAAGTAAAACCAATGTTGTTGCACCATGGGAAGGACCAGATTAATCAACATAGTTACCACTATATATAGTATCTCTGATCTCATTCAAACAGATTCTATCTAGTTGTAGTGTAAATGAAACGGTCTTGAGGTTTGTTTGAATGAGATTTAGTTTTTAAATATTCATTTTGAATCTAAACTTGTACATGTATGATATTATTATGCTAGAGAAATATTTAACATTATAGAGTTATACAATGTTATGACACAATGGAAAGTGCATGCATAATTCATGTTATTTTGTGCATATTGACTTGAAATGGTAAAACATATCTTTTAAGTTCTGGGATCCAACCAATAACCAGTTGATATTAGTTTATTGTGATAGTAGGGAAATAACTTTTGATAGAAATATATCTTTAAACAATATATATTGGATTATTAACTATCAATTATTAATGATGTCTTTATCGATACAATTGACAATGTCTTTATGAATAATGTTTTTGAATAAAAGAATTTAACTATATATTAATTTATTATTGTACATGTATAAAGGTACAAAAAGCCAATAACATTAGTCATGGCTGCATAGGTTTTTTTACACTCATAGGTTTCTTACTGCTTGGTATTTGTAGTTTGTACCATGACTAACAATTGCTCTTGTAGCAAAACACAATCTGTAAAAATTATTTTATCAAGATGCAATTAATCCTCACTCAATGTTTAAACATACACTGCTGTATAAAGTATCACATAGATCAATGTCTATATTGATATTACCTGTCACATGCTGAATTCTCATCAATATAAATAGCTGCAATAGACCGTGATAACAAAAATTTGAAAGTGGTCTCAAAAATTTTTTTTATTTTTTTTTTATTTTTACAGCATTTTGTTTTTCTACAAATAAAAATGGTTATATATTATGATAATTGGAGAAGAATCTGAGTATGGTTAAAATTAAGATATATATATATATAGAAACAAAACTTTTCTTTTAGTGTATATTATTCATGGAGATTTAAAATCTTTCTTTAGGTTTTAGAGGAGTTTAATAATATTAATTGTATAGAATTTGTTAATTGTGTAAAATTATATTATTGTATAGAAAGTTGTTAATTGCATATGTATTGTTGCTCAAGGCTTTTTAACCTATTATACTATAATCTTTTAGAGGCATTTAATTACTAGATAGCGTAATAAACTACAACACATACTTATGGGAGAGAGAAATGGGGTTTAATGTCCACTCGATACAAACTGTCATGTCGGGACTAACACATGGTTCAATTTTATTTCAATAATTCGCTTGCGCGTAGGGTTCTTTAGCAGTAGGAGGAAACCGGAGGACCTGTAGAAAACCCACAAGGTTGGACAGGCGACCTTACTCCTTGTCACGTACAACCGGGGAATTTGGAATCCCGCCAGTTGACTCAATGACAGACCGTATGATACAGAGCGAACATGCTAACCATTCGGCCATCCAACCCCCCACATACTTATGGAAAACAGCTACCGTACTAATTTATATGGGGTGATGTTTCAAAGAGTATACTATCTACGTTATCAATCTTTTAACTGCACTTACTACTGAGAGTATACTCTTCAAACCCTCGCCCAAATATATTAGTTGCTGTTTTCTATAAGTATATGTTATAGTTTATTATTATATTATATGTCTCTATAAACAATACACCAAACAGCTTTTTTGTTCAATGTCATTTATAACTCAACACTTGTTAAATTATTACATCTTTTTATTACTTTGTTGTTCTTATAGTTTAAAATATCTCATTGTTCAGTTTTTTATTTACCTTTTTTTAAATTATTATTCATATATTCTTCAACATTCAAGAATATTTAATATCGTATTAAAGGAGGCAAATGTCTAACTGAATATCATCCACAGTCTTTGACTTTGTAAACACAACTTGTTGGTCAATTTAAATCAACATTGATGTTGTTATGTTATTACCGTGAAAAAATGGGCTTCTGATATCCAATATTTAAGACAAAATGAAAATTTTAAAATTGGCACACGAATCACGTGCCAGAATGCTTTCGAGTGCCATTTTAAAATCTAGCGGCTCAATGCACGAGGCTAAACATATCCCACAGGAGAATACTACCGGTGTAGACTGAAATAACCAGACGCTAAAGACTGTCATGCATCTTGGACTCTTTGCGTATTCACCGAACATAACCGATTAGAAATTACAGTAAAAACAGAAATGATTGAATGTAAATCAGTTTACATTCATATTACATTATTATATGCTTTGCAACACATTTGTGTCCATTTCTAGGTGCCAAAGAATAGAGATTTAGCTCCTTTAATCAATATAAGATTGTTTATTTCCCCCATACCTTTAGAAGAAAGCAGGGAACTATTGAAATGGGTCCCGCCAGCTAGCTGTCTGTCCATCACAATTTGTTGGGACACAATAACCCTGCCTCTAATGGAGTGAGAATTTTCTGCTTAGAATAATCAGGGATAAGGACTTCGATTTGTCAATGCTTTTGGGACACAATTACTTTGATTCTATTTGAGTGAGAGTGAGTGTAGTTTCATTACATCAATACTTTGACTAAGTTTGAGAGTGAGCATTTTAGGCTCAGGTTAAGCAAAGTGATAAGCAATTTAATTAGTGGGGACTTTTGACCACAATAACTTTGATTCTGATTGGGTGAGAATGGTGGAACTTAGTCTATAAGTCTATAGTTTCATTACCTCAAAATTGTGACTAAGTTCGATCAGCTAAGTTCTGCTTAGACCATGTATAGATGAGCAGTTCAATTGCTCAGTGCAAATAATTAATGTGTGTCATGTATTTATTTTGGGATTGAGATGGGGGGACATTAGACTCACTGCCAGCTTGTTAACAATAATTCTGTTACATATAATTAACACATACAGTATATATTTACGGGTGTGATAAACAATGTATTAACCAAACTCCCCAAAATTGTACGTGATTTGGGATATGTTGATGTTCTCATCAAATATTCAGTTTCAAATACATTTGCTCAGTCAGTGTTGATTTCATTTGTTGTTCTATAGGAACATGTTTTTTTGTTGATCAAGATTTATCGAAACATTGAAGTCACCATTGAAAACCCATCTTTTATGTGACCAACGAGGAAATTCTTGAAAACACATCAGGAACTCAGTGTTCAGTAATCATGTGTTATATAAATCCTGATATTATTATTACAATGATGTGTTATGTAAATCATGATATTATTACAATGATGTGTTATATAAATTATATTATTATTAAAATGGACATATTTGATTTCTCATCGAGATAATTTATGGAATCTATGAACCAACTCATTCTGTTGCTGCCATTTTCATTAGTTAGAGTCAGACCTATGAAATAATTTATATAGACCCAGGAACATTCCGCCTATTTATATTTCTTTTGTTGCTATTATCTATTGCGCTTTTCTATATCCTTTTTGATAGGCATTTAGTTTTGAACATATTTAAGAAAACAAGGGTACACTTTTATGGATAAATTCTGTAATTATATATCCATAAAATTATACATTGTGTCGGTGGGTTGGATGCAAAATATTGGGGATGGGGGGAGGGTCCTTCCTCCCAAATTTTCTGAATATAACGTTCAATTTCAACCCTATATCACCCAAACCAACAAAAAGCTCAAATTTACATGTTTCATAGAAACAAAACAATAAGTGAATTTTTGATGCTGTTTATTTAGGGGAATCTGTGGCCTCTGGGACCTACAATGGATCCGCAACTGCCTTGTGTTACTATTGAATATATCAAGTATAGCAGACATTATACAGGGTATATAGCATGTGTTAAAAGTATTTGTTCTACCTGTAAAGACTGTTTGTTGAAAACTTGTTAAACTGTTTGAATCAATAATGACCATGGAACCTATTAATGGTTATATTTACTTTCTTTTAATATATAACAATTTTCTATAATTTTGTGTTTTTGTATTTTAAATATATGATTCCTTATTGCTGTGCTTCTTGGAATATTTTAATAAAGTAAAAGGTTTTGAAAGTGCCAAATAATCAATTTAGTCTTAGTCACTATTGTATCTTTTGATTTTTTTTGTAATTTTACATTCAAGAATTATTATAAAAAGAAAAAGAAAGTCTAGTCTTATTGTCTTTTATATATTCCATTTTATTGTTTGATTTTGTGCAATTTTACATTCAAGAATTATTATGAAAAGAAAGGTCTATGATGGTTTTGTTATAACACGTGTAGGCTTCTGTTCTTTTACTTTTCTAATCTCATATTACACATTATTTTATGTATAACAGGGTCTATTACAGGGTATTCTTTGGGGGACAAAAAACTGTTAATGATGGGTTTATTATAACACAGGGTATGCTTCTGTTTATAATCTCATATTATAAATTATTTTGGTTAAAGCAGCAATAAGTCTCTGCCTTATTTTATTTTAATCATACTGATTGTTGAATAATAATATTAATTTAAACATAATTCTAATAGTTTAAGCTCTGGTACAAGTTATATTCTGGAATAATGCCCAGTGTTTATCTTACTATGACATCACTTACTGTAAACAGGTTACCAATTTAAGAAATAGAGTTTTCAATTGTCGTATTTAAAGAAATGTGGAGGTTTATAAGATTCAATAATCATGAGAGTACCCCCATTGAAACGTTGGCAGTTAATAAACCGAGTGAATATTTTCCATAAAGCTGTTCGTTCGTTCGTTCTTGGTGTTTAACGCCTGCTTCCACATAGTGATATCGCAGACAAGACATAGGAGAGCCGAAGCTGATTCCTGTTTTTTAGAATATGATTTTGCAATCTTTCCATTTGGCCTTAGGCCATGGATTTGTATAAAGCTGTCTGTTATTCAATAGGTTTATAGATGACCAAAGACTGGATCTGATTGGTTTTTATAAATCAATAACAATTGCTACTTTAAAACTAGGTTTATTACAGTTAACAAATGGGGTAAAATATGAGAGTTGTTTATAAATGAACTAGAATATCTTTATTGTTGTGTTGTTAATTTTTCTTATCTATATTATTGTATATAAATGAAGATTGTAGATAAATTACAAAAGATTTTAACTTCATTGAAAATTAATTTTAAATTTGTATTGATATACTTTGCAGCACCTTTTTTCTAGAATTATATACACTTAGACATCAAAGAATCAAAAACTATAGACATTATTAAGTCACATTTGAAGAAGCATCTATTTGATGAGAATAAACAATAAATAATTTACATATTATGTTAAGTGCATAAAGAACTTTATTTGATGTAAATTTTTTAATTTCTATTGCATGGTTACCCTTTTTGGATGTTTTCAGATTTTTTTATAGCATAATTATTCTTTACCTGCTTGTTCTGTCAAATGACTTATAAATTTTTTGTTTGATATTCATATAGTTTTTACCTATTTCTATTTTTTCAAACAAGATGTATACTATACAGTTTTTATTATTTATTGCATGGTAATTTATTAGTTTTACTCCATGTTTATTATAGCTTTATTTACACTGAGCTGGGACTTTTTCGATGCCGTACTGTACAAAGGGGAAAATTTGCAGCTTGGTATGCTCTTATTTGGTGCTGTATTAAAACTACTGGGGAAGATTCGCAGCATGCTAGGCCCTTATTTGGTGTCGTAAGTACATGTATTAAACTACCGGGAAAGTTTTGCACCATAATAAGCGCTTATTATAAGCATATAAACATAAAACCATCCATCGGTTTGTACAGGACAGGTCGTACTCATATCACAAGGTTGTACAGGCAACCCTACTCCTCGTCACATACAGGTGTGGGAATCAACCTTATGATTTAAAATGCATGTGTTGACCATTCGACTACCCCACTCCCCTGGTATTACAGTACCAGTACCTTAGTGTAAATACAGCTTATATCTTTACATAGTGCTTTTATTATATCATTCAGTATCTTTAAAGTGATTATTCTAGTTAAGTGCCAATATGGTTATTCATGTTTCAAAAGTTTTCACAAATATTTCATATTTGAGCACAAATTGAACTGTGTATTGTTAGTATTACATTCCATATATTAATAGGGGATAATATTCAGTAGGCCAAATCAATTTAATTTTAGTTCTTCGGGAATCTTGTTTAATAGAAAGCCATATGAGTCTCATGAAAAATATTTTATTTAGAATTTCAAAACTAAAAGCCTTAGAGAAAAACAACCAAGTAGGTTTGTTTTTAAATTATTATTTTTTTTCTTTTCATGTAGAAATAGGACATAAAATTTTAATAGTTTTCCCCGAAGAACAAAAGTTCAAATTGTTGTGGCCTTATTATGAAGTCGTATTACTATTAGAAGCATTCAGATAATTATTATCTAGCATATATATATATATATATAATTATATTTGGAGATGAGTATTAATTAAGATGCACTATAATATACATTTAAAAGAGTATTCCGAATAAATCACAAGTAATGAATCAATTCAAGTATTTGTTTTTTGTGATTATCTACATTCCAAGTAGGAGTTAAAAGGTGCAACTTTTCGCCGAATTTGGTCATTTGGTAAGTGACCGTGGCAAGTGACATCCACTCGGCTGTTGTCAAGATGTTGCAACCAGCAAAGAGACGGTTAGGTGAAACAAAATGGAGTTCAACATCCTACTATTCTGGTCTGACTAGGTAATAAAGACAAGCTTACGCCATGCTATGATGAGGGAAATTTGCACCACTGACCAGGGGGAACCACACCGGATTTTCTCGGCCAATACTGTGATCAAACACAGGATCTCCAGGTTAGCGAGCCACCGTGGCTTCTCAACAAATTTAGTGAGAAAAATCTTAAAATCTTGATTATTGCTAAAGAGAATGGATAAATTGATCAATTCTGGTGTCAAGAAAGTGATCAAGGGTCATAACTCTTAAACACGGTGTCAATCAAATATTAACTTTAGCCTCTAAAGGTTCCACATGATATTTCAAAGATAAGGGCAATAACTCTGACAGTAATTATCAGAATTTGTTGAGAATCAATGGCCTTCATCTCGTGACCTTAAACACTGTGTATAAATTTAAAGTCAATCGGATATTAATTTTAGCCTCCAAAGCATCTACAAGATTTTTTAGAGTGATCAAGGGCCATAACTATGGCAGTAATTACCGGAAATCGTTTGGATATTAACTTTAGCCTCCAGGGTGTCCACAAAGAATTGTAGACACCGAACAGTGGCGACGACACTTTTCAATGTGGGCATATAAAAACTAGAAGTAGAAACTTGCCCCTGTATATTAAAATATGATTTTTTAATTGCTACCGTCTGTTTAGTGTGAATTTCCTTTATCAATAAAAACATAATGGGCTCAGCTAACCAAGTTACCTCAATAGGTGTCAGATATTAGAGAAAGCATTTATGCATCAATTGTGGATTGGTAAGTGTTTTCTTTTAGATTATGCATTATATCTATTTCTATGGTGTTGGTGGAATAGTGAATAGGTGTGGGGTGTGTCTAACTCTTAACATGTTATGAAATGAATTGTATAGTATCTGAACATGTTCGAGGTGTTTAAACCTCTTCTTTCACTGAGGGTGATACCTGATACCCCAGACAAGTTGTCTTTATTTTTTTTTTCATTATATAAGCTTTATTATCTTTCTGGTGGGAGGAAACTGTAGTACCCGGAGTAAACAAACGAGGTCGAGTAGGCTCCCCTATCTTCAAGCCACATACGCTCACAGCATGGATCACAACTACAGAGTTCACGACAAGCTAGAGCTCGAAGCATGACACTTTAGACCACTAGGCCATCCCAACCCCCCATTATCTGAAGATGAAAGAAAGAACAGTAAAGCATATTGTGTAGTACAGTATAGAGGTGTGTAGTATAAAGTATATCAGATAGTCTATGTATATTAGAGGTCATGTTTCTTGAGCAACAACTGCGTGTTTTACAACATCTGGACGATGCTCGATTACTTTGCAATTCCAAAACTTACAGCTACGTTATCTACAGACACGTGAAAAGTAGCGTCCAATCAGAGGTTGTGACATAGGGACCTCCACGGAAACCTTGACATTGAATGATGATTACAGGTGTAAAGTATATTGTATAATATAGTATAGAGGTGAGTGGTATAAAGCATATTAAAGTCTGTGTGTATTAGAGGTGTAAAGTATAAAGTATATCCGAGTCTGTGTGTATTAGAGGTGTAAAGTATATCAGATTCTGTGTGTATTAGAGGTGTAAAGTATATCAGAATCTATGTGTATCAGAGGTGTAAAGTATATTGTGTATTATAGTATAGTAGTGTCTGATATAAAGTATATCAGAGAGTCTATGTTTATTATAGTCCATTCAAGTGTACATCGGTACTGTATATTGTACAAGTTATCCACTATAAACACAACTGTTCTTGTACCATTTGTAACAAAAATAATTTAGTTGAAAAAAATTCACCTATTATACATTATTATTTTTATTATTTATATTACTCTTTTTATAAATAAATATAATTTCAAAGATTTTCAGGTGACAACCATTCCATTAGGACAAGTTAATCATACATATATATCATATTGGTGGTAGGAAAATACTTACAACCACATACACAGTATATGGAGTTACTCCAGTAATGTATGTCCACACCTACATGCTACATTGGAAATTATTTGCCTGCCGATATCAATATCTGCCTACAAATCTCAATATCTACAAATTATTTACTGTTATCGATATCAACTAATTGCCTCCTGATATCAATATCAACTGATATCAATATCAACTAATTGCCTACGATATCAATATCAACTAATTGTTTTCTTTGTATAACCTATTCTGATAATTCTACAAGCATTTTTTAACAATTCTAATTGAATCAAATAAGAAATAACCAGCAACATTTACACAGCAGATTTACAAATACCAGCCTTTCTGTCCTGGTATTACAGAATAAATAATTCCACTTCACCAATCATCATTCATCCATAGAACATCCCTACAATCACACGATTCTGTTTATCACTTTTCATGGAATATAACAAACATGCAGATTTATCAACTATACAAACTCTTATAGTTTCTAAATTAATCCCAAACCAATCTATCATACAACACTAAAACCACATGGTCTATCACGAAATATTTATATCTGCTCGTAATGATAGAATTTTTCCGGCTATTTTTGGAGAAAGTTTATAAACGCCCATTTCACTCAGTGTTTGTTTAATATCAGTCTTTTTTGAGTTCGGATCTTTTATTGTATCAACTTCTGCCATTAAAACTTCTTTTAATAAAATAGCAGACCCAGCTTTCAATGTTAATAAGATGCATGCTTCCTTTACCCTGAAAAGATAAATCCTAAGGTTAAGCAATATATTTATGTTTACAAAATACATAGATCAAGGCTTGTCTGCCAGTTCCTCTAATATACAGAATAGCAGTGACATCGACTATCCTCTCTCTAAAAAATTTTCTGAGCAAGTTTTTAAAAATCCAATGGAAGTTTTAAAAATTCTATGCATTGTATTCACATGGTTTAAATGGCAAAATATGAGAGAGAGTAATGGGGCCACCTCCACTCGACACAAACCAGGTCATTTTGTAACTAATATATGGTTCAATTTTATTTCAATAATTTGTTGGCGCGAAGATGGGAAACAGGAGGACGGGGCAGGCGATCCTACTCCTTGTCACGCACAAGTGAGAGCTTCAAACTACACCACTTCACGCAGTGATAGATCTTATGATCTAAAGCACATGCATTAGACCACTGAATTTCAAATGGTTTCCACCTTATGCCCCTATGAACTATCTCCACAAGTTTTGAAAAATTTCACTGAAACCTTTGTCCTATATCATGTTAATAAGCTTTAAAAGTCAAAGTATGATTGGACAGAAAAAAGCACAAAACCATATAAGAAATATCTCATATGAACAATTTCTATTGTGAATTTTATCCTGTATCACAAGATGAATAACCAATCCAACAAGAATTTTAATGTGTAGAATGTTCACAAGGATGTTAGACAGATTGACGGACGCAGGGGATGCCAATATACTTCCACATTAAATGTAACTACATAAATATATTATGATTTTAATATCGATTAATGTAATCTTACTCTCTGAAGTAGTTTTCTGGTTTTGGTGTAAATTCTCCAAACAGTGGAAAGAGATTTCTTGTCATATCAAAGTGAAGTTGAACTCCTCCTCCATCATTAAAATGATTTGATAATATTACCTGTTAAACACAAATAAATATCATATTAGTGTGATAATAAATGCAAATAAATATCATATTAGTGTGATAATAAATTCAAGGAGTGGGCTAGAATTTTTGCTTTGGTCACCCAGAACAGATAATTTGGGCTAACATTTATCAAAGAGAGAAGAAGAGAAAGAGAAATGGGGTTAATTATCAACTCAACACAAACTAGGTCAATTTGGGACTAACATATACAATTTTATTTCAATAATTTGCTTGCGCATAAGTGATCTTTATGAGAAAACCCATAAGATTGAGCAGGTGATGCTATGTGCAAGCTTGGGATAGAGACTACACCACTTGACTCAACGACAGACTCTATGATCTACAGCGCATGCATTATACCACTCGACCACCCAACCCCTCCTAACCTGTATCAATGATGGCAAACATAATTAGACATCCAATATTTAAAGTGTGACACAACAAGACCAACACTTACATCATTTAGAATAAATCTATTGAGTTTTTCTGCTAATCTCTGCCATAATATTCTAAATAGTGGTTTAGAGAGTAGGTTCTCCATTAAAGCTAAATGACCTTTTAACACCAGAAACATATCACAAGCTGATATAGATAGACCTAATGTTGACTGTAAATCTTTCTGTGAAGGTAGAACCAGCCACCTGCAATACAGAGATAAATGGGTTTTAACATTCACTCAACACAAACAGTCAAACAGGACTAACATACCATTATATATCAATAATTCACTTGTGTATATGGGTCTTAAGTTACATAAGCCACCCTACTCCTTGTCACTTACAAGTGTGGGTTCGAAACCACACTACTTGACTCAATGACAGACCTTATGATCTATAGCACACATGAGAAGGACTATACCCCAAGTAATATATAATGTGTTTTTATTTGAATGAGTAACCTACCTGTCCTTTTTATAAGAATGACTATGTGCCTGTATATCCATATGAATATAATTAGCACAATTCTTTAACATCTCATTTCTTAAACTTTCATATTTTTCCATAACATCCTCAAATACAGTTGTCTCAAATATAGGTACATTAACATCCTGTACAATATGAAACATTTTCACATTACCTTTCATATGATTCTCTAATTAAAACTAGTTGCTCATGTTACATATATTTTGTTCTTCAGTTTAAAAGTAAAACAAATATTAATTGCTATGTAAACTTGCCAAATACATTGGAAGTGGTATCAGATGTTCAACAAGCTTAAGAATGAATGAATGAATGGCTACTCAAGAAGACTAAGAACTTGTTGCCCAAGGGCACCATTTAAGGCACTGTAAAGGGCCGGTCACACAGGCTTCCGCGAGTTGATCACGAGTGTATCGCGAGGAAGAACTGTCAAACGCGAAGTAAGCGCGGTCACAAGTGAATGACACGTGAATGAAACGTGGTGGACTCGCGAATAACAAGTGCGCACACGCGCGAAAAATTTTACACGCGCACGGAGTCCGATTTTATTTTTGAGCAGCACAAAAATTAGGCGCAACGGCCACCGCGTGTCGCACACGTGGTGTAAACGCTGTACAAACGCGGGCCAAACGCGATAACACGTGGTACACTCGCGGATCACAAGTGGACGACAAGTGGTCACTCGCGGGCAAACGCAAAATTTCTTCGTGTGACTGCGTGTGTAGCACTTGTCATCCACTTGTGATCCGCGTGTCTACAGCGTTCCTACCACCTGTGATAGCGTGTGCTCCACGTGTAAAAGGCTTCCTCAGGGATTGTGTCACGAGTCATCCGCGGGCCATTCGCGTGTTTTCGCGTTGAATCGCGATTGAACCACGACTGATTCGCGTGTCGTCCACGACCCAATCTCGTTTGTACCACTAGTTATTTCTGCTATAAAAAGATCGCGTGTGGGCCATTTTTCATCAGTTGTGATCAAGACGTTGAAGAGGCAACATGGATCCGGCGCATCGTAATGCTTTGGTTATGCTGTTCCAGCAACATCAGAACCAGCTACTTCAGGTTCAGCAAGCCCTGGATGTCAGAAGAAGAGTGAGGAGAAGACAAAGAAGAGTCAGAGCCATATGGGTGCGCCAATGGATCAACCGCAGGCCACAGCTGGGGCTGTATGACAGGCTGATGGTGGAGCTGAGGAACGAGGACCCCCGTGCCTTCAAGAACTTTATGAGAATGCCTCCGGTGATGTATGATGAACTGGTGGAAAGGCTGACACCAACACTGACGAAGGAGACAACCAATTGGCGAGCTCCCTTGGACCCAGGCTTAAAGGTGGCCATCACCTTGAGGCACCTTGCATCAGGCTCGAAATACAGGGAGATGCAGTATGGCTGGCGTGTCCCACACAACACCATAAGCCTCATTGTTCGTGAAGTTTGTGAGGCAATCGTGCATGTATATCGTGAGGAGATGCTGTCACCTCCAGAAACCCCCGAACAGTGGCAACAAATTACAGACGATTGGCTGAACAGGTGGAATTTCCCTCACGTGATTGGAGCTATAGACGGCAAACACATAGCATGCAAGGCCCCTCCCAACTCTGGCTCTGAATTCTACAATTACAAGGGTTTTTTCAGCATTATTCTCTTGGCTGTGGTGACCAGTGATTACAAGTTCTTATGGGTGGACGTGAGTGGCAAGGGGGCCTCATCAGACGCGCATATCTACAATGCCAGTGAGTTTAAAGAAGGCTTACAGAACGGTGACATTCTTGGATTCCCTCAGCCTACTCCCCTCCCAGGGGACACAGAAGATCTACCTTACTTCCTGGTGGGTGACGATGCATTTGGATTGAGAAGCTTTATGATGAAGCCCTTTGGGAACAGACAGCTATCAAGAAAACAAAGAATCTTCAACTACAGATTGTCAAGAGCAAGACGGGTGGTGGAAAATGCCTTTGGCATTCTTGCCAACAGATTCCAGGTGTTACTAACAACAATGATGCACCAACCAGACACGGTTAGGCTCATTGTCAAGGCATGTGTGGTCCTCCACAACCTGATGCGCACGAGGTATCCTGTCATGCAAAACAGACTTGTTGACATTGAACGCCCTGATGGAGCCCTGGTGCCTGGTGAATGGCGTCGAGGAAAGAATCTGGATGACACAAGACCTGAGAACCTACCAGGAACCAACAGAGACTACAAATTGGCCAAGGCTCAGAGGAATCTCATAATGGAATGGTGTTCATCCCCTGCTGGGAGTGTTGCATGGCAAGACAACATGCTCCTTGACTAGTTCTTGTGGAAGTGACAGTGTGGACAAATGATAGTGTTTGGGGGCATTGTGGCAGTATGTGTTTGGGGGGGGGGGGGGGCAGCATTTGTGGCAATAAAACTTTGATAAAACTATTATATAATAAAATAAATGAAAAAAATCCTGCAATAAAATAAAGTACATTTCAAATTTGAAAAAAATAAAAGTAAGCTTAGGACCTTTAGTCCTAAACTCACTTTTATTTCTTTTCATTTGAGATGTAATTTTATTTTATTGCAATAATTTTAAAATTTATTATTTTCAATGTATTGTTACATTTGTTGCCATTCAATAATATGGTTATAAAATAAAAATGAAAGATTATTGGAATAAAAATATTTGAAATGACAAAGAAAAGAAGTTACATAAAGTATTTATTCAACTTTTATTTTTGACATTTGAAATACATTTTTGTTGCAATATTCTCCCACTTTCATTTTATTATAATTACAACTTCTAAGTCACATGGTGCAAATACTATTTTCTAATTGACTGAGATGCAACATACAATCCAAGTTCATTGGGCGATGAACAAGGTTTTGCAAACGGACTACTTTTCTACGGAGTAATTTTACTAGTTTTGTTCGCTATAAATCGATAAAATCAAATGAAATTTGTTGAGTTGTAATTACAAGAAATGAAATTAAATTTGTCGAGTTTACGGCGTGCGTTATACAAATAAGTGCACTTTTCCCCGACGTTCATCACGCCGTAAACTCGACAAATTTTAATTTCATTTCTTAAACCATTTCACAAAGTTCAATTTATTCACGAAAAACAATTAGTAACAGTTCAACAATTTTATTATCACGTATCACGTGTATAACAAGTGAAATAAAAGAAAGTCACTGCTAGCAATCCATGCTATGGCAAAAACAAAATACAAAATACATCAGTTCAAGGAATGTCACTGTAGCACCATGCACCACATCCCAACACAACAAAATACAACTGTCAGTGTAACATGAAACCTTCATGCATCCTCATCCTCACTGTAACTGTCACGAGTTCCCTGAGTAGCCACAGACTGAGTGTCACTCTCAACTGCTGTTGGTTCCACGGCTGGTGGTGTTGACAAGGATGGTGGTGCACCCAAAGCTGCAGATGCCAGAATGGGAGGTCGGTGAGTTGCTGGTGACACTGTCGAGAATGGTGGGGTGTTCATACTGTCTTGTGAAACACGGCCGAAGTTGCTCTGCTCCATGTTGAACGACCAATCCCCACCTAGGGCAGTGCTCTGTGCTCTGGACATCGATTCTGAAGATGCTGTGTGTTGACGAGGAGTACTGAGGTTGGGTTGTTGAAGCTCTTGCTGCCCAGGGTACTGCTGCTGCTGTTGGTATCCTCCCTCTCCTCCCCCTACACCATGCTGCCAGGCATAATAGTTGGGCTGTGTCTGGAAGTACTGCTGATGCTGAGGGTACTGTTGATGGTACTGATGATACTGCCCAAAGGAGGCGGCTGTGCAAGTTGGAGGAGCCGAAGTGGAAGCTGAGGGTCTTTCAGATTGAGCCTTTATCTGTTTCAGTATATCCGATATGAGCTCTTTGACATTGTTGAAGTCTTGAAGACTGCAAGACCTGAGAGTCTGGGTGACATAGCTTATGAAGGGTTCACGCTGGCTCTTCTCCCTCTCCTTGTCCTCGAGCATTTTTTCCATCAGCTTTGCAAGGAGTGTTTGGTTGGTCTGAAGATTTTTACGAAGTTCGGGCATCCAGCTCTCCGCCTCGTCCTCCTTCCTCCTCCTCTTCCTGTGCTGGAAACTAGAGTTGACTGATCCGAGCTCTGCTGCCTCCCTCTCGAGGTCTTCGAGCACATTGCCTGACTGTCTCTCCGTCTCAGCTGGGTCATCCAAGGATAGCAGAGGGGGTCTTGCTGTGGACGTGGAGGCAGAACCAGCGGCAGAACCAGTAGTAGAGCCAGCAGCAGCAGTACGTCGGATCTGCATGACAGTGTCAGATTCTTCATCAGGTATGGCAGCTGAAAGAAGGTAAACGTTTGTTAAGTGTTTTGCATTCAAATTTTTCTGAACAATATTAAAGGACTGTTATTAGGGACAAGTGAATTTCTGAATAATCATTACACTAAATCGTAGTAATTATTATGTTTTAAATTTTAAAATTAAATGTACAAAAATGCTTTTGAAAAATGGAAATGTTTGAAATAATTATCAACATATGTACTGACCTTTGTAGAAGGAAATATTATTCAGCACCCACTTGTCCCTGTCGGTGAGAAGCTTGCGCTCCTGGCCACTGGCAACCTTGATCAGCCTGACGTACCAGTCCTTCAAGTTCTTCCACCAGTGCCCGAGGTAGTCAGTCGAGATACCAATTTCTTTTGCTTTAGCTTCCCAGGCTTCTGTCTTTTTCTTGTAGTCACGTTGACTGCGCATCCACAAGTAACTTCTGTCTCGCATCCACTCAACCAGATCCTGTTCTGTGTCAGGTGGCAACTTCCACTCCTTCTTGGGACCTCTTGGCTTTCTCGGCTTCTTGCCCTTGCCCTTGGCATGACCATCAGCCTCTTTCTGCTCCTCCACAGGCTCCTCTCGCACCAGAACTTCGGGTGTGGGGTCATGTGACGCAGGTGACGAAGGTGAGGCAGGGTTCTCCAGTGGCACAAGCTGTGGCTCAGCCTGAGTGGCGACGGGCATAGTGGCAGTGCTCTTAGAAGGACCACTCGTGCTGACTGGAGTGTTTGCAACTGTTGTACAAAATGAAAAGAGAAAATAAAGGTATTTTTAATAAATAGTAAGGAATGTTGAAAAACATACATATCAAATGAACACTTCAGCATAAATAAAATTGAAATAAATAAATTTGAATACTTTCTGACAGCCACGTAAACGAATATTTAAATAAAATAAATTTTGAACACGTCACGTTATACTAGTAACGAGTATTTCCAAATAAAAAATCAAAAACATGTTACATAAATTGTACTTACCATCAGGAAGAAGCTCGTCCTCTTCTCCACTGCCATTGGAACCAGGGACACCAGCAGCGGCAGCAGCAGCATGTACACGAGCCGTCACCTTTATGCCCATCTTCTTGGACTGCCTGTTCTTGCTGCCCTGGGGGGGCTCGGGGGTGCTGCTCTCCACCTCCTCGGTAGCAGTTTCAGGCTCCGAGACTTTTGCCTTCGGCCTGGGCCTTGCTTGCCTCTTCATCTTCTTGGGCGTGGAGTTGCCCTTCTTTGATTTCGGTGCCATGATTTTGATCTTTACTCTACGGAATATTGATCGATACTGATCCAGAACACCGGACGCGGCGGCTTTTATACACGCGGGCGGCAAGCGGAGCACAAGTGATCGGCACGTGATTCACACGCGGAGCACATGTGGAGCACAAGTGATACACACGCGCTGCGTGTGACCCCATTTTCTGACCACAAGCGCTCACACACGGAGGACTCGTGGTGGACACGCGATGCACACGCGCGCGTGTGGTCCACTTGTCATTCGCGTGTCCAGCATGTCTGAGACAAATTGGTTGATTTTCACCGCGTGTAGAAAAAATTTGCAAAATTTATAGCAAAATTACACGTGATCAACTCGCGGAAGCCTGTGTGACCGGCCCATTAGTAACATAACTAAGAAAGATAGTGTAGATATAGACTGGATTTAAAGCCTGTATAAATTAGTTTCTGAATAAGAAAATGAAATAATATAATACAATGGCATTTGTTTTCTATAGTCCAAACAAAGACGTGGGAGAAATGGTTAATGTTCTAATTTCTTCCACTAGACAAGTCCAGAAACTGACAATCAATCAAAATAATGCTGTCTTGGTATTATTGGTAAGATCTACTTACATGAACCAGAAAGTCATCAGGTAGTTCTAATGATGACGATGATTTTAGAGAATTTCTTGAATCCTCTGATTCTATATCTTTCATCATTTTACAGTATTGAAGTTTCAGGAAAAACTAGAACATGAAATAATGTTAATTTAATGTAAACTTATACTGTCATGTTAATAAATGTCTAAATAATAATTTATATAACATTTGAAGCCAGAATCACGTCCGGCAAATCGGAAGGTTAGCTTTTGCACAATGCCTTTTTTAGGAATAAAATAGTATAAAGGAAATTTACCACCAGCTCACTCCATTCTCTAAGAACTTCTACAACATAATGTACACCATTCAAAATGGCTGCAAACTGTTCTCCTACAGGATTGTGGGTATATTCCTTCATTACTTGAACAACACGAACTCGAAATTCTTCCAACAATTCTAACTGAAGTCTAAGGAATTGTAGTTGACTGGCAGGTGTTGGTAGTGGTTTATAACGATCTGCACAAAAAGACACAAAATGAAATGGAATTGGGGTTAACGTCCTACTTTTCTGCACCACCTGGGCTAATAAAGACGGACATATGCCATGCAGTGGGCTATGAGGGAAATCTAGCCCAAACAGTGGAGTATCTGCTCCCCAGAAAGATACAAACACATTTTATTAAAGTCATACTATGTGGACTATAATAATAATGCACATAAGCAATGAGCCCAATTCATCCCAGGGCATGCTCTACGCGATACAATAAATCTAAGTCTGTTAATGTTGGAGTCATAAAGTAAACCATTCCAATACCTGTAGTCAATATTTGATAATAAAAATGACTGTATTAGGATTTTTGCAACATCTACAGATATATACTTTCTAATATGTCCAATGCTTGAAAACAGAAATAGCAACCACAACACAGGTAATCTATTTGTGTTAACATGGTTAGAGTTGAATCAAGATAAACAGATATGCAAACCATGTGGGCAGTATACAGCTGTCACCACTGTCATTTGTTTTGGCCATTCACAGTTTTTAGACCTTTTTCCTTAACTTCATGCAGTAAATTGGCTAATCCTAAACCAGAACTCTACTAAAATTCTTATTTTTCACAGACTTCTGTCTCGAAAACCTTGTACATGGGGTTTTTTTTAAAAACTTTTGCAGGATTACTGCCCTGGTCATTGAAATCTTATAAACACTCTACATGTTTTTTCAGGTGTTTTTGTTTTTAAACTTGATGGGATTGTTTGGCCAATCCTACAAGGACGAATGTCAGTGAATCAGACCAAACCCAAACATCCAAAATTTAGCACTCTTCTGGTACCTAGTCCTAGGAGTGTGAATTGGAATTTAGTATCATGCACCATGTGTCACAGAGTTATTTCCCCTGAGCTTGAAAACTTGAAGCCACCCTCCAAAAAACTACTAGAGAGAGTATATTCATTGTCTGGCAATGCTATATTTATATTAATCATTTTACAATTTAATCATGCCACCCTTCAAAAAGCTATGGTACTAGAACGTGTATATTTGTAGCCTGGCAACAACACGTTTATATTAATCATATTACAATTTACCTGTTATAGTTAATAATAAAGTCATAAAACTTTCAGCACATTCTGGTACCTTGAGTTCATCAACATCTGTTATATCTTTATATTGTGATAACCAGGCTGATGGTGACGTCAACATACCATCTATCTTCTCTATAGCAACTACAATATACATAACATTAAATTAAACGTGGGAACAAGTCATTGACTTTAATACCAAGTCTTCACAAAACCAACGCCAGCAATTCATGGCGAATAAGACAAGTAAAATTATGTCCCCTCACTGCGACTCAAGTCCTTAGCCCTTTCAAGTCACAAGTTGTCACAATTGCCAAGTCTGAGTCCAGTCTCGATAAATATTTCGAGTCTTTGATGCGACTATAGTTGGAACTCAAGGACCCACCTCTAAATTACATTGATACAAAATATTTTTAATCCGTAGCATGTCAAATTATTGTAAATACTTGAATTCTACAAGATGGCAATCCATGGCAATTCTGTTAGACACTCCTGTAAACATCAGGCCATTTGAGGGAGTCTTACTTTAGCTCAAGTCATACTTTAGCAAATTTTTAATTTCTCAATTATAACACTTCATGACTGCTTGTTAATATCAGTATGTTAATATTCAATTATTTGATATTATAATAAAGTATGACTTCAGCTAATGTTCGAAAACCAAAATATAGCCTTTTAATACCATATATCCCTGATTTCTGAAGAGACTTTAGCAGTATGTTATGTTAGTTTCGTAATTAGTTTAAGATCATCATCTAGGGATATTTTGTTGAAGTATCATTCCGAAAAGGTGGTATAACTAGTAAGCATTCTTGAATATTGCCATAAATGGTTAAAAAAAATTAACAAATGTGTCTTTACTTACATTTCTTCTCAATTTGAAGCCATTTTTTGAAGACTTCACCATGAATTAAGACATGCAGACAACCTGGTTCACTTGCTGAGTAATTATACGTATTTCTAATTTCTCTATCAAACATTAACGCTTCATCTATCATATGAGATATTTGATGATCATCGAACAATAACTCTGGAATATCTGTTACTATCTTCTCCATTACTAATTGAACCAAGCCTCTCATAAACTCTATCTAAAATAGATACAGAGAAAATAAAACATGGCAATAAAACATATATAGAAACAGAGAAAGAGAGAAATGGGGTTTAAATTCCAACCAACACAAACTAGGTCATTTCGGGACTATGATATGAATCAATTTTATTTCAATAATTTGCTTGTGCATGGGTGGAAACCGGAGGACCCGGAGAAAACGTATGTAGGACAGGCAACCCTACTCCTTGTCATGTACAAGCCGGGAATCCAACCATGCCACTTGACTCAATGACAGATCTTATGATCTAAAGCGTATGTTAAACCATGAAGCCCCACAACCCCACTATGACATATCTTGTAACCATTTGATTTTTTTGAAAATCAATTTTTTGCCCCAGGTTTTTGATTTGACAAAAACATTTTTTTCTACTTCATCAGTTCATAAACTTTTGTAAAGTGCGAGGTAGTCTTATTGATTAATTACTATTCCATTTATGATAAAGAGGCATTCAGAAATTACTTTCCCCAAAAAAGAGAGAGAGGGAGAGAGAGAGAGAGAGAGAGTGTATCATCCACTCAATATCCAGGTCAATACCCAGACTATCACATGGTACAATTTTATTTCAACAATTTGCTTGAGGGGTCTTTAGCAGTGGTAGGAAACTGGAGGACTCAAAGTAAAGCAACCAGGTTGGGCAAGCAACCCTACTCTTTTTCACATACAAACTGGGAATCGAAACCACCCAACTTGACTCAGTGACCGACCTTATGATCTAAAGTTCAGATGTTCAACCACTTGACCACACAACCTCCCTAAGTTTCAAATAAGACATAATTTACCTGTGGATTAACTTCAATCCCTTCTTCTTTCAAGATAGGTTTGATATTTTTATTGATGAAATCATCATGGTCTCTAATCCAACTTAACACCTGAGTAAAATACCATTCAGGCTAATGAAAAAAATATAAAATATAAGTTAAATATGTGAATGGTTATCGGTGGAAAATTCAAAATATTCTATGTTAGGTTTAAACGGTGTCAAGCATATAATAATAGTAATTGATGCATTTATACAGTGCAACAAAATCCAGCCAATGGCTGCTCTAAGATACTTAAAGATACATTATGGGAGATTACATAAAGAGCTGGCAGTTCTCACTATAATAGTTAGAAACTAGATAATGTAAAGGCAATTTGCTGAAAATTTCAGTTAAATTAATCCACTATGAACCAAGATTTTAGTGATTGAATTTTCGGCCTAGCCTCGATCATCATTACTAAAGTCTGTACGATAAAAAACAGTCTCGACTATTCATTTCATGATTAAATTATGAATGGAAGTCGAACAGGAAATCGGAACCTAATCCAATAAACATCGCCGGCTAGCGATGCCATCGATAGTTGATTATGGTCTGGATAAGTTAATTAATGTCTACTTAATAATTTAGATAACATTTCAGGCCTAAAGAAAGACCTGCAATAGGCAGAATTAGCTCTTGCATAATGTTTGTTTAACAAAGCTTAGACATGGTATTTATATTTCTTTAAAAAAGGAAGATGATTTGTGCACATATATATAGGGTAAAAATAATATAGATATTGATAAAACTCAATCTACACATTATATAACAATTTGATAGCATAAGGAAAAGTCAGAATAAAATAATGGTCAATTTGAGACTTTAATGTGTCTTTGTTTGTGTTTCTAAGCTCCAACATCAATGGGTAATGATTAAAGTTCAATACAGAAAACTTCTCACTATTATAATGCACAATTATAACCGGGGAAATAATGCTAAAGAGAAAATATTTAACTAAATAAATACTGTCTACTCACCTTGTCTAAACTATTTGTTTGTTTATTGCCATAGAAATGGAACCGAAATCTTTTCTTTAATGGTATCAGCATCAGTTGCATGGGATAAATCAAGGGAGTTAACTCCACTATCTTCTTTAAATCTGGGTTAGTGACTGTTGAGTCTGGACTTATGTGCTCAGTTTAAAAAGTTAAGAAGTAAATAGGTCAAACTAGGAAAACAATAAATTCAATGTAAAATTTACCAATCAAAATAGTAAACATGCTGAAATTAGGGATGTTGGGTGGTCGAGTGGTTTAACACCTCTGCTTTGGATCATAAGGTTTGTCACTAAGTGGCATAGTTTTGAGCCCAAGCTTGTATGTGACAAGAAATAGGGTTGTCTGCCCATCAAAGTGGGTCTCCTCTCACTTTTAAATTGTACAAAGAGAGAGAGAGAGAAATGGGGTTTAACGTCCACTCGACACAGACTAGGTCATTTCGGGACTAACATATGGTTTAATTTTATTTCAATAATTCGCTTGCGCGTAGGGACTTTAGCAGTGGGAGGAAACCGGAGGACCCGGAGAAAACCCACGAGGTTGGACAGGCAACCCTACTCCTTGTCACGTACAACCGAGGATTCAAAACCACGCCAGTTGACTCAATGACAGGCCTTATGATACAGTGCACGCACGTGCTAACCAAACTGTACAAAGCATTAGTCCCTAAATGACTTAGTATGTGTTGAGTGGCTGTTAAAACTCTTTTCTCTGTATCGAATTATCAGAGTAAAGTTTGAAATCATAAATTATTCTGGAAGTAAAAACATATAACCCATGTCATAAATTGATAAAAGGATATGGCAATTGTAAATGTGATAACTGTCTCAAAATACTATCCATTTTCTTCTTGATTTCTGCTATATTTGGTGGAGTTACTGATTTTATAGTTGAGGTAACGACAGGCCATCTTAATGATTTCAAAACTTCTTCAAATTCACTGAAAATGAGAAAAAAAACATACAAGTCTTAACCACAAACTATAGTATAGTAAGCAATGTTAAACATTTTCATTTACATCTACATTCAAATTTCATTTAATTAATGTTGAATAGGTCCATTACCTAATTCATACATAATTTACTTTTGAAGATATCAAATTTCTGGAAAGAGTACTTTTTTTCATTATATCAAATTTACTAACCGTGCAATTCTACTTTTGATTATGTTGTTCCAAAAAATCACAGTATCTTCCACAAATCGAACCAATCTTACACACTTTGAAGATTGTAGATCTTTATATAGTATAATTAATTCTGTAAAATTATTCAAGGCTGGCTGCGACGTTTGAGTAATTAATGCTGCCTGTAGTTGGTGACTGAAACAATGATATCAAATATTTGCACATACTGATGAAGACTAGTATTAAATAGATTTGTTCGATAATTTATGCAACTTAGGTAAAACTTAAATTGGCAGGGAAAGAGAATTACAAAACCCATTTTTGAGAGGCCTACTTAAAGTCCCGATACGCCATTGGCATTTGTCGCTAGTATATCATATTTCTAACAGCTTAATCCATGTTAATATGTACTCAGATAGATTATTAAACATTTAATTAAGAAAATAAAATCAAAATACCAACGCTAGATAATCTCCTGGCTTGGATTCAATCGGATTTAAACTAGGCCCATCAGGTTTCTCAGCAACAAATAATAGCAAGCAGCATAGATCTATGTAATTTCAGTTCCACAATCTTTGTAAATACTGAACGGAAATTTAACCATTTTTTGGACTGATATTCTTATTTCACAATATTATAGTTTGCAAGTGATTCTATAATGCTAAAATGATGCATTGGGACTTTAACCTAATTAATCAATTAATGCCCTTTCCCAGTTTCATTACCTAATATCTTCAACTTTTGCTAAAACAGACAGATACTTTGAATATCTGTCCAATTCTTCGACTTTTGATGTTAATTTCTTCAAGTCATCTACCATAGGTTCAACATCCCTTAATTTATCTAAAATTTCATGGCGTAATTTTTCTTGTTTTTCTCCAAGTCTTTTTACATCTTTCTCTGTTTTTTCTGCAACTTTGATGGCTTTTTCAATCTCAGATGGCACTTCAGTACTGACCAGAGAAACCTGGAAATACAAATTTACAACATATGGATATATTGTACTCAGTCTGGTGGTATAAAGGGTGTCTACCTCTAGCTCAGTATTATTCATAATAATTGAAATTAAAGATACATTCTCACGAAAGTATTTATCAGGTGGTTATTTCCAATAAAAGTATGAAAAATACTGGATTACCCAAAAAACACCCATGGGGCAAGCACTGGGGAAAAATGTCAGGGTATCACTAACTTGCAACCCGACAGCTTATTGTCTAACAGCTTGACTTAGGGAGCAGTTGTTGGGACATTGAGGGGTGTAAATGTGTAACAGTCTCTGCAATTAAACGGTGGAAAAAGAATTTACTTTCGACTCAATATGTATGGTGAATAGTAAGTAATGACAAATATATTCTGAAAAATGAGCCCTCCCTCAATGAAAAACATGGCTTCTAGAAATATATCTTTTGAGACGGATTTGAAGCAAATTTTAGATATATTAATTTGGATAGGTTTTTCGTCAAAATATATCATCAAACCACACAGATTGTATGCGGGAAGGTATCTTTAAAAACATGAATTACGAGTTCAACATTGGTCCATTTCAATCAGTATTGATGTTATTATCTTACTTTGAAAATATGGGCTCCCTATATCCAATATTTAAGACCAATGAACGTTTTAAAATCAGTAGGCCTACACGACATTGGGTTCTCTATTGTCTTGCACCCCATTTGAAATGAGAAGACTTGATGTACAAAGCAGAACATAAGCTTATCCCAGAAGTCAATGAGGAAGTAATGAAAAATGACTGATCCACAAACAACAAAGAGAGAAAGAGATAAACTTGTATGTAGATGGGATTAACCAAATACCATTCAATATCGACTGCTCTCATATTTCACTGAGAAAGAGAGAGAGAAAAATGGGGTTTAAAGTCCACTCGACACAAACTGGGTCATTTCGGGACTAACATATGGTTCAATTTTATTTCAATAAATCGCTTGCTCGTAGGGGTCTTTAGCTGTGGGAGGAAACCAGAGGACCCGGAGAAAGCCCATGTGGTTGGAAGGCAACCCTACTTCTTGTCACATACAAGTGGAGAATTGAAAACACGCTACTTGACTCAATGACACACCTTCTGATTCAATGCGCACACGTTAACCATTCAGCCACCCAACCCCCCATATTTCACCAAACATAACTGATTCGAAAATTTCTGGCTGACAACTTTTCCATGGAACTAATTAAAATGGCTCCAAAAACATCAGAATGGTAAATATCTACCATGCTTGCTCATATCCTGCTGATGAGCATCTTATCTATTACAGAAAGAGAGAACAAGTGGTTGCCATCATATAAGATAAGCCCACACTTTGCAAGAACAAGATAAAAAGCAATTTTCGTACAATCAAGGGCTATAATCCAGGATGATGCTCTCCAACATGCATCAATATCCAAACGTGCCAAGATCATTGGGATAGAAACATAAATCTTAAATTTAATTAAAATCGGATGAAAATTGTGACATCTAAAGGTCTGAGACAGCAAATGCATGTATTGGGACCTACTGATTTTGATAACAAAAAATAATTTAAAGTTTTACATACTTTGTATTATGATATTATTTATTTTGTTATTACTTGTGATACCCCATCCCCTCTTTTTCTAAATGAAGTTACACCACAATAACAAGATTTTTTTGAAGAATCCTCAATTATAAACCGGTACCACGATTTACCAAAATCCATCATTATTTCTACTCACTCCACAATAATATGTATCAATATTTGATAATATATCATTCTTAATACGAAATTGTCATTTTTAATTTAAAACCGTAACTTTTTTGTCTTAAGAGGTCCCTCAAAATGCGATTTCCAAGCAAGCGATTTCGTGTTATACACGAGTAAGTCCCTTGGTTACAACTTCCCATTTGCTTGGAAATCACATTTTGAAGGGCATTTTTGACACATATACTCTACTATTTTCAATTAAAAATGACAATTTGGCATAAGAATGGTATATTATAGAGCGAAGCGCTAAAGTATCGCGTGAAGCGTGGTGCTTGAGCAAAGCACTTTTCCGGTAACACTGGAGCGCAACTGAAACTGTAATAGATTGTTGGTTAAAAAGTAAAAATTCAGATCAGAACTGGATACACTGGGCAATACAGACAATGTGCATGTCATCATAGTCAGAGATATCTCCCCTCTATCAAATCTCATCGAAGCGAGATTACTTGTCTAATCAATGACGTTGCATATATATGACGTCAATGAAAATACTTCTCACACTTTTTTGTTCTTTTTTTTTTAAAAACAAAATTAATCAGTAATTTATCCAATACTCATACAATTTAGATCTAACTTAAAGACACATTGCTATAATAAATCAAAAATAGATGATAAAAAAAGAAAATATTGAAAATATCATTTAAATTACTCCATTCTCAGCCAAGTTATCATTGTTTGTAGTTTTGACAAGATGTGTGCACAGTGGTAACAAGCGCACTTTTATAATCTGGACTTAGCCTCGCTTTCCCATTTATAAATTAAATTTTTAATTGGCGAACAGTTTTAATCTAGTTAAAATCTCGAGTATCCGATGCCATCCAGAGTCGATTATGGTCTCGTTTTGTTAATAAATGTCTAATTAATAGTTTATATAACATTTCAGGCCTAAAGAAAGACCTGCAATAGGCAGATTTAGCTCTTGCATAATGTATGTTTAATATGACTGAAAATTTCAACATTTTCTTTTTTTATCATCTATTTTTGAATTATTATAGCAAGAATGGTCAATTCTTTTTAAATCTATTAAAGATACATAATGAAAGATTTAGATAAAGAGCTAGCCATTCTTGCTATAATTATAGTTCGAAAACAGATAATATAAAATGAATAATTTGAAAATTTCATTCAAATTACTCTATTGCGAGCAAAGATATTTGCCTCTGAAGGTTTGTGTGCAATAATTTCAACCACCGTACTGGTTGTTGGAAGCTAAGTCTCGCTCCTCCATTTTTAGCTTAAATCAAAATATGGCTGCACTGTTCTAATCTATTCAATATCGGAGAAATCCGATGCCATCAAGAGTTGATTATGGCCTGGAGAAGTTAATTAATGTCTAATTAATAATTTAGAAAACATTTCAGGCCTAAAGAAAGACCTGCAATGGACAAATTGAGATTTAGCTCTTGCATAATCATAATGTATGTTAAAGTAGCTAAGTCTCTAACTCAATATCATCAAAAATCTTCAACATTGAAAACACGATTTATTTGTCAAATTAAATCAACATTCATGTTGTGATCTTACCGGAAAAAGATGGGCTTTTGATATCCAATATTTAAGACAAAATAAACATTTTACCATTGGTACACGAATCGTGTACCATAATGCACTTCAGCCCCAGTTGTATCAAGAGGGACGAGGCTAGACACATTGCACCAAATCAAACGGCGTATGTAGACTGGAATAACCAGACGCTAGAAATTTGCATTCGCTTGAGACTGCTGGCTTATTTTGCCGAACATAACTAATTTGAAATTGGAGTAAAAATGGAAAACATTGAATGTAAATCAGTTTATATACATTCATATTACAGTATTATATGCGTTGCGACCAATTTTTGTCAATTTCTAGGTCCCAAATGTTAGCGATTTAGTTCCTTTAAACTAATGTTATTTTAAATGTATCTTTAAAAATGACAAATTGGTATAAAGATAGGTATATCATCAAATATCGATATAAATTATTGTGGAATGAGTTGAAATAATGTGAGATTTTGAGGGATTTGGGTGGCTGTGGGTAAATCGTGCTACCCATTCATTATTATAAACAAGAGTTGAAGAGAATGAATGACAGAATGTAGTACTACTACTTTTATATGAAGGGCGTGTGTAATACCTTCTTTATTAATTGTTCTTGTTTCTCTTTCAGACTATTGTATAGGTCCTTAGCCTTATAAAGTGACCGTGGATTGTCATCAAAATTTGAGTTTATGAAATTAATTACTGCATCATTGACAGCAGACGAATCATTAAGCACGGACGCTGCCATGTTGGCAGGATATCCTAAATGCAATCCAAAGGAATCGAAACGAATAGGAGTATTTGGATAATATTCAATTAAAATTAATCGTGAGTAACTCAAATTTTTACATAGAAACATCATAAATCGGTGCGTTGTCGATTGTATCCATCTTTTTAAATAACATCATATGGTAATATATTTGGTTTTATTTCTTCGTGTCGTAAGATAATTATTTATATATAAATTTTAGGCAACCGGTTTCGCGGTTTCTCGAACATTCGCGGTGGTTGCGAGAGTAAGAAGTTGCGGGAGTAGTCAGACGGTTTAATTTGCTGCATGTTGTCCTCATTAACTTGACAATAAAGGCCCCAGAAATAAGGTATGTTTGACACAAACTGGTTATGTTGTTTATAAGGGAATAATCTTTCATGAACCGATTTCTATTTTTAATTCCATTCAGCGGTTTCTTCCATATTTTATCATTTCGGAGAATCATTTTCCGCCACCATCAATGATCGGTCGACGCCATTAATTCCGCGACCGGTTTGAGTAATGATTACTCATTGAGTAAACCGAGTCGAAAAATGGACTCGTCCAAGTAATGTGACTGCTCACCGGTTCAAAAATGATTTTCTCATTGTCGGGAATGTTTTACTGGCTCTAATTTAATGATTGATTCCTATTAAATGTTTTATTTGTTTATTCTGTACACATAGATGACCCACTTTAAGCATAGATTAACTAGGATTGAACCACTAGCACTTTCAGTCACTGAACAGACTGCAATTACTTGACTCACAAGGTATGGAGTTTATTATGGACATGATTTTCATTGTCTGACTTGGAATCGTCTTCTCTACTGGAAAGCAACTGTGTTTTTAAAAATAATTGTAAAATGCTAAGTTGAATATTTTGTTTTTAATAGGGTCTATGTATTTTTAAAGATATTTAGTTTAAATTTAGATTTAAACCCTTGATTTTTTGCTCATGCCTATATCTGTGAATTATTTTGTAAGTAAATGATTTTTTGTAGGTATATATGTACCGTGGAGACATAATTAGGAAGTCAATAAGTCATTACTTTGAATGAAGCCACTTTAAATTTTTACTTCAAGTTCAACAATTATTTTTTTTTTTTCCTATCTAGATTTATGGCCTCTTCCACTTGATTATTCATGAATATGCACTTTTACTTTTATTAAAAAAGAATATGATCTTTTTACATCTTTCAACATAAAATGTAAAAAATATATGTGTTTACTTAACTTATAAATACTGCTTACTACATGGTAAAGATCAGGTTAAATGGATAAGCTGGGTTAGCATTGTTAACACATGTAGATATTTAGCAAAGAATTTACATACTAGATTAATTTGATTTTTTGAAATACACACAAATTTGAATTTCAAATGTATCTGTGATTAGATTTTTTTCGATTTGATTACAAAACTTTTTAAATGAACATATTCCTTCATTTTAAATTTAAAGAAGAATTACAATTGACATAAATATAGGCTACAATAACTTATTCAGGGCTAGTTGGAACTTTACACTGGTAATTGATTTGACACTAATGAGCATATATACCGGTATATATATATATATATATACCGATGTATATGTAGGCCTACCATTTGTTTAATTGTTTATCGGTAATTTATTTTTTCATTTCAGCTGATTGATATTATTATTTATGTTAAAATGTCTGGAATTGCGTTAGGTCGTCTGGCAGAAGAAAGAAAAGCCTGGAGAAAGGATCACCCTTTTGTAAGTACTGGTATGCAATTTTCGTCAGTTATAAAAAATTAGAGCCATATAAACTAATGTGGGGGCCACAGTGGCTAAGTGAGTAAGGCGTTGGCTCACTAACCTGGAGATCCCATGTTCGATTCCTGCATTGGCCGAGAAGTTCATCAAGATTTTCCAGCGTGGTTCCCCCTTGTTGTCAGTGTAGCAGGACAGAAGGCTTGTCAAGGGACAACGTATAGTCGTTTGGATGGGACGAAAAACCAAGGTCCTGTATTACTCATTGTGGTGCACGTACATGTATAAATCACCTGTAAGGCTGACCTTAAAAATATCTTTGTTTCACCAAACCCGACCCACAATCGAGGAGAAGGGTCGGTAGGTCGTTTTTTTTTCAGATTTTTTTTTAAAGTCAGAGAAATCAATACAGAAAACTTATTAGCTGTATACTACAGATTCATTAATTTTGTTTAATGAATTTGGGGTCTGACGTAAAAAGTAACGAACTGAAAGTTTTTATTAAACTTAAGAGCTAATTTGACAGCTTAATAATTTTCCGGGTGGAAACATTCGTCTTCTTTATTGGCAAACAAATCAATGACATCGGGATTTTTCGTGATGATCGACTCGCACACGATTTGCCACGAGCTTGAAGTGTGAAACTCCTTCAACACGTTTTTAACGATAGTGCGGGTTGTGCCTTCATTTTTCTCGAAAACGGATATTGAAAATATCGTCGTCATGTTTAAAACTACGCACCACAGACATAGAGGCAGAATCATTTCGTGGGAATGGACGTGTATTCGTCTGCAACCATTTTGTTGAGAAGCGACACCTATGACGCTTTCGTCTTGATCAACCAGTTTCAATAATGAATCAAACCATAGCCATAGTAAAGGGAAATAACTCTCATGATATATTTCAGGTTGACACACAAAATAAAATAAAAAGATCGTGGAAAAGTACAATAAAATAATTTAAGTCGGGGGTGGTTTTAGTTAGTCGGTCGCGTTAGGCGAAACAAAGATATTTTTAAGGTCAGCCTAATCATTTATCCAAGACAAATGATCATTATTACTTAATGACTCGATCTGGATTATCAGCTAGTTAGGCCTACTGAGTTACTGTAGTAGTTGATGTATGCTGTCTGATAGACACTCAAACAGGCATCGATATTTCCGCGTGCGCAGGCACATTTGCTTGAAAATTTTTTTTTGCAGGCACATTTTTAAAGATGTAGCCACGCCGGGCGGCGCCTGCGCCCGGCACTATTTTTTGCCGCCCAGCACAAAGAAAATATCGAAAAAGGCCCAGTCGTATTTAAACCCCTTCGTCCTTCTCTGTACACAAACTCGGCGCTCGAAATTTACCGCAGCAATTAAACGGCAAAGCCATGGTAAAAGCCGACGTACGCAAACCATGTCTGTCACGGCATAATTTATTTTTGTGTGCCGCAGTAGACCCTATCATCCCAAATTAGTTTAAAGAAAGATGTATTGGTATTTTGTTTATTTATACTTAGAAGATGTGTAGGCCTAGGTCTATTCATTTTACAATTATTCTACGGTCTTTATATTTGTTTATTTGCCGTAAATAGGTCACCCAGACCAATTTACGGCACTCCAATGTTAAAGGTTTGAATGTCGTAATTGTCCAATACGTGCCTGCAAATTTTCACGATGATCTTATTTTATTTCTTACCTGTGTTGACTGTGGATTTGCTACGGCCCGAGAGTAGGACTAGGAGGACGATGAGAGCTTTCTCAGTTTCTGCCTGACCTGATTCTCATTCCACCGTAATAATAATAATATTCGTGAGACACGTACAACAACTTTACAAACAAGTCAAATAATACAACGTGTTTTAATTATCAATATCTACCCGTTGTCATAATTGGTTGTACTCAAATAAAACACAAACACTGTTTTAATAATTTTTAATCTCAAAGTAATAAAGTAATATTTGAAAAAAACCCCAACAAAACAATAAATACCGAAAGGTCCTCAACTTATCTATCCAGAGAAACAGAGTGGGGTGGGACAATTTTATGCTCGGTCGGGTGGTGTCAAAAAGTTTTTAGATCCCTGTATCATTGATGAAAATTAAGTGAATTTGGTAAAATTTGAATATATCAATGGAAATTTGATTTGCACTGAACCAAATACAAAAGGCAGCAGATGCTCTGAAAATACACCAAGAAGGGTTTAATTTTCATAATAAAAGACCACGCCCCCTCCCCAAATTTTTTTTGGCCTCGCTCTGCTCGCCAAATATATTTTAACACCAGTCACCAAATCCTGGCTACATCCCTGTGTTTCAGTATGACCCTGCAGGCACATTTTCAAGTGTGTGCGCAGGCACACTCAACTTTTATAGAGCCCTGCACTCAAGGTAATGGGCTATCAAGGATAGGATTCGAATTTCAATTTTTTTTCCTCCTCTTCTCCAAAAGAATCGCAAGTACCCTAAAACAGTTACATTTTCACCAAAATCATATTTTAATCACCACTTCCATTTTTGAAATGCAAATCGCCACTTTGGCGACCGACTGCGTGAGTCCTGATTGCCATGGAGTTTTGTAATATTGACTGTGATTGGGTGATTATGAACGAACAGCTATTGACATTAGGGCTTTCACAAAACCTTTTCCAGACGTATAGAACGTACATAAAATGACCATATCGTCGGTGAAGTGTCAAAAGGGTGTATCTAAGAATTTCTAAAGATTAAGAAATAAAACCTTTTGCATTTCAAAATTTCCACAAATCAAGATACAACATTTGGACACATGATACTCAGAAGAGTTATAATTGGCGTAGAGATACACAGCTTAGACAGAAATGTGCATATTAATTGGGAGATTTTAAAAATGCAAAAAAAGTATATTTGACTAATTTCCCGAGATACACCCTTTTGACACTTCACCGACGATATAAGTTTCAGTCTTGTTAATCACGGAGGAATTTGCCACCACGCTACTATGGGGACAAACGGACAGCTATGTTGCGTACTATTAAATACTCTCTTATTTGTTTTAAAATGAAATTTTCCCCTCTGTTAAATGTTCTTTTTCATGCACGTCAATGTGTACATGGGACCTCATGGTTTTTTGTTTTTTTTGCCCCATTCGAACGACTAGACACTGTCCTCCATCCTGCACCACTGACCAGGGGAAACCACACCGATATGGCACAAGTACCAGCTGAATAAATCCTATTTACTTTAAAAGCAGCTTGTGATTGATTATTGGTAATTTAAATGTGCCTTGTTATAAAATTACATACAATAAGCATTGAATGCTTTGTAATGTCAAGCAAATAAACCCTGTCCAGCCAAAACGATGTGAATTCACCTCCAGTTTAGTGAGCCAATGTCTGACCCTCTGGGTCCCCATAACTCCCAGTGTCTTTATAAAGGACTGCAATCTTATATAATTCATTGGGTTTTTTTTGGGGGGGGGGGGGAAGGTTGGTTTTTTTTTTTTAAATTAACTATGTTAGAAAATATTATGGTCAATGAGGTATTATATGTACATGTATTAGGAATGGGGAAAACGAAAGATAGCACAATATTTTTTAGGCCTTGCTGGAGGAATCTCATAAGTCAAATTATCTGATTTAAAAGCTAACACTAACATACGGTTTTTAATATTTCAGGGTTTTGTAGCTAAACCTGTTAAAAATCCAGATGGTAGTTTAAATTTATTAAATTGGGAATGTAAAATACCTGGCAAGAAATCTGTAAGTATTTTAATGCTCATTCACTAAATGGGAGCAGCCCCATGCACAGCCACAGCGAAATAATTATGAAAATAATGTGGTTTTTGTAGTCATTTATTGAAGATAACTGTTCAAAAGTGCAAGAATCCCGAAAATCTAGCTTGAATTTCTTTCTTTGTACAAACTTTTTAAGATTGTACAGTTCATCTTGAAAAAGTAATTAACTTTCAGTTATTAACTTTAAGTGATCATAATAACAGGGTATAATTGCTCACTAAATCTAGTTACAATCCCCCAAATGAAGTTGAGCACTACTAACACTCTCTTTAAAATCTTTTACAGTAGTTAATGCCTTATTTTTATTTGCATATTTATTTTGTAGACACCATGGGAAGGAGGTCTTTATACACTCCGAATGTTATTTAAAGATGATTACCCAAGTACTCCACCAAAATGTAAGTTACACACTTAATCAACTTCAAACTAAAAATAAAAACTCTTATTTTCACTTTCACTGAGGATATACTCTTGATTTGAAAACCTAATCACCAAAAATCTAGATAGGGTATACTTTTGTGTTACAATCTCCAGTTATCGATTGTAGTTTACAGATCCACGATCCACCGAATACATCGATCAGACAAATCTACACAACAACCGATTTAATAATATATATACAAATGATAAAATGATATTGGAACAAATGAGTATAAGTATGAGTATAACAGCATTGATCAGAATCAATGTACAGGATTGCTCACAGTATTCCGTCTTATTTTACCAGTATTAAGTTGAAATTATCTTTGCTCTGGGTGCTCCTACGGCTTTGAAGTAGTAGTTTATAGACTGTCCTTTACAGATGTCTTCTTGGTGTTGCTGTTTTAATTCCCAAGTTGGCAGAATTACACAGGATCTTGATGATCAAAATCTGACAGGATGAATAATCCTTGAATCGGTATATTCCGATGTAATAATTCACAACAGTAATCCTAAACTTGGATTACAACAGAGAGATCAAGTCTCTCTAAACAGCACGCCACAATGTAAAACAGAGAGATAATTTTCAGATCCCGTTGGATAATATTCTTTAAGTGGCATTTAGCGATCGGGGAACAAATTAACAGAACACAGTTTTTATGGGATACAATCACTAGTTTATTCTAAAAGCATGACGTTTCGACAAGTATCCTCTTATCGTTATCAAGCACAAATGACAATTTAGTAAACTTGTGGACAATGTATATGAAATTAATAAGAAACCATCTGCATGGATTAAGAATAACAGTAATAGAGATAATCAAGGTGTAAAGGATATTTAACAATAACAACAAACATAACAAGGTAATTAGCTACTAATAAGCACTGATACTGCGTGATTAGAGGGTTATTAACAGTTATGTTTGTTGTTATTGTTAAATTAACCCGTTGGATAAGTAACAGCAAATATATTTTGTACCAGTGGCTAGCTACTGTGTAATCTTCGCTCATGAAAACATATGGTGCTGGCACTACAAGCCGGGTATCGTGTAGTAGTGTTGTTTTAGCGGGAGCATCTGTATTTAATGTTTAGTTTCAAACCATAGTAAGGTTCAATGATACAGAAAAAAAATATCGCGATATCTCCCGATATTGGTAAAATAAATTATTTGATATTATCGTACAGAGTAAATTATCGTGCTTCAAAAATTCAATAATTACTGATATAAAGTTATCTAGTGTATCCATTTGGTATTTAGCAATGTATGTGAGATGTACTGATGAAGTGAGACGTATATACATGTATATATGCTGGGGTAAGATTATTCATGTAGGTATCATCACCTCAGATCATTCTATTCTTATCAGCTGGAATGCCCAGAATACCAAATAAATATTCATTAACTCAATATCTGGTGAACAGACTTGTCGGATGTTCTTTTTCGTGTCAGCAGCAGTGTGTTTTCGTAGTTTGCCGAACTGTCATCAGAAATATTCCGATTGACATTGACAGATTTAAGCTTGGAAGCCATTTTATTCAAAGAATAAAAGTAATATTATCCAGACAATTTTTCAAAGTAAAATATCAATGTAATTTTCAACGACTGGGTAATCAACGATAAACCACCTCTTCGTTACTGTGGTGATGTATATTGTTGTGTGCAGTTTATCTGTATCATTCCGAGTAGGGGGTATCCTTACCATTATAATATCAATCATATTTATAAATATTGTGAATGCTTTCTTCGTGGGGCTATGAGACCAGATTATAATTAGATTATAAGTGTTGAGTTTAAGAGTGTTTACTTTCTCGGGCGGTGTTGATTAATTAACAGATTAATTAGTTATCTAAGCTGTTTAATTAGCAATTGAACCATGTAATTCCCTGTGACGTGATGAGATTTAACTGATGATTTAATTAGCTGACATCATGTACATTACGGTTTAATATTTAGATTCTATTGTCTAGTTTTAGAAAATATGACAAGGTTTAGATTCTGTGTCACAGGTCTGGTTTTTCTACTAAATATGTTGATTTACTTACTAAATATGCTTCTGTTCTCATATGAACCCAGCAATGTTGTTGACACTTTTATTGCCTATCTATTGGGAGGGGGTGGATGGCTGAATGGTTAGCATGTGCGCGCTGTATCATAAAGTCTGTCATTGAGTCAACTGGCATGGTTTTGATTCCCCAGTTGTACGTGACAAGGAGTAGGGTCGCCTGTCCAACCTCGTAGGTTTTCTCTGAGCCCTCCGGTTTCCTCCCACTGCTAAAGACCCCTACGCACAAGCGAATTATTGAAATAAAATTGAACCATATGTTAGTCCCGAAATGACCCAGTTTGTGTTGTGGACGTTAAATCCCATCTCTCTCTCTCTCTCTGCCTATCTATTGTGTTAGGATATTGTTTATACAAGTGCGTCACATTGGTTATTTATCCTTGATGTTATTGTTATTTGGCTAATTGCTTGAATGACATTTAAAATAGATTCAAGCGATGTCTGGCTTTGCTACCTGTAAGTGTATTTAGTTCAAATCCAACCCTATTATAACATATTTCCATTGATTGTTTCAGGTAAATTTGAACCTCCATTATTCCACCCGAATGTATATCCGTCAGGGACAGTATGTTTGTCATTATTAGATGAAGAAAAAGACTGGAGACCAGCAGTAACTATAAGACAGGTATGGCCATGGGTTTAATAAAATTGTTGAGTCTGGGGCAGGGCCCATCAGTGCTGATTGTAACAAAAAATTTAGCATTTTTTCAAAGTAAATAAAATCCATCTCCCCATCCGAGACGAAAAATGATCTATGAGTGGGATGTGGGAAAATTGAATCACGCTAGTTTTGTTTTCTTGTCATATCAATTATTCTCTGCCTAAGAAAAAAGGAAGAATGATAGTCGTAGGGCCTGGAGCTACCCAGTTGGCTCCTGGACACAACCTGGCCTGGAAATAACAGTTTTAGTTGTAAGAGAGCTACGGTGGCTAAGTGAGTAAGATGCTAGCTCACTAGTCTGGAGATCGTGGGTTCGCTTCTGGTGTTGGCTGACACAGACCATTGGAATTTGCATAGCTATCTAGTCATTTGGATGGGACAAAAAAGATCCCTGGGCAGTTGGAATTCAATATAAAAGAAGCTGTAGTGCCACTGTCCAGGCAAAATTTCCATCATAGCACACTGTATGGTGTATGCCCGTCTTCATCAGCCCAGTTAGAGCAGAAGAGTAGGACATTAAACCCCATTTCATTTCATTTTGCATATGTATTAAAATCATAAATAAAACAGATCATCAGAATTTGCACAGCTATCTAGTCATTCGGATGGGACAAAAAAGGAGGTTCTGCGTACACGTTGGTGTCTGGGGATCGTGGGTTCGCTTCTGGTGTTGGCTGACAGATCATTGGAATTTGCATAGCTATCTAGTCATTTGGATGGGACAAAAAAGATCCCTGGGCAGTTGGAATTCGATATAGGAGAAGGCTGTAGCGCCACTGTCCAGGCAAAATTTCCCTCATAGCACACTGTATGACGTATGCCTATCTTCATTAGCCTAGTTCGAGCAGAACAGTAGGATGTTAAACCCCATTTCACTTCATTTTGCATATGTATCAAAATCATAAACAAAACTCAGTGAAAAAAGAAAAGCACTGGAATGGGTTGTGCTTGGCAAATCCTGAATTTGTGTCGTGACAGGTGCCTTATTTCCAGGCTTGTTAACACTGTTTTATGGAAGCCTTGGAAAAATTGGCAGCATTCTTGATGCTTCTTCCAATCACTGATATATGGCATTTATTTAGTGTTGATGAATTTGGAATTAAGAGTATTATCGAAATCAATCAAAGAATTTGCAACAGTTTTAAAGGAGCTAAATCGCTAACATTTGGGACCTAGAAATTGATACTGTAATATGAATGTATATAAACTGATATACATTCAATGGTCCTTTTTTACTCTAATTTCAAATCAGTTATGTTCCGCGAAATAAGCCCGCAGTCTCAATCTACATACGCCGTTTGGTTTGGTGCAGTATGTCTAGCCTCGTTCCTCGAGTCTCTTGCTAGAACTGGGGCTGAAACGCATTATGGTACACGATTCGTGTACCAATGGCAAAATGTTTATTTTGTCTTAAATATTGGATATCAGAAGCCCATCTTTTTCCGGTCAGATCACAGCATCAATGTTAATTTAAATTGACAAATAATTTGTGTCTTTAATGTTGGAAGATTTTGGATGATATTGAGTTAGAGACTTAGCTACTTTAAGTAGCACAAACAGATCTATTAATTTCAGTTACTGATTAATTTTGGTTTTAACAGGGACTGTAAAATATAAATACATTTATATTTTCATAAAATTTCGTCATTTCTCATCAAATTTCGTCATTTCTCATCAAATTTCGTCATTTCTCATCAAATTTTGTCATTTCTTATAAAATTTCATCATTTCTCATCAAATTTCATCATTTCTCATCAAATTATCATAAAATAAAAAAATATCATAAAGATATAAAATTTCACTATTTCTCATAAAAGAAAATGAGACAAAAAATTTGTTTAAAATATAAGATTAACCATAAATCGCTACTCCCAGTAATAAATTTTTATACGCCCACATTTTCATGTGGACGTATATTGTCGTCGCCCCTGTCCGTCCACAATTGTTTGTGAACAGTCTACAGGTCACAATTTTTATCCGATTTCAATGAAACTTGAAATATAGGTTTATCACCCTAAGATCTCGGTTCCTTTCGATATTGGCATGTATCGGACTGTAACTTCATGGATTATGGCCCCTGATTGTACGAAAAATCACGTTTTTAGCTTGTGAACAATGTAGAGGTCACAATTTTTAACCGATTTAGTTTAAACTTGAAATGTATGATTATAACCCAAAGATCTTGGTTCCTTTCGATATTCGTGCATATCTGAATGTAACTTCCTGAATTATGGCCCCTGATTGTACGAAAAATCGCGTTTTTAGCTTGTGGACCATATAGAGGTCATAATTTTTAGCCGATTTAAAAAAACGTATTATTATATCACCGTTAAACCCTAAGGACGGCTGAGTTCAAATTTCGTGAAAATCGGCCCAAAACTGACAGACAAAATGGCCGCCGTTCGTTCTCAAATAGCGTAAAAATATGGTATATCAAGGTTGTGGACCCTATAGAGGTCACAATTTTTATCCGATTTTGTTGAAACTTGAAATGTAAGTTTATAACCCAAAAATCTAGTTTCCTTTCGATATTCGCGCATATCGGACCGTAACTTCCTGAATTATGGCCCCTGATTGTACAAAAAATTGCGTTTTTAGCTTGTGGACCCTATAGAGTTCATAATTTTTATCTGATTTAAAAAAAACGTATTATTGTATCACCGTTACACCCTAAGGACGGCTGAGTTCGAATTTCGTGAAAATCGGCCCAAAACTGACAGACAAAATGGCCGCCTCTCGTTCTCAAATAGCATAAAAATATGGTATATCAAGGTTGTGGACCCTATAGAGGTCACAATTTTTATCCGATTTTGTTGAAACTTGTAATGTAAGTTTATAACCCAAAGATCGTGGTTCCTTTCGATATTAGCGCATATTGGACCGTAACTTCCTGAATTATGGCCCCTGATTGTACGAAAAATTGCGTTTTTAGCTTGTGGACCCTATAGAGGTCATAATTTTTATCCGATTTAAAAAAACGTATTATTATATATCACCGTTATACCCTAAGGACGGCCGAGTTCGAATCTCGTGAAAATCGGCCCAAAACTGACAGACAAAATGGCCGCCCTTTGTTCTCAAATAGTGTATAAATATGGTACGTCAAGGTTGTGGACCCTATAGATGTCACAATTTTAATCCTATTTTGATGAAACTTGAAATGTAAGTTTATAACCCAAAGATCTCGGTTCCTTTTGATATTCGTGCATATCGGAACGTAACTTCCCGAATTATGGCCCCTGATTATACGAAAAATCACGTTTTTAGCTTGTGGACCCTATAGAGGTCATAATCTGATTTAAAAAAACATATTATTATATCACCGTTACACCCTAAGGACGACTGAGTTCGAATTTCGTGAAAATCGGCCCCAAACTAACAGGCAAAATGGCCGCCCTTCGTTCTCAAATAGCGTAAAAATATGGTATTTCAAGGTTGTGGAACCTAAAGAGGTCACAATTTTTATCCGATTTTGTTGAAACTTGAAATATAAGTTTATAACCCAAAGATCTCGTTTCCTTTCGATGTTCGCGCATATCAGACCGTAACTTCCTGAATTATGGCCCCTGATTGTACGAAAAATCACTTTCTTTTTAGCTTGTTCTCTATCCATCTCTCGAAAATGTGGGCGTATCCTGCCTGGCAGCCGCTGGTTTATTTTGAATAAGAAAATCATCCAGGCATTTTATGACCCCCATCTTGCTGTTCTTTCATTTTCTATTTGATAGTTTTCACTCAGTTAATGTTATGATGGTATATGTGGGAGTGAGACAACTGCCGATGATATCTTTTGTTTTTCTGTAATTATGTCCTTTATGTTAAAAATAACCAATATTTAAAAATTAAATATTCTTTATTATCATCATACATGTTCAGTTTGCTTAACACACTGTCTATAATAGCATTCAATAAATGAGTGACTGACTATCTATAATAGCACTCACTGGCACAAAGTTATCACAGAATATTATGTGCAATACCACATAAATAGTCCAACACATGGTGACTGTTGAACTTACGGACAATGTTTAGTAGTATTAGTACATCCTCTGCACTGTTAAGTTATGTTTTGATAATGATTACATGCAATCATCAATTGAGTGTAGTTTATAACTGTTGCCTCATTTATCATTTAATAAACTATACTAAAAAAGTAAAAAAGAACAAATAAATTTACTGGCAATAAAATCAACAGTTATAACTATAATAAAAAAGAAAAAAAGTAATAAGATGGTCGACAGTATTTTAACTGTTCTGCTCCAGCTGGGCTAATGAAGTCGGGCTTATGCCATACAGTGTGCTATGAGGGAAATTTTGCCCTGATACTTGCGCTAAGGCCTACTCTTATATTGAATTCTAACTGCCAGGGGATCTATTACATGCATCTTTTCCATGTGTGCATCCTGCATCACTGGAAAAGGGAAAACACGCCAGAAAACCTGATGAACTTGCGCGGCCAACACCGGGAGCGAACCAGTGACCTCTAGGCTAGCGAGCTAGCATCTTTCCCACTTAGCCACCGTGGGTATATGAACATAGATACCACCAGTGCTATTGGTGGGATGTTTTTATCCGTATAACACTGGCTGAACACTATAAACAAGTCATAATATTTGATAATGATAAAAACATAATGTCATGAAATGTGATAAAAACATAAAAATTTAATAAAAATCATAAAATTCCACAAGAAACTTTCATAACAAATCTTTGTACGGTCCCTGGGTTTAAGTATTAAGACAAGTTGAACAATGGTCATGATAATCTACCCTTAGACTGCACCAATTTAATTTCTGTTCTTTATATAAAAACTGTCCTTATTTCTTGGGAAAAAACCAAAAGTACATGGTTGTGATGTTAAAAATCTTTAACTGTTGAAATATCAGCAAAACCTTTTAATTTTATTTTTTGTCCCCCGCCTTTCGAAGAGAAGGGGTCTGGCTGTCCGTCACTGGCGTCACACATTTTGGGACACAATAACTCTTCTTCTAATTGAGCTAGAATGTTGGTGTAGGTGTTTATTGGGTGAATGCCTTGATGGAATACGAAGATGAGCATTTTCTGCTTAGGGTAAGCAGAGATAAAGAATTTAATTAGTTGGGACGCGATAAAGTTGATTCTGATGAAACTTAGTGTATTTCACTACCAGGTACTTCAACACTTTGACCAAGTTCGATCGTGAACGTTTTCTGATTTCGACTAAGATTAGATAATCAGTTTGTTTGCTCAGTACTTTTCAAAAACATAAATGTGCAGTTTATTAATATGTGTCTTCTATTTATTTTGCTATGTCGGCAGGGGACATCAGCTTCACTGTTGGCTTGTAAATTATAATTACTGTTTATAATGGTATTATATTTTATTGTTTTTCAGATTTTATTAGGTGTACAGGAATTATTAAATGAACCAAATATAAAAGATCCAGCACAGGCAGAAGCATATACTATATTTTGGTACGAATATTTTATATTTCATTATAGGACATTAAAATTCACAGGGATTCTTCATTTTGTTCTCAGGAATTCGTTTTGTTTTCGAATTTGGTGTGAAGCATAGGGTTCATGAAAGGTTGAACACAAATGAGAGGATGAGCCCTACCAATTTTGTCATTTCTCCATCCATCTCTTTCAAAATGTGGGTGTATCTTGCATGGCTGTTTGTTTGCGCACAAGGAAGAACTTCAGTATTAAAACTTTCTGATCATTATATCTTTGTTCTTTTAAAGCTTGGGATTTTGTTTGAATAAAAGGTGCGCTGACAAACTATCCAGGTTTTTGGATTTGACCAAATTATTTATTATTTTCTCTTTTTTTTTTCAGTCAAAATCGTGATGAATATGAAAGAAAAGTTCGGGCACAAGCAGTTAGATTAAGAGATCCTAATGTAGGAATTTGAAAATAAATGCTAGATTAATGTTAATACTACAAACTGCAGCAACCATTACTGATAACTAGGACTAGTTAATTCAAATGTGAAAAGGTTTTCTGGTCCCCACAACATTTGACTAAAGGCTGGTGCATTTTGTCAGTGTGGTTATGAATAATTGAAAACAGTTTAAAGATGTTGAGTGCTGCCACGACTATTGTTATATGAACCGATTGTTATGGTTTGTAATTCGACTTTTCCTCATCTAGTCTCTTGTCATTTAAAATACTATACACAGCAAATGCATATCGGTATTCTAAATATTTAAAATATCAGTGCTTGCTTACAAAATATTTTGCCTTCACATTGAGAAAATATTGGCCAACTTATTCTTTCAAACTATAGTGCTACGTACATTATACCAGTAAATAAATTTTCTCTACAAAAATTCTCTTAAAAACACTGTTATGTAGATAATAATAATAGAATAAAAAGTCGGCACATAACACAAGGTGTACATTTTGATTGCCTGTACATAACCATCTCATCACCTGTTATTAATCAAATGTAAATATTTGTTCAGATAAATGTTGGCGTTGTGGTGCCCCCTCATTCATTCATTTTGTACATTTCACATAAAATATACATGTAACTATTTTGCATTGAAGATTGTCATTCAAATCTTTTAATTTATCAGAAGAAGGGTGGTTGAAAGATCAATGGTTGTTGAAAGATAAATGATAAAATAATAAGAAGTTTTTGTCTTCGACTCAGTTGCATAGTAATAGAACATGAAACATTTACCATAAAAAAAACAAAGTTACAAGTGTTTAAATCAAGCAATAGTTTTAGTAATGACTCATTTGCACAGTAATCAGAATATGGGCAAACATTCCTGTAGCCCTTGTAGGTTACAATTTAAAACATAAAAGATGCATGGTGTAAGATTTAGATAAAGAGCTGACCGTTCTTGCTATAATAGTTCAAAATAGATAATGCAAATGAATATATTGAAAATTTCATTCAATTACTTTATTCTGAGCCAAGTTATCACTGTAGTTTTGACAAGATATCTGCATTGATTGTTATCATTACCACGGTACTGGTATATTTGAGACTTAACCTCGCTTTTCCATTAAAACATTAAATGGCCAAACCGTTCTAATCTACTTAAAATCAGAACCATACGATGGCCCAGAGAGTTGATTATGGTCTTGTATTAATAAATGTCTAATTAATAATTTATATAACATTTAAGGCCTAAAGCTCTTGAATAATGTATCTTTAATTTATGACTGCATTAATTAGGTAAACTGGTTTTATGTACCATACCAGTCTGGGAAGAATATTTCAGAAATTGTATAGAATGAATTTCTCTTTGTAACATAAATGAGGTTTGTGCAAAGGGTTATTACCCCCCCCCCCCCCCTTCCCAAAAATAAATGCTTAATACGATTTAAAATAAAATATATGTAATTAACCTGTGCATTATATAACATCTTGAAAGATCAGGAGATAATATATTTAAGTAATGATGATCTTAATTCAGGGGAATTGTTCCAGTGTGATGTAAATTTAGTTGTTTAAAAGTAAATGTTACTATGTTTTTGTCATATTCCAGTAAAATATCAGATATTTTATTTCTTTGTTCTTTATTTATGTTGGGTTTTTTTTAATAGAGAGTTGAACCTTGTGGGTTTTCTCCGGGTCCTCCCACTGCTAAAGACCCCTACGCACATGCAAATTATTGAAATAAAATTAAACCATGTTAGTCCCGAAATGACCTAGTTTGGTTTGAGTGGACATTAAACCCCATTTCTATCTCTCTTTAATAGAGAGTTGTCTTTGCAATGTTCGTGATGTGATGAAAACATTGCTGCAAGCATCTGGCTTATTGAAAGTTTGATAGACTTTACTGAACTAGCTTGTCATTCATTCAGACATAAGGTCTGTCAATGAATCAAGTGGCATGGTTTCGATCCCAGACTATATGAACAAGAAGTACCAGTAGTGTTGCCTGCCTAACCTTGTTGGTTTCATCCAACTACTAAGGACACCTATGCGCAAGATAATTACTGAAATAAAATTGCACCATGTTAAGTCCCAAAATGACCTGGTTTGTGATGAGTGGATGTTAAACACTATTTCTCACTCTCTTTGGGACAGTGTACTTTCACTCGCTGCTACATGATCACTGGCAAGCATTACCAGATGGATAGTGGGTCACAACTCACAACAAATGTCAGTTACTAAAAAGCAGTGAATGTCTGAGTGTACTGGTAATAAAATGGGGTCATATCTTAATATTAAGGCCCACTGCAGATCTTGTCAAGCCCAGATGTAAACAGGGCTAGTGCTTACTCTAACCTACAATTACTGACAACAATCACATGCCCTAACCCTTGATGAAATCTGCAAGTGGCCTTAATATTTAGATCTGGCCAATGAAATGGCATTTTCCCCATATAGCCAGCGAGAATCTTGTAAGATATGTTTTTGTACTATGTCATCTAGACCTATAGTTACCACAGTTTCAAAAGAAATTTCATGCGGTTGAGGAGAGAACCCCACCAGACCCCCATAGAGTGGAAACCCCTCATGAGGTCAAACTCCGGGGATCCTCGATCTGTCCATGAAAATTACAATAAACAATTATTTTTAGTTCGAGGGGAAAGTACTACCAATGGTAACCATATTTAAATGTGGTTTTTTTTTTTATGAACTCTTTATGCAAATAAGTTATTATACGGAAGGTCTGTCTGGATAGAAAATAAGATTTTGTGTGAAATCAGCGTCCTAGAAACAAATGGGTTCACAGACGTTAAATATCTGGTTCAACAAATTTTATGTGTACCCATCATGAGCCATGAGAGAATAACTCTCCTCTTGGTTAATTCCTATACAGAACAAATGTTTCCTTTTCATCGACAAATCCAATAAACCATTTTTAGTTCGAGGGGAAAGTTCTACATCTGGTAGTCCATATTTAAATCTTGTGTATTTCTGGTTATTATCGGTCTATATACCAGGGGGAATAGTGACTCTGATCCTTGCACTGTGAGGGGTTCCCACTCTGGGAGAGAGGGGGGGATTTCTCTCCATTCGGGCGCAAAATTTATTTTGAAAAACTGACTGTAAATGTTGCATTCCAGAGTATTTCTTGGTGTTTCTAGCTTATGCATATTTAACGTGCAGCAATCTTAACAATTCATCAAAAACAACCTAAATTAATGACCAAAATGAGACAAACTACGCAAGAACATTAACTAGATTATAGACCCCTGAAACTTCCATACTCATTTCGAGATGGTGACTTAGGCCAAATTTGAGTATGATGTTGTCTATGATTGAACCCAACTGAATTGGCTTCACTTCCCTTTCGAGATTAAAGGGACTATCCCGATTTGAACAGAATTTCAAAAATATAAGACTGAGTACATATAAAATTTAAGCACCAAAATATAGAGGAATGGTATATTTACCTTGTCCCAAAATTTCAGCTCAAAATATTGAGTCGTTTGGACGTGAACGTCAAAACTGCTTATCCGGACACATAACCCTTTTAAGATTTCGGGTCAATTTTTTCATTGGGTGACCTCACTGACCTGATAATCGATTCCCGTTCCTTTAGGGGTCTATACAATGAATGACCCATGCACTGTACTTGATAACGAAAGGTAAATTTCACCTACACATTATTTTTTAATATAAAAGTCTGGTTTTACTCCAGATACCACATAATACAGCTTGGGACACCGGTCTCCGTTTCCAGATGAAGACTGCCAGGTTTAAGTTGTTTGAAAACGTATCACATATATTGAGTTAGTTCCTCGACCCTAAGGTAGAGGATTTTAACACAAAATTAAGCAGTTCTCCAAAATATTATCGGATTGTCTCTTTAACTTTCACGCCTAATAAGTCCTTTTAGTCAGGTAATGCTTTCATAGGGGTGTGCTTCCAGATATAAGCATTTCTTACAATCCTCTTCGACTTTTTTCATTCATAAATTAAAGGGAAAGGTTGCATTACATCTGGAATGCAGAGTGATAAACAATTCGATTGCTTGGTACTTTATAAAAATCCATGACAGCTGAAACATGCTTGTGTTTAATTACATCATGATTCTACTCACATTAACTCAGTTGACAGGACTTAATTTCTTGAGTCACTTGATTGCAATTACGTCAATTTAGAACATTGGGACTAACAATCAAGTATCTCTATAGTCTTCAGGTTTAAGTAAGGAAATACTGCTTGTTTTAATCATTTATTTACAAAAAGGAACAAGATGTAAACAAACTTGAACTACATCATACAAATATTACAAACAAAAAATTTGCTATAAATAACTGGAAAAAAAGTCAATTCATTTGATATGCACATTTATCATATTTATTATGGAATATTATGGGAAACTGTTCAATCTAATGAATTGATTTGCTGGATAATGTTGAGAACCCTAAACGAAACGTCGCTTTAGTTAAAATAGTAATTGTGTTCCAGATTATGTTTTTGTGTGTATCACGTATGCTAAATGCCACTGCTAAATGCCAGTTCACAACGAAGATAATGAATTGATGTTCAGATTTTATTCAGTCTGATTAAAATACAGATCTATATATTTTTTTTTTGTTTTTATACTTTCGATGTTCTACACTACATGAAGATCTGACTAATTGTAGTGATAGGTCGCGTCAGGGGTCATACGGTCGGCTTTTGACCATATGGCGTCAGACATTTGATTAACCAATCAGCGTTGACGTTTCTAGTAGAATACCCACAACTTGCCGTAACAGACCGCTTCATTGGCTAATCCCTCACTTCAACCAGGATGCAGGTTATATAACAACTCTTCCAGTGTAGTTAAGACAAGTAAAAACAAAATTTTGTACTATAAAAAAAGAAACAAAATAGGATCTGTGTTTTAATCAGACTGAGATTTTAATCTAATGTATCAATTTATTCTATTTTTGTCTCCATGACCTCGGTGGCATGAACTTCAGCTGTATTAATATCACTGGCTGGTTCATCAACAACATTGGCAACTATCATTGCTTCATGTACAGCATCAGAGTCTGAAACAGGTGCCATGGCTATTGCTTCGATCTCATTTTCAGATAAAGGTAGCGTTACAGTTTCATTTGATGTAGCTTCGGGCAATGTTGCTAATGTTTGTCCTGTTGCTGAATCTATGATACGTAGATTATTACCATGTTCACTCACAACAACATATGATCCTTCATTTGTCAGTTGATCTAAGATGGCGGGATCTATCTCTCCATCAGTAACTATCTCCAGATTCTGTATCTGGTCAGAATTTTCTACATCAGTATGAACCACAACATATTCAGTTCCCTATGAGAAAACAAACTAAATTTTATCAAGGTGATTTTTAAAAAAAAAATAATTAAATTTTGAATTGATCACAATAGTGGCACTTCTGTTTCATTGGACAAAGTCCGTCAAACTACTATATGCACACAATATCTTGCTGTAAAAGGTCTGGTGTTCATTTGCATGTGCCTATAATTGAAAAAGCAGCAAGTAACTCATCATTTGCCATCACAGTATATCCCTCAGCTTTCAAATTGACTGTAAACCCCAAAGCAGCAAAAATATTAGATCGTATTTGGATCCAGTCCAGCGGCGCATTTTTTAATAGCGATCCCGACCACAAGCCATTGCCCATAAGGCTAGTCCCTCCCAACATGTGTCAGAATTGATATCTAATAAGCTTCAAAAATTTGGCATTCTCATGATTGATGTAATGTATATTAATATAAATAAACACTAGAAATCTGTCAAAAAGATAGGCTGCCAGGCAAAAAAAACATAAATCGTTCAACCAGACCAAAAGGTTGTCGCATTATGAATCTTCAGATAAATTAAGAACAAAATTTTTATACTTTGTAATACCATTGCACTGTTGACATGATTCTATGACATAATCAAGGGCAATTATTCTATTATCGGAATTATCAGAAATTGTTAAAATTCTAAAGGTTCTTTATTTCACTAATTTCATTAGCAGACTTTCTGTTCACACATAATTATGGAAGCTTCGACTCCGGGAACAGCCACGCAATCTCAGCCTGAAGAGTTTGTTTAAGAACGAAACTAGAAACTTCATGAGAATAATCTGGGAAGGATGGTCCCAGTTTTATTCACTAATTTGAATAAAGCATAAATATTTCAATCAGGTCGAGTGATCATGTTTGTTTTTAAAGCATTCACAAGATTCTACAAAATGAAACAATGACCATAACTCTAGAAACAACATATATAAATTTAAAAAAGATTGGATGATAAATGTAGTCTGTGGATTGTAGACGACAAACTGTGTATGATTGATGGACAGAGACAACAGCAATATACGACCATCTATATTTAGTTTATTCTTTTTATATGCCCACATTGCTTGTGGACGCTCTAGAGGCTAAGTTAATATCCGATTGACTTTAAATTTATACAGTGATTAAGGTCATGACATAACTGGTTACTAGGTAAATTAATTCTACACCTTTTCTATTACTCTTATTTTTAACTATGAAGTTATTAGCTTATTTCTTATATGTCATCAAAGTTATAATATCATAATCTTGACTTCTGTTTTTAACCACATTTTCACGGAACATATAAAAAAGTAAATATCCCAACATAAAATGAACTTACTGATAAATCAACAGAATCACCACCATCTTGTAATATATATTGTGTATCTGCTACGACAGATGAAAATTCTGTAAGAACAGACGGCATCTCTTCATTATCAACGATTGTCTCCAACATTCCATCCTTTCTAGTTAAATACAGTTGCTTGGTACACGGAACTGTAAAATACAAATATTTAAATCTATTCTATATAGAAAGAGTAGTATTGGCTGTTCATCTTCACTCGCTCAAATTTAAACCACAGAAGTATAATAAATCCTGTTAGCTAAGTGAAATAGACTATAACTGAGAATTGATGTCGAATTGATATTACTCTTTCTTGAACACCAGACACATCACATGATGAGACAATGTGTGACTACTCTTTCTAGAACACCCAATATCACATGAGACAAGGTGTGATTACTCTTTCTAGAACACCCGATATCACATGAGACAGGGTGTGACTACTCTGTGTAGAACACGTGATATCACATGAGACAGGGTGTGACTACTCTGTGTAGAACACCCGATATCACATGAAGCAAGATGTGATTACTCATTCCAGAACAACTGATATCAGTTGATGAATTTACATAGGTATTATTTTACATTTCATATATTTCACTATAAAGATACTACAAACCTTTAGATTTTAAATGACGAGTTAAAGTTCCATGTTCTGAAAATCCTCTATTACAGTGATTACATCTATAAGGCCTCTCTCCAGTATGCATCCTGGTATGTCTTTGAAGTGAACTTTTCTCTCGAAAAAATCTATCACAGAATTTACACTGGTATGGTAGAAAATTATTATGCGTTCTTTGATGCACTTTTACTGCATTCTGAAAAAAAGCGAAATGTTCCTATAACTAAAAAATCAAAGAGAGAGAAAGAGAAATGGGGTTTTACTCAACACAAACCAGGACATTTCAGGGCTAAAACATGGTACAATTTTATTTCAATAATTTGCTTGAGCAGGGTGAGGAAACCAGTGGACCACGAGCTAACCAATGAGGTTAAGCAGGCAACCCTAATTCTTGTCATGTACAAGTGTGGGATCTCAACCATGCAACTTGACTCAATGACAGACCTTATAATCTGAAATACACCCCCTCTATTATGTCCTCAAAGTTTCATCCAAATTTATTGAAGAAGCATGGTAATGAAAATATCTAACTGCATGTTGGTTTTAACTTTTCACTGTAAACCACCCCAAGCTAAAAATTAGGGTTCTCCGCAAGTAAATCCTGACTGATAAAATAAGTATTTCCAGATGACAACAATATAGTCCAAACTATCAAGTTTTTATCAGATTACTGTAGAACATGCAACCTACCATTGTTTTAAAGGCCTTCTTACATATTTGACAGACATATGGTCTTTCTGTACTGTGAGTTTTAAGATGTTCTCTAATATGTGAGATTCGTTTAAATAGTCTGCCACACTCTCCACATTTAAACTGACGATCATCGCTATGTACCGTTAGATGTTTAGTTAACGCATCTTTAGTAGTAAAACTTTTCTCACAAATACTGCATTTATTCGGCTTTACTCCTGTCAAATAGAAATAACACTAATTTTCTAAACAGGAAAAATATACCCTAAGATAATCAGTTGGTCTTCATATGTTGTTGGTCTAGAAAGTACCTCTGGTGAACCAGAGTGGTTTCCACTTGTCAGTGGTGCAGGACAGAGGCAATCTGTTTCACAGAGAATTACGAGTCTTCTCTAATATCTCTGTAAAAGACGACAGCGGCGTCAATCATTGGTTAAATGGCGCGTGCATTGTTTACATAAGACGTTAATGCTTGGGGCAGAATGCTGCCTTTTAGTCATTTTAATACCCATTTACACTAAATAGGAAATAATTTTTACCTACAAATACGTCAAACGTCTTTATTTATTTTTCTAATACATAAAATTTTTTTTTAGAATTTAAATTGTCGGTGTAAAAAAGTTAATATTTGACACTCATTAAGTCGCATTGATGTCATCCTTATCAGTGATTGTAGCGGCATAGCGAATATTCACTGCTGATCAGTGTGGGACAGAGGGCCTGACAAGGAACTGTCTTTAGTCGTTATGATGGGACGAAAAACAGAGCTCCTGTGTACACACTTGTGTGCACATAAAAAAAAACCTTGACAGTTGGAATTTTTCAAAAGATGAGTAGGTCTTTGCACAGTATAAGGTGTCTGCCCGTCTTCTTTAGTCAGGTTGGAGCAAACAAGTAGGTTGTCAAATCAAATTAAAATTTTATTTGTTTTAGAATTTTTTTATTTGTATACAGAAATATAACCATTAATAAATTCAAATACCTGCATGACTTTTCATATGTTGTTTTAGATAGCTACTCCCACGGAACGTACGATCACAGGCTGGACATTTATAGGCATTTCTAGCTGCTCCGAAGTTCGATGTATCATCAGGGTCCAAGGCACCTGGTATTTCTAACAATTGACGCACTGCTATTTGTGCATTTCTAGTAAAACAAAATTTTAAACAATAAGCAAGGTGAGCAAATATCAGTTTAAAAAAAAAAAAACCCCAGAAAAAAACATTTTTCTCAGTATTAAGGGAGCTGTAAAGACCAACAAAAGCTAAATCCATAATCAAGTAAAACTTGTCATTTGATTCCACAACTTGGTGAAGATTCATGTTGCTCACCACAATCCCAAAATAAATAGATGGCATGTCTTATTTAAATCCAAATTTGTCATTTTGTAAAGCATCGAGTAAATAGACTGATCATGTATACTTAGCCTAAGCAGAAAATGCTCATAATCGGTAAGTCTCAAAGCATCAACCAACCAAATTGCTTATCTCTGCTTAGCTTTAGTGCAAAGAGTTTGTATATAAAAATATCAATGTCGATTTTATTTCAATAATTCACTTTCGTGTAGGTGTCTTTAGCAGTGGAAAGATACCAAAGGACCCTGAGAAAACCCTTGAGTTAGGACAGATGATCCCTTCAAATATATAACTAACAAAAACTATTAACCTTTTCTCTTCATCTGGAGTCGATGATTCAAAACATGTCCTTATTTTACTTTGTCCATTTTCATCATCCTAGTGATTATAAAATACTTTATTTAAGTCTAGACTAATGTACCCAATCAAACAGATAAACATGATATTAAAATACCATGTTAATTTACCTATATCTTGCCATCTCTAGACAAATCAATATATAAAATATTTTATATATCACAGCTATTCAAATCAACGTTAATAACTATTTACTTTTAGTTCCATTAAAGAAGTAGTACATTTTCCTAGAGTTTAAATTCAGATCCTCATTAGAAGCTGATTAGTTAGGCCTTTAGCACTTACAGAAAAGTGATATATTAATACTAGTACATCCCTTATCAGACCGAAACTGCTGTTCTTTATGTGAATAGCTTTCTGTATTATACAACCATTTTGCACTTTCCTTAATCAAATGTTAAATAATCATTAGTGTTGATTAAGCCTTGAGAAATGTGATATTTTCGGGAAAATGTAAAGGACACATCGTTACTTTAACAATGCAAGTTATAAAGATTACCTTGACTGGAGTTTGATGAACAGTTATCATATGAGAATCTAATTCATCCATTTTATCTGTAGTAAAATGACATGTAGAACATTTAAAGGTCATATCGGCCAGATGTATTCGTAAATGATCTTTTAAATTACTGAATGTTAACAGATCTTCTTTACAAACCTGAAATACATAATACACACATAAAATATTATAACACAAAGTTCTAGGGGGATGGGAAGGGAGGTCGGGTGGTCTAGCGTGTGTTTTTTATATCATAAGGTTTGTCATTGACTCAAGTGGCATGGTTTCTGTCCCAAGATTGTACAAGGCAAGGAGTAAGGTGGCCTACCCAACCCTGTAGTTTTCCCCTGGGTCCTAAGCACAAGTAAATTATTGAAATAAAAATCGTGCCATATCTTAGTTCCGAAATTAGTTGGTTTGAGTCAACTGGACATTAAACCCCATTTTATTGTTCTCTCTCCTACAGCAAATTACAACATATCTCAACATACCTTTAGTGGATTTTTTAACTCCATTTATGATCTAATTATTTATAAAATCCCTCATTCAGTAAAATTGCATTCATTATTTATTTTTCATAAAATCCCAAATTCAGTAAATCTTTCATGAAATTCTACTGAGTATTAAAGATATTAATTTGTCTTACCCTACATTGTGTTGGTTCAAGACCTTCTAATTCTTCAGCTGCTAGATTATCTAATGTAACTATATTAATAGTTCCAATACTACCATCAGCATTCTGTAGGATAAAACAGAAATAACCCATTTATAATTATATAAATATCAAAACAATTGTTCAAATACGTTTTCAAACATTCATTTTCGATACTATTGATAACTTTAAATCAAAATTATTTTCAATTTCATCGATAAAAGGGCTGTGATTCACTTTCATCACAATTATTGTACATTGAATCTTGCAATTCATATTAATTGTAACAAGCCAACAGTGAGGCTGATGTCCCCCGCCGAAATTGCAAAATAAATAGATGACACATATTAATTAATCGCACATTTATTTTTTTCACTAAGTTTCATCACTCTCTATCAGATAGAATCAAGATTATCTTGTCCCAAACCATCGACAAATGAAATCGATTAGCTCTGCTTAGCTTCAGCTCGAAATGTTAATTATTGAACTCAGTCAAGACATTCACCTAATGAACATCTACATATACATCAAGTTTAAACATTCACCTAATAGACACCTATGCCAAGTTTGAACATTCTACCTCAATTAGAAGGAGAGTTATTGTGTTCCAAAGTTTCTACCAATCAAATTGCTTATCACTCTGCTTACCCTCAGCAAAAAATGTTCATTATCGAACTTAGTTAAGGTATTCATATAATAAATCTATTTTTTTTTGCCTCCATCCGTATAGAAGTCAAAGCGTAGTATAATACGAATGCCAGACTTCTGATGAAAAAGGTAACCCCGAAAAATAAGGTAATTTTGGAGGTGATTTTGAACAAAAGTACGGGTCGACAATAGTTGGCACGCTTTCATTCTGTCATATTACGACAACACGTAATTTTGTAGGAACATTACTGACATAAATTTGAATACTGTACAGGAAATATATATGAAAAATAACGAGGCGCACCTATTTTTTTTATTACGTACGAATTTGAATATTTTGTTGACATGTGATTTTTAATTGTGGTCTGAACCCGCCTGCTTAAATAATGATAAGAGTTATGCCCTTTTATTTTCGATAAAAATGTCCGACAAGAAAATTTTTGAAATCCCATCACTGATACATATACATATTGTGTCTATCTTTGTCCCCGACACATCAATGCATAAATTTTTACTTGATATCAGCAGTAATTGTAATCATAAATCAACTGTTATTGCTTTTCCATATCGGCTCACCACATGTATATAAATTTGCCTGCCACCGAAACATAACATTTGAGCGAAAATTCCTTGCTTCAAATCTGTGATATAAATTCTGTAAACATGTCATATAGTACCAATAATACTAGTGTCTACTAGTGCTGGGATGATATATCGTTAAATCAATGTATTGCGATTCATGTTCTCACAAATTGCGTATTAAATCGCAAGAAGCTGAACTGATTTTTCACGATTCTTTTTTATGTTTTTTTTATCGCTTCTGTCACTCTTAATTATCAAGGTCACACATTATTCCTAGGTACACAAAATTCTTTAATTGTTTTGGTCCTTATTTCGATCCACATCAATATTGGGATATTCTACGACATCGGCGGGACTAAAGATTATCGTCATCCTGTTGTTTTCTTGGTAAATATTGACTGGGTTATGAATCAAGATACGAATTGTATCAAAGCACCTAAATCACAATACGCATCATATCGCGACTGCAGTGGCAATACCCAGCACTAGGGTCTACCTTTGTTATGTATTCGATAATATTTATACCATTTCGAAAATCCATGAATTATATTTATTTTATCAAAAGAGCACATGTCAAAAAAAACTATTGCTGAATTCTTCAGCTATTTTCAAGGGATGTAATATCAGGGGGCTCTTAAATTTTAGTTTAGAAACATGACAGCAATAGAAAACAGATATAAGATGATTGTGAGATGACTCTGCTTTCCGAGTGTTTTTATTAGCTTAGATCGATCAAGTCCTTACCACAGTCATTTGCCGCTCGAACATATTTTAAGGAAACCGAAGGCAGAATTTGCAAATATAGCAATTAGACCGATAATTGCGTTGTCGTGCATCAATGAATGATAAAGTCAATAATAACAATTATTCACATACCTGAGTAATTATTTCAGCATGTATTGTTTCATTACCAGCTACAACTTGACTATCACCATCAATATGATTAACAGCATCATCATCTGGTTGTAAATCACCAGTTGATGTTCCTTCATCTAATCTCACTAATTGTTGAACTGCACCAACATTAGCTGATATATTATGATCAGGTTTCCACTGTTTACCATATCTCGGAAAATCAGAATCAGACTTCTCTGTACATGGGTTCCTGTGAAAATTAAATGTTTACTTAAAGGGCATTAGAAGTGTGAAGATCTTTAATGATCAGGGAATAAACAGTTTGTGATTTGGTGTGATTAATTCCTAATTGTTAAAATTAGATTGTCTGTAAAATATAATATATAACTGTCAATCCACTGGCCAATATAGAGTCCTAACAATATAGCTTAGTCATTTTTAAGGCCCAGGTTGTTTGTGACAAGGAGTATGGTCGCCTGTCCAACCTCGTGGGTTTTCTCCGGGTCCTCTGACTGCTGAAGACCCCTACGCAAAAGCGAATTATTGAAATAAAATTGAACCATATGGTAGTCCTGAAATGACCTAGTTTGTTTCAATTGGACGTTAAACCCCATTTCTCTCTCTCTTTAAGGACTTTGTCAAATTATTGTCTAAAATGCTTTGTACTTTAACTAATTTAGTGACTTAACATTAGCCAATAACAGCTCTTAATATCTATATATAAATATTGAATGTTTACAATAAATAGTATTACCTTGATTTATTATGTCTAGTCAGTGCTCCTGCTTCTGTAAATGTCCGTTTGCATTTTGCACACTCGAAGGGACGTTCACCTTAAGAATAAGTATTTCACATGTTAAATATAAACTATTTTTCAGTATTGACATGCTTTATAAATGACGATATATTATGATTATTATTTCATTTATAATTAATAAAACTGACTACAATACAAACCAACTCAATAAAAATATTGAATTTATAACAATTATATTAATAGTTCTAATTTCATGGAGCCACAGTGTCTGAGTGTATGAGGTGCTGGCTCAATAACAAGGAGGTCAAGTATTTTCCAGCGTGGTTTCCTCATGTCAGGAGTGCAGGACGGAAGGCCTGGCTGGCAGGGAACAGTGCCTAGTCGTTGGGATGGGGGTGAAGAACCAGGGTCCCATGAACATGTTGCCATGTACATAAAAGAACTCTGGTGCAGAAAATTGGACATTCAACTCCATTAAAGTTTATGTCAGCTCTAAAATGTCAAACACAATTATTCCATGCATCCAAATATAGAATAAATAGGAATGTTTGCTATATAATTGACTGTCATGTAATTAAGAGTTCTATATTTGACTGTGTCATGCAATTAAGAGTGCTATAATTGATTGTGTCATGTAATTAAGAGTGCATCGATGATAAACTTTAGTTACCTGTATGTCTTCGTAAATGTCTTTTCAATGATCCTCTAGTTTTGAAAGCATATTCACATCCTTCAAAAGTACAGGGATGGTCTCTTCTGTTAGTATGAGTCAGTTGATGAACCTTTAAAACTTGGAACTAAAAAAGATATAATTGACTTGCTATATATATTATTGTAAATCATGATGAGATTACAGTATTAATTAAAGATACATTATGGGAGATTTTGATAGAGTTGGCCATTCTTGCTATAACAGTTCAAAAATAGATGAAGAAAGAAAGGAGAATATATAGAAAATTTCAGTCAAATAACTTTATTCTGAACAAAGTTATCACCATTGTAATGTTTGACTAGAAATAGGAGTCAACTCTATCTTCAACGGCTCCGAGAATGGCCGATCGTTTGATTGACAGGCGTTAACTCCACCTACATAATCTCGATTATCAAGTAACATTTTCAATGGCTGTGGTACCGTTAGCCTAATCGGTTTGAGACGGGGTTGCAATTCAATTCGTATCACATTTATTTTTACTAAAAATTAAAAATAAGACTTTTAATATATAGATAAGAAGCGAAAGTTTGAAAAGAATGGACCAAATCAATGAGGCAGGCAGCATTTTACATAATTACAGCCGACTTCTTGTTAGCCTGTGTGTACTCTTGTACTGTAACTGGTAGGCCTACATGACTCCCGAAGCAGACAAATAGGAAACAGTGATCCAATGGGGCTGCAATTCAACTGGGCTGATGTTAGCTGCGATGTTTATCAATTTCCATAATTTTTCTGTCAACACAAGTGACAAAAGAGCGTATAATACCGACATCCAAACTCTCATTTTAACCACAATTAAACATAATATCAAGGCCGTATATCGAACTTTCAATCAAATTGACTGACATGCGGCCTCGCTCAACTGCGGCCTCGCTTCGTACGCTCTATCATTTAGCCTCGATCATCACTGCCTTTTATGAAAAATTTCTGTGAGTATGACGTCAACGTAACGGTTAATCTCCGCTTACGACGCCATTAAAAAATTTAATCAATCAATGAAATCCTGTTTAAATCCAAGCCGAATCCAAGCAATCCGTGGGTCTACAGAGTTGATTTTGAGCTTGTTGTGTAAATAAAGATCTAATTTATAATTTCTATGACATCTGAAGCCTAAATAAAGACTTAAAATATGCTGATTTAGCTCTTGCATAATTTATGAAAAATTTCCGTCAGTATGACATCAACGTAACGGTTAATCTCCGCTTACGACGCCATTAAAAAATTTAATCAATCAATGAAATCCTGTTTAAATCCAAGCCAAATCCGTGGGTCTACAGAGTTGATTTTGGGCTTGTTGTGTAAATAAAGATCTAATTTATAATTTCTATGACATCTGAAGCCTAAATAAAGACTTAAAATATGCTGATTTAGCTCTTGCATAATGCATGTTTAATACAGTCCTCTAAGTTAAAGTCTTTATACTATATCTAGTGGTATCAAATTCTTGTTTTAAAGACAGAATAAGAAATAGTCATCCAGCTTTGTTATCTTTAGACATTTATTTGTGGACCAAGAACTACTCATTTTGTTGTTCTTCTTGGAGGCAACACTGTTCGAAAAAAAGGCTAAAGGCTGATTTATACTCTGTCCAAAACATCGCAGCCAAACAGCAAATCAGCAACACGACGTCTACTGTTGCGATCACATGATCCATCTAACAACACAAGAAGACCAGCTTTGCTAAGCTTTGCTCCCTACAACTGGCAGCTTTTGAATTTATTTGCTTCACAAGTAAAGCTTTGTTTCATGGCTTCGCTTAGCTGAGTACAAATTTAAGTGCAAATGACATGAAAATTAATAATAATTCAATTAATATAATTGATAACTGAAACAGCATGAGCGTAATATGAACCAGCAACCATACACAAGCCAAGATTTATATCAATATTTAATAAGCCATATTATCTAGCTCTTAGAAGTAACAATTGTTAAAATGTAGAGCACTTTATAAAAAATCAAATAATAATAATAAATCTACAGAATTTCCTTATTTACATACATCTCTAAATCTGTTTCCACATTGTTCACAACAGAAGGGTCTTAAAGACATTTCCTCGCCTGATAACTTCTGTCTTTTGCTATCTGGTGCTTGTACCTGTGAATGTAGAATTGTGCCATATTAAAATAGCCATAAAATAAATAAAACCACTCTACCAAATACTGCCTCCCTTAGGGAAAATGTTAATAAAAATAAATAAATAAATAATAAAACACATCCAGGAACAGACTCTTACCACAAAACTAGTAATGTGTTCAGATTTTGTAGTTGATCTGTGACAGGCTCATAAAATCTGATGGTAGTAGTGACTTCCCTAACTCTGGCTTAGAAATTAATTTCCGCTGCTGCGACATGATGTAGTCTGCATACCGAGTTGATAGATATTTCAGAATTAGAAGATTAACTATTATATAATGATGAGAATATTATAAAGTACCTGTGAATCTGCATTTGTGGTCAATGTCTCAAATTCTTCGGTTCCCAGTAGTGTTGGTGTTTCCTCTTCTTTCTCAGGAACATATTCAGTTTCATCATCAACCTCACATTGCTCCTCTTCTTCTTCATCTTCAGCATCAACTGAGTCCTCGTGGTCATATTTTATATGCCATCTAAGAGTTGCTTCCCTTGAAAAATGATAACACAGTTTATATATACAATAGGTAGCACTTGAAGAACAGAAGTAAAGAATAGTCATAATATAATTCCATGACTGCAACATGTCAACTTGTTGCTAGAGATTTTATTTTGAGAATAATCATAACAGATGAATCTGTAATAATCAAGATTTTTAACAGTTGAGTTGGATAAAAAAAAAGTGAAATAAAAATAAAAATAAAATAAAAAAGCAAACAGCCAACCATGAATAGGAGAGCTTCAAGAGTCAATAATAATAGTTAATAATCTAATTCAGTCTGCATAAACTCCTACTATACTTAAAAGTTGATGATTTATTTACTCATACCTATTAAATTTCTTGTCACATTTATTACAAATATAAGTACTTCTTTCTATTATATGAGTAACATCAACTTCCGATCTTCTCTTATACTTTCCTGTAATGAAAATATTTTGTATTACTGTATAACACTTTTTGTTTAAAATCGGGTCTGAAAAAAGACACTTTCACTGGGCAATCATTGTCATTCACTAACACCCTTTGCTTTATCCAACTTGATTGCAACATACAGTTCAAAATTTAGTTTGTGTGCTTTTCCATCTGTAACAATCAACAATCAACTTTAATGGGAATATACCCCACTCTTAAAATCTTCTCCAACTCTGAATTTGTTGCTTTTATCTAGTACAATTCTTGAATGTTGTAGGGCTTTCATTTCAATCTTTTCCAAGTCAATTTGTTTATCATAGATTAATAAAACATTCTTTCAAAAATATCAGATAATTTTAGCGTTATTCAAATTTTTAAAATAAATTTAAAATGTTTTACACATTAAGACTTTAAATTTAACTACATTTATTGAGTCATACAGTTAAATTCTTTCAAATTGTAATTTTATGTCATTCAAATTGACTGACAGGTAAGTTCTCCAGTCGGTCAATTTCACTGTCAGTCAGTCCAGACTGGCAATTATGATCAAAATTACAGCCCTGGTACAAATGCAATTACCACTAAATTAATATAATTCAATAATGTTTACTAACTTTTCTCTTTATTTTCCTTCTGATCACCATTTGACTTCTCTCCCTCTGGGCTTTCATTTTCAGATTTACTTTTTTGTATCCTTGGAACTCTCTGCGTCAATTTGGGTAGAACTATTCCCTTGTCTTTATTACTGCGTGAATAGGTCACCTTGAAATTATCATGTTTAACTTTATGTTCAAGATAAGATTCTATGCTTTTGAAAACTTTTTGACATTTCTTACAAAAGTGAATATCTTCATCATCTTCATCATCAGTAGCAATACCTAAATCATAAAATAAAACTTTGTCATTGCCATCCAACACAATATACAACATAACCACAGGAAGCCTTTTTGGTCGGTGCAGTTATATAAACATTGGACACCAAAAATTCGTAATCTTGTGGTCTAGCCTTAGGTCAGTAATCTGCGAGTTATAATTGTGTGAAATAATTGAAAATTAATGGATGTATCTATTTCATATTAAAAGTTTATAAAACTCCAGTACTTTGGACACTGAAGAGTGCTTACAAAATTTTGCAATCAGGGGATGGGGTACAACTCTAATTTTTATCATACGAATCAAAATACACATCTTCTTGTCTTTTTATACAAAAAATGCATTGAAAGGCCTAAATTAGACCCGGGAGGTAGAATGAAGGGATTAGAGGCTCCTTAATTGCTCATATGATTTCATTTCCATTTGAACATGTGTCATTCCCTTTTTAAGGGCTCTTATTTAGTGCTTCATAAAAAGGGTTAATCGTCCTACTTTCTACACTGATTGGGTTACAGACAGGCATACTCCATAGGCCACATACAGCATGTGCTATACAGCGGCACTTTGGCCTTAATTTATTTCTAACTCCAACTGTTACAATTTAAAGGGTTCTTTTACTGCACTGCAAGCTGTACACAGGACCTGGGTTTTCCATACTATCTGAATGACTAGATACTTAGTACTGCACTACTACTGACAAGAGAGAGACAGAGAGACCAATCGACACAAACTAGGTCATTTTGGGACTAACATATGGTTCAATTTTATTTCAATAATTCACTTGCGTGTATCGTGTAGGGGGTCTGTAGTAGTGGGAGGAAGCCAGAAAACACTCGGAGAAAATCCATGAAGTTGGACAGGCGACTCTATATACCCCTTGTCACGTACAACCGGGGAATTGAAACCATGCCAGTTGACTCAATGACAGACCTTATGTTATAATGTGCATGCGATAACCATTTGGCCATCCAACCCCTCTACAGACAAGAGGAAATCACATGGCTGATTGCCCTAATGAGCCAGTGTCTTACTCACTGAGCCGTCTCGGTGTCCAAGTGAATAGTGGAGCCCGGTGCTGGAGGTCATTTAGCTGCAATTTGTAGCCGTGATAATTCTGAGCAAGACGGAAGACATTAGTAGTGGAACCATTTCTAGAGCTGTAGAGCCAGTAGAGGTCATTGTACTAACATTTAACAATCTAACACTACACTGTCACTGTGTCACGTGTGTGTATTCAGTATTGTCAATTCAGTTGCTGAGTTGGTTCAATTTTAAATTGAAAATTATTCAATTATCATAATTTGAAATCAAAACCGAAACAAGACCAGATGAGTTCGTCATAAAACGTTATTAGACCAAAGAAATAATAAATGAGTTTGTTTCTTTGCTTGTACTCTTCTTGTAGTCAATGTTGATGTTCATGTTGGAAGTTGGCTCCAGCGGGCCGCATACACAAACCAGGCGAAGAGTTAGCAACAAAACAACAGACAAAAATGGCTGCCATTCCAGCCATTGGCATTAAATAGCTATTCGAATAACCTACTACAGTACTACATTATATCAACTGTTCGTTATGCATAATAATCTACAACAAAATGAAAATCGTCTGCTACCTTTAGATTCCAGCAAAGCAACAGTGTCGGTCGTAGGTCTTTTACTCGCACTCATGTCGATGTCTTTTGCGACAACCATGAAACGAGGTTATCTCATCGGGTATTTCCGCTAGTTTCCGTAATTAATCTTTTCGGGGATGTCTCAAAAATACTACACGGGTATAATAATACATTTTTAAATTTGTCATAAATTAAGTTTTCCTATTAATAAAACCATTCTAATATTTAAATTTCATCCTAAAAGGTCATAGGACACATTTCAATAAATTATCAATGACCCCAAAAATATGTTATAGCAGTACTAATTTATTATTCTGAAATGTTCCCGGAAACAAAAGGCAAAGAAGATTTATCGAGCGACATAGCCACCAAAATGGCGAACGAAATAGCTCATGCCCCAAGTAAAACTTGGGAATTGAGCCTCTATGAACTTCATAGAACTCCACAAGAAGCAATAACAGACAACACCGAGATAGCAGTCTCACCAAGAAGCCTTCATAGTGAACTTATGTGCCCAATATGCCTCGATATGTTGAAGAGTACCATGACCACAAAAGAATGTTTACATCGGTTTTGTCAAGAATGCATAATTACTGCCCTGCGAAGTGGAAATAAGGAATGCCCAACATGTCGTAAGAAACTTGTGTCTAAACGGTCTCTAAGACCAGATCCTAACTTCGATGCTTTAATATCAAAAATATATCCCAGCAGAGACGAATATGAAGCACACCAAGAAATGGTTTTGGCCAATATTGGTAAACACCACAACACAGCTTCCCTCACTCTCAGTATTGAAGAAGGTCTCAGACTACAAGCTATGAACAGAGCTCAAAGAGTAAGAAAGCAAGCACCTGATGCTAGTCAAAATGGTGATATTGATTCAGAAATGGTTTCAGAAGATAATGCAACAAATGGAAGTACTGGTAATGCCAATGCCAGTGCCAATTGTGCAGCCGCTACCAATGGAATAATAGAACCATCAGCCAATCAAAACCATATATCGAAGAACAATATTGAGGCCGAAGGCTCAACATCCAATGACACCACCCCAAAGAAACGAGCCAAATTATATTCTGATGATTCAAGTGCTGGAGAGGGAAGTGTCACATCAGAACCAGTCCCTGAACTTCCACCAGAGACGACAGTTGGTGATATTGAACTTGTCTTCAAACCTTATCCAGAAGATAATATGGAAGATGATGATGACGACAGCCAAACCAGATACATCAAAACAACTGCTAATGCTACAGGTAAAATAGCTTTTTAATCATTTATAGCCTATCCATTTTAGAGAATAATCGTTTAATGACTTAAGAAAACGGTCTAGTGTGATTACAGAGGGTAAATCTTTACAGAGTAGTTATGTATTTATTGACGTTATGTATAAGGCTTATCTTCCCAAAGAATAAATTATTGAGTATCCCTAACTTATTTTCGTGTGTACATGTAAGTAGGGTAGATACTTTAATCACTTAAAAAAGCAGTCTAGGTGTGTTCATGGTTACAGTACTGGTATATTTTATATTCAAGGACTGTCTTACATGTCCACCATTCACATTACCTGTATAGTGTATTACACATGTAGCAGAAATTGGTTTAGCTCTAGTCAAATTGTTCCTTAAATTATTAGACAGATTCTAAAATCTAGAATCTTTTCACATTAATATTTTATATAATTTCTACAGAATTAGTCTACTTTGTATCATATTCATATTTTGTGATTTTTCATTTCTATTTACAGTTGACCATTTGTCCAAATATTTGGCAATACGACTTTCATTAGAAGCCCAGAACAGTGAAAGAGGTAAACATTTTATCAGTTTAATCTGGATTAAAGGTGCATTATGTAAGATTTAGAAAAAGCTGGACGTTCTTGCTATAATAGTTCTAAAATAGAAATGAATATATTGAAGTAATTGAACATTTCATTCCAATTACTTTATTCTGAGCAAAGTTTAGACTGTAGATATCGCGTAGATCGATCATTATCATAGCAACAGTACTTGACAATTGTCCATTTTTATTGATAAATTTTTAGATCTCACAGATGTTCTAATATAGATGAATCTGAGCCATCTGATGTTCTAGAGAGCTAATTATAGACATGCCGTGTGAATAAATGTCTTGAAACCAAAATAAAAACCTGCAATAGGAAGATTTAGTCTTACATAATGCATCTTTAAGAATCATAATAAGTTGTAATTTACAAATGTATATTTAAACATGCATTATGCATGAGCTAAATCTGATTATTGCAAGTCTTAATTTAGGCTTCAGATGTTATAGAAATTATAAATTAGATCTTTATTTAAACAAGACCAAAATCAACTCTGTAGACACACGGATGGCTCGGCTACAGCTCGGATTTAAATAGGATTTCACTAATTGATTAAATTAGATAAGGGGTAACCTGATGAAAATATACGTCAGTTAGATCGAGGCTAAATGATAGAGTGTACTTAGCGAGGCCGCTGTAAAGCGTTTCCGTATGCCATTGAAAACTTTACTTGATAATCGAGATATGTAGGTGGAGTTAATGCCTGTCAATCAAACGTTCGGCGAAGGTGAAGAGACATTTCGCTACCATTTCTAGGCAAATATTACAACGATGATAACTATGTTCAGAATAAAGTAATTTGACTGAATTTTTCAATATATTCTTCTTTCATCATCTACTTTTGAACTGTTATAGCAAGAATGGCCAACTCTCTATTAATATCCCCCATAATGTATCTTTAAGTAATCTGGATAATGGATCAGGTTTATTTTTGCTGCACTTTTTATTCTAAGCTCTATAAACTTATTATGCTATCTTTTAAGTAACGATGCATGATTTGGATTTTTCGGAATAGATCAAATTCCTCATAGCTTAATCCACATCAATATTTGCATTACAGTAGAATCTGTATGAGCAGCCACTCCTATTCAGCGACATCTCCTTGTAAGCGGCCACGATAAATTCCCCCCGTAAAAATTATGTTGTTTCATCTCTTTATTCAACGGCAACTCCTCTAACGCGGCCAGCGGTCCCTATATTACTGATAAATATTGTTGAATGATACCATCTTGTCTTCTTTGTAACACCCCCGCTAATCCAGCGAGTAGTAGTTAATTAACTGGACCCCCACTGATCAGGTAAAAAGAAATGTAAAAATAACAATCAACCCGGGATTATCTGTTAATTAATCTTTTGTTTTAAACGGCTAACCTGATCATTGTTTTCACGTGTAACGACACATTATTTGATACTGATTGAATAAAATAAAAGTACCGAGTTTTGTCGTGATCATCTAGTATCTCTTTTCCATTGCCACTTTGTTGTTAAACAGACGTTTTAGCGCCTCCTATAATATTACATACAGAGTTACACCAGCGATTGTTTTTTGTTCATGTGCTTTTTTGATAAAATAAAATTAATTCATCGATTTTCTTCACAAAAATGGATAAATATTATCGAATGCATCACAATGGTAGACAGTAGTATCGAAGGTTGGTACAAAATGACAAGTTTACAGAAGTTATGTCCGAGATTTGAGTAAAGAATTTTCGTTCGGCGTAAGATTCAGCGACGCCCGATGGTCAAATTTACCGATGCAAGTACTGATGTTCGCTTCCAATGCATCCAAGCGTAATATTTAATTTATGTCAGTACAAAAAGCACCGAGATTTTATTAAGAGGCCACTCCTGTTAAGCGGTCAATTGTGAAAATTCCTTTGGGTGGCTGCTTAATGCAGATTCTACTGTATTTAACATTTAATTAAGAAAGCAAAATCAAAATACATGTACCAACACTATATAATCTCTTGGCATGGAGGTTTTTTTTCCCTCCCCTTAAAATTGAAAATCACTCTCCTTTACAAAGTCATTGGGGGTTTATTATCATTTATCAAACCAGGAATGAGCCATTACATGCAGTTATTGATCTTCAGAGCCATTTCCCATACACACAACTAATCACTCTCCTTAATTTCCAAATCACTCTCCTTAATCACTCTCCTTAATTTCTAAAACATTCTTCTTATCGAAAATGGGAGAGCTTTTTTGTTGATCATGGGGAGCTTTTTTTGGCTCTCCTCTGAAGTACAAAAAAACAACGACTGCTTGAGATGTAACAGTTCTATTGAAATGTAAAATAACATATTCTATTTTGTTTTCATTTTAGGATCAGCCAATCCAGATGATAAATATTCCATTTATATCGCCTCTTCTCCTTACAACTATAGTGTGTTAGGTGGTGGAATGACATTGAATCAAGTTAATGAACGTTACTGGAAAATCAACAAGCCATTAGAAATGTTTTATCGAAGGCTGGAACCTAGTTCTAAGAAAAATGGAGAGAAAAATTGATTAGCCTAAAAGGATATGAATATGTAAAGCAATGTGCAGATCGAACTCTGAAATATTAAAGAAAGAAGATATTTGTGCATGTAATCAGTTTTTGTTTATATATTTTGTATGGAATATGGCTACAGTTCTGTTTGTAACAGGACTGAAATTACCAAGAAGAAAGAGATTACAAATAAGAGACATTGTAATTGAATATTGAAATGTTCAATTTATTCATCCATCTATCAATCATCATGCATGGTTTGTCATCCTTCTACCCTCTGTAATTGTTTTGGGGTGATCTAATTTAACTTTCTTGCTTTTAGTCATAGTATTTTGGTTTGATATTTTGTAAATATTCCTAAGCTGTTAATGTTTGTTTAGGCTAGAACTAAGCTGGGGGTTTGTTTTGTGTTTTTTTTTTTTGGGGGGGGGGGGTCTTCTTTTTTACTTAAATGGAGTTACCCCCCTTTATCTTATACATTTCTCATAAACAAATCTTTTTGACTTTTTATTTTACTGTTGAAGGAAAAACTGAAACCAATGACTCACTATGCCTAGTGCACATTAAAGTATTGATCATATTCTTGCTTAAAACTATTAATTACAAAGAAACAATATTCCAGAATACAAGAGAGAAATAGAAATGGGGTTATAAGACTAGTCAACACAAACCTCATTACAGGACTAACATATGGTACAATTTTATTTCAATAAGGCTAGAACTAAGCTGGGGGTTTGTTTTGTGTTGTTTTTTTTTGGGGGGGGGGGGTCTTCTTTTTTACTTAAATGGAGTTACCTCCCGTTATCTTATACATTTCTCATAAACAAATCTTTTTGACTTTTTATTTTACTGTTGAAGGAAAAACTGAAACCAATGACTCACTATGCCTAGTGCACATTAAAGTATTGATCATATTCTTGCTTAAAACTATTAATTACAAAGAAACAATATTCCAGAATACAAGAGAGAAATAGAAATGGGGTTATAAGACTAGTCAACACAAACCTCATTACAGGACTAACATATGGTACAATTTTATTTCAATAAGGCACTTGTAAGTAGGAGTCTTTAGCAGTGGGAGGAAACCTTACCAGATACAAGTTTAGAATCAAAACCACATCACTTGACTCAATGACAGACTTTATGATCTAAACCTCACAGTTAGATTATTCATCAGACTAAGAGGCAAATGTAGATATTCAGACATGCACAATAAACAGCAGTCTTACAGGTCCAAAAGTTCTTAAAATCAGTTAGTCCTAATGTAAGTTATTGCAGTCTAAAGTTGACATTACTTTCTATCAATTTCACAACGCCATCTTTATTGTCATCATCTTGTAGCATCTGAAGGATATCTCATTTTTAATTTATGGTGTCTAAAGAGCACTTTTCAACCCTTATTTTTGTTCAGTTGAAATATCGAAACTGTTGAATCTATAGTCTTTCTGGTACATTGCATCTTCAAATAGAGACACCAAAAGAGATGATCTTCATACATTTCTAACTGATAGTTTCTAAAGAAAACTTTTCAACCCTTATTTCGTGAAATTTGGAAACTGTTTAATTGCCTTTCTGGCACACTGCGTCTTTAAATACAGACACTACAATTAAGAAGAGTCTAAAGAGATGTGAATTTCAATATTTTCATACATTATGCCTACTTTATTTATCATTGTTGTATTATAATACATAAAAATAATACTATGTTGTTGTCATTATCTATGTATTTATTTATGTTTTATCAGTAGGAATATCTAGGGATGTCATGCTATCAGACCATATCAATAAAGTAATGAATTAAAATGGGGTTTAACGTCCTACTTTTCTGCACCAACCAGGCTAATACATACATGCATACACTATATGCTGTCCATAGGCAAATTTTTACCAGAAAACAGTGCTACATCCTGCACCAATTTCGATTTCCAACTATCAGGGGCTGTTTTACATGCATGCCAATTTTTTGTCCCATCCAAATGACTAGACACTTTTCCTTGCCAAATCTCCTTCCTGCACCACTGACAAGTGCTTGTAAAAGAAAGCTTGCCAGATAGAATTCTTCAAAAAATTGACCTGAATGCTCCTCCTTAACATCTGTTAGTCTCAAATTGATCAAAATATTAAACCACATTTCCTGCCTTTCTTGACTCTGTGTACCTGTGGAGTAGGTTTGCCTGTCCAACCTCGTGAGTTTTCTCCGGTTTCCTCTCACTGCTAAAGACCCCTACAGACAAGCAAATTAATGAAATAAAATTGAACCATGTTTGTCCGGAAATTACATAGTTTGTGTCCAGTGGATGTTAAACCCCATCTCTCTCTCTCTCTGAACCTGCTTGAGTAAACAAGGTTTTCCTGTTGGTTCTAACAGCACTGGATTTAGGTACCCAAGGTAAATTTTATATACATAATGATTTTGTTATACTAGTGTGGTATTAATTCAAGACATGAATCCCTATTTTTGAGGGTAAGAAATATGGATTCAATTGTTCACACCATGTTTCCTTCAATTTCGGATAGTGGTAATGGTACTTATTTGTGGCGGATTCTGACTGGAAATTATATTTTATCAAGCAGTAAAACTCGCCACCACAGTGCTGATTTTACTTTAACTTGGAATGGTAGTTCTAGTCCCCCCACTCACCTTAAATAAAGCAAATGCCTGCCAAACCAAATAAATGCAAGTGCACCCCTTTTATCCTCGCAGCTTTAAAAACAAATGTATGTGACTGAAACAATATATAGGAAACATCAACCTAAAATCTGTCAATTAGAAGGGCAAATAAGGCCCCCTTTTTGGATAGTTTTTGTAGGTCTTGGAAGGTTGTATAGTCCACAATAAATTCTGTTTGGATGTCAAGGGCGGATCCAGGAATTTTTGCAGGAGGGGGTTTGCCTGGTTCCTGAGACGATGTATCATTTAGAGGCGGCCTTGAAAATTTTGAAGAAATACATGGCCTCAAGATAAGAAACCCCATCTCTCAACCCTATGTGTTTTGAGATAAGAGATGGTACAATATAGATCCAACTGACAAGTCCCAAAGCTAATCACATAGGGCTTGAAATAAGAAAGAATGACATTTTTTTCTTCAAAACAACTATTGATTATTGTTATTTATAACATTTCTGCCACATACAACTACAATAAAGCATATAATTCTGCCTGACTCGAGTACAAATCCCCTCTATTAAATCGAAGTGATAATAGATTGCTTTCCCCGACATTTTAAATTTGACATTTTTACTTCATAAAGGCGAGGCCTCGTGTACAATAGACAAAGTACTAACCTGGTTTTTACCTGGGATTTTACATAAGAAGAATAAGAATAAGTTTATTGCAGTAATATAGGTCAGAGACCAAACGTTACAAGTTTGAATCAACTAGAAAATGATATGTACAATTATATTTTAAAAGGTGCGATTCAATTTCAAAATATCTGTATAAATAAGTATAATTCTGTAGTTGCAATTGAGTAGGCTATATTTACAAACAATCAACTGCGACGGACATAATTATTTACAGCAATTTATATATGATACTTGGTGACCCTTTCTATATAATGGGAGATGGATAATAATATACAAGGATCGCTAGAATTTGACAGATTTAGGAAGTTACAACGACTGATATTTGCCAAATGTACACGTTCAAAACAAACATCTCTGATGTTCTTCGTTTCTATGCATTCAAACATAAAATGAAATAAATCTCCATCACATTGATGGCATAATGGAAAAGTAGTTTGATTCCGTCTATGCAAATTCAAACATGTTGGTAATAGATTTAGCCTAAATTTTGTAATATTTCTCCTGTGTTTTAATTGAATGTTCGATAATAAATAAGATTCCTGCTTTCTGATAATTTAGCTGACCATTCTTGTAAGTTTATATCTGATAATCGTAACTAAATTTGACTTATAAACATGTTAAAATTGCCGATCATTTCAGTTTCAAAAACATAACCAAGTCCTAAGGAATATAACATAATTCTGACCTTTGTCACCCAACTAACCCTGCCGGCTTTGTCTAATTGTTTTAACATAATAAATACTTGTTTAGGATAACGGTCTATGGGCATACGCAATAGTTTACACCAATATTTAATACAACACAAAATATAATATTTAATATATGCTTAAACTGTGTCTTCCACATTCCCCACATTTCTCTTTTATTCCATAAAAAATCCAATTATGCTCCTTTCTTCTGTTTTCACTTTCATCAAGTCTTTGCTTAATTCTTTCATTCTCTGTTTTCAGTTGTTCAATATCTTGTTAAATATTTGTCACCTCCTCTTTAATATTCATTTCACGAACTTCTGACCTCAATTGTGTAATTTCATCTCTGATGTCTTGCAAGAGGGTTGTCAATTCATTGGTATGGGGGTGGTTCTGGTCTCCGGTAGGGTATATCACTTCCCCAGTTCTGGAAATAGTGCCTTGTCTAGTGCTGGGACCAGGGTTTGATTCGATATCTCCACAGAACACTAATAACATTGAAAATATCACAAAAACCGACAGAGTCAAGTTTGAACTTTTAATTATTGGTGACTTACATTTTACAGCGGCAGTTTTGTGATGATAGGATCCTATAATAATTCTCCATGCTGCTAGATCGATAAACATGATTAAAGAGATTGTTGAATATTCCGGTAGATATGTTAGGAAGTCCTTTAAATAAATAGTGTTCGGTCAAGCGAGGAGAGGTCCACACCCATGGGCCCAGATCCCGGTGGGGACACCGGGACGCGTCCCCACCAATATTTTTAGTGGTGGGGACATGATATACCGTGTCCCCACCACTTATTTCCGATGTTTTGCTTACTGTTTATTTTTTGAAATTGAAATCATTCCAGAGCTTTTATTGACATTCAGAAAGTGTAGAGTTGGTCCCAGGCACTTGAGGCCAGGGTCCTTGAAGTTGTACAGCTGCACCCGGTGACCGATTTTTATTTAACAGGGAATAAGTGATAATTCTTATTATAACAGTAAATAATTAAAATATTCCATAGGGATTATAATAATATGTATATCATGTAGGTGTGCATATCTGATACGCTGGGTATTAAAGGGTTAAGGAATAACTGAGATTTTGTTTTTATCTGGTATACTGAATGATAAATCACCTAACTAAAGGATTTAGTTTGTATTTCAGGGGAACCCTTAATTGCTAGATTTGCTGCCATACTAAATAAGCGTATTTTTAAAGACTGGTTTCTCTCTCTCTGTGGAATATAGGCAATTAAATCTAAAATTTATGACTCGAACCCTTTATTGTTTTGGAGTACAGTAAGCTGAGCCAAGAATCGTGTACTTATTATTACATGTAAGTGAAATTTTTTGCTGTTTTGTAGATGGTTTAGAAATTTAGGAAATTTATCGGAAAAAACATTTTTTAAAACCTGTCATAGGCAGTCCAGAAAGAAGACAAAGGGAAAAGAAACGGGCAGAGTGGATATAAGTGTACTGCTTTTTAGTTTTAAATATACTAAACACTTTATTGAATATTTTTTTCGATTAAAAAATTGCTCTCTGAACTATTTTGTTATTGGTAAAAACTCCTCAGAATCGCTGAGAATGCATATTTAGACACCATTTTGTAACAAAAATTCAAAAATTGTAAAAGCCCCCCCCCCCCCCACCTCTAGCAGCTCACACCAGCGGCGTTCGGTTATATAGTATGAACACTTATACATTTCTAAAGAAAATATTCTTTAAATTATTATTAGGATCGAACACTTCTGGGAATGGAGGCGGAGCTGGAATCTCAGTAGTGTAAATATTTCTAGTTCTTGTAGCGTACATGAGAGAATAAATCGTGAACGGTGACTTGAACATTTGTCTTTAGATTAGATTTCGTATCATTTGCTGCCTCAGGGATTAGAATTGTTTGCCAGAAAATGATGCTAAAACTACCCACAGAGTGCGTTTTAGAGCGTCTAGTTTTTAAAAAATTTCGGGGGAGGACCCCCGACCCCCCCCCCCCCCTCTTTACCAACAGTCGCCCGCGCATGGACTGTCCCCACCACTAATTTTTGGCGATCTGCGCCCCTGTCCACACCTACACATCTTATCTCTACGAATGCTAATACATTTCAACATACATTATGCAAGAGCTAAATGTGCCTATTGCAAGTCTTTATTTAGGCTTCAGATGTTATAGAAATCATTAATTAGACCTTTATTTACACGACAAACGCAAAATCAACTCTGTAAACCAATGGTTGGATTGCATACAGTTTGGATTTAAACATACTAAATACATGTAGGCCTACCTACTACGCTACGTTTTACATTTACTGATATGCAATAAAATCACTTCTGCACTATTTTGACAGGAAACTTTAAGGAAACAAAATAGAAAAACAAAAACCGACCGCGACTGTGTCAAACGCTAAAATATAAAGAAAATTCATCACATAAACTATTTGTTTATTTTTTTTTTCAAATACGCCGGGGCACAGATAACTTAAACATACATACATTATGCAAGAGCTAAATCTGCCTATTTCAGGTCTTTCTTTAGGCCTGAAATGTTATCTAAATTATTAATTAGACATCAATTAACTTATCCAGACCATAATCAACTATCGATGTCATCGCTAGCCTGCGATATTTACTGTATTAGGATCCGATTTGTTGCTCAAATTTCATTCATGATTTAATCATGAACTGGATAATCGTGAACTATGTTTTTATCGTACCGACTTTAGTAATGATGATCGAAGCTAAGCCGAAAATTCATCGCTAAATTCGCGGTTCAGAGTGGATCAATTTGACTGAAATTTTCAGCAAATTCCCTCTACATAATCTTTTATTTAATCTACCATAATGTATCTTTAACTTAACGTCCACTACCACCGATCGCATACAAAACTGTCAAAAGTCAAAGAAATCAACGTCAGTATGTCTTTTACAGGACTGGTCCGAATGTTTAGCGCGAGCGCGCTGTATCATAAGGACTGTCATTGAGTCAACTGGCGTGGTTTCGATTCCCTGGTTGTACTTGACAAGGAGTAGGGTCGCCTGTTCAACCTCGTGGGTTTTCTCCGGGTCCTCCGGTTTCCTCCCACTGCTAAAGACCCCTACGCACATGCGAATTATTAAAATAAAATTAAACCATGTTAGTCCCGAAATGACCTAGTTTGTGTCGAGTGGACGTTAAACTCTCTCTCTCTCTCTCTCTCTCTCTCTCTCTCTCTCTTACGGGTATCCTTTGTTTGACGCGTAAATACATGGGTCTAGATGACCGAGAATTATTTTTAATGAGCTGACGACGTGGTCTAAATGACCGAGAATTATTTTTAATGAGCTGAAGAACGTGCTATCACCTACGAAAACATTCTGACACGAGATTGTCAATACTGATCAGTTTAATCGGCCTGGTTACTAAGGACAACAAACCCAATCATACAAAACTTTGTAATCCCAAGTTTGAGTCATTCGCTTCTCTCACATTAGACGACACAGGTCTTAGCTTGAGGTTCTCCAGTGCTGTTCAGTTTTTACCATCAACACTTACAACAGTTTAATTATCAATAACCAAAATGGTAAGTACCATGGGTGTTCTTGTTGTAGTCCAAACCCACTGTCTGTTTATTTGCGTCAAAGCTGCCACAGTAATATGGGGCAAGATTTTGACTTTTGGCTATAGATGTATTTCTTCTTTACTCGGAAGATAAGGTCTTTTTCCGAATATAATATCTTTTTTGGGGTGATATTGTCTTTTCGAAATTAATTCATATTTTTAAAGAAATTATAACTCTAATTATGTATGGTATGTTGTGTTGTGTGTGTAGATTTCAAGTCGCCTTACGATTTATCCTATAAAGTAGACTTTTAGAACCACCACAGATCTGTAATTCTTGAACTTTGGGATTCAGAACCCAAATACAACTGATTTATTATATTGACAAGTACTTAAAATGTTACATGTATGTCGCGTGTCGGTAACTTATATACAGGAATCTGTAAACCAATATTACATGTGCAGAGAACAGACTTGCTGCGTAAGTCTCCAACTCAATATCATTTAAAGTCTTCCACTTTGAAAACACGAATTATTTGTCAACTTAAATCAACATTGATGCTGTGATCTTACCGGGAAAAGATGAGCTTCTGATATCCAATATCTAAGATTTAAGACAAAAAAAAGAAACCATTTTACCATTGGTACTCAAATCGTGTACCATAAGGCGTTTCAGCACCATTTGTAACAAGGGACCCGGAGAACGAGGCTATAGGCATATTCCACAAGTCTTGTCAAACGGCGACGTCATATTCTTATCTGGAGAGCATGCACAATAAATACTATCGGTATAGACTGGAATAATCAGATGCTAGAGATTGTCATTCGATTGAGACTTCTGGCGTATTTCGCCGAACATAACTGATTTAAAATTTAAAGTAAAAACGGAAACGATTGAATGTAAATCAGTTTATATTGTATGCGTTGCGATGCATTTGTGTCAATTTCTAGATCCCAAATATTAGCGATTTAGCTCCTTTTAAGATTTATTTTAGGTTTAGTAAAAACTTCATAGTTTCTATATTTGCACTCTGCTTTAGAAAATTGATACGAAAATCACTGGGAAGTGAACTTCTTCAGTGGTAGCTTTTTAATATCATTGTTTGAAATCGCAAGATCTACTTGTATATTCGATAAATATTGTGAGATTTGTAGTTGGGTGTGATCGAAATTCTCTGGTTCTTGGTCAGTGTACTCACCCAATCCACTCGTTTCCACATTTTTTATTTGTCCCCCGCCTTTCCATGATTAACATTTTCCGGTAAAGCTAAGCAATTTCATTGGTCGATGCTTTGCGGGACAAGATAAGTTTGATTCTACATTAGTGTCGAGTTTCAATACCAGGTACTTTAAAACCTTTACTGAATGCGATCGTGGACATTTTCTGGTTAGACTAAATATAATTAGTTTGATTGCTCGATACCTTTCAAAAAGATAAATGTTCAGTTGGCTTGTTTTCCCCATTGTCTTGGGTGCGCTATGGCATTTTAAAGAACCAAAATATCATAGATTGTAAGAACCTAAACGCTTTTTATAGTTGATGATGGTATGTATACACCGAATACCAATTTTTCCAGTACCAACTTACTGTGACATTGACGTTTACTGAATATCGAAGGAAACTACCTATACTAGTAACACTATGCATTATTCACATCCATGTCTGTCTCGATATTTCAATTAAGAAAACTACAAACAAGCCCTTGAATCTTTTGAATAAATAATTAATTTGCAATATCTCCTTTCTACTATAGTACTTGTAACATGCTTATTCGGTTTAAGCAGTTAATAAGATGCGTGTATAGCTTGATTGTATTCAGTCATGGCTATTTCAATAACATTTTGAATGTACATTGCTTTAAGATTGATTGACCACTCAATAGACCCTGTCCCTACTCCAACTTTTGATTAGGTATCGACACGAACCATTATCCAATTAAGACATGAACCCAGATAATCCTTGAGTGGCATTTAGCTATTGAGCACATTAATAAACACAACATAATTTATATGGGAAAAAATTCACTGGTTTAGACATAACGTTGTCCTATTTAAACCAGTGATTATTTTTCTTTATAAATCGTGTTTTGGTTTTTTTTATGACTGAAGATATAACGCCCATTACCCGAAAACTAATTGCCTGCGATATTCTGGGTGGAAACAGATATTAAACGCGTCGAACCAACTAACCGAAACTAATCAACCGAAAGCCAATCAACGTAAAAATCAATCCATTAGCATGTCACTTTCTGTGATCCAGAACTTAGGAATTATATCTCACCTTTGTTCTATGATACGCGCGTGTCCAAACTTGAATTTTAAATCAATAAGCTTGATTCACTAAGGGTGTTATTTATCGTCTTAATACGATCTTGACTTCTAGTATATTGATTTCCGTTTTAACAATGGGCAGATTATAGAGAAAGATAATCAGAAAACCATAGAATTAATATCTTAATATTCAATCAATCCACAACCCCTTTAACAAAAAGAAATGGGGTTTAACGTCCTATTTTTCTGCATTAACCGGACTAATGAAGACAGGCTTACACCTTGCATATTTCTGAAGCAATGACCCGAGAAATCCCTCTCTGGTCATTGCTGGATTAGCTTCTGATACTTGCGCTTTTGAGGGAGCGGGTCTATTCTTCCCGTTCAATCAAATCTATCCCCAAGCACAGCAACATGACAGCCCTTTTAATCAGGGGACTTTCCTAAAACTTTGGACAGTAATTTAAGGTATTAAAAACGGTGAAAGTGTTGGACTCAAAACAGTATTGTTTACATTATGTCCGTGATGATAGCCTCGTTTGTCACACAATTACTTTTTCTGCAATATTCTGCTATGTACTGGTTAATTTTTGGGGCATAATAAAATCGTGAGTCATGACGTAACGTTATGTAAACATATTTGTTCCAATTTGGAGCTCTGTTTGGTATTGTTACGCAGTTAGCTATTGGTTGTTAATCGGACTATTGACCAGTCATAATTTAGAACAAGAATTTGCCTTCTTTACAGCAGTGAGTAGTGGGATTAGCAGTGTGCTAAAGAAGAAATTTTGCCGGAACAGTGGTGCTACGGCCTTCTCTTATATCGAATTCTAACAATCTGGGGTTCTTTTATGTGCACCCCAATATATACACGTGACCTCAGGTTTTCATACCACCCGAACGACTTCACGATGTTTACATGCCAGACCGAGGAATTTTCTCCGCCAACACCGGGATCGAACCCGTACCTCATGGTTAGCAAACCAGCACCATATTCACTTTAGCCACCGTGGGTGTGTCTCCCGCCATATATATATATATATATATATATATATATATATATATATATATTCTAATATATATTTCTAATTATAAATTATAACGGATCAGAACAGTTGAAATATATAGTATTTGGGCTAGAAATCCAAAATAACGGTACGAAATTGATTTCGATTCTACATTTAAGATATGTAATTTCACGCGAACCTATATGAAAAATATACTTTAACTAAACTAGCTACTTTATTTATTCATATTTAAAATCTATTTTTAGCGTGAATGTATCTCTATCCATGTCGGCCAGGCTGGTGTACAGATGGGCAATGCCTGTTGGGAGTTATACTGTTTAGAACATGGTATCCAACCCGATGGTCAGATGCCATCAGATAAAACTATTGGTGGTGGAGACGATTCATTCAACACGTTCTTCAGTGAAACTGGAGCTGGAAAACATGTACCTAGGGCTGTCTTCGTTGATTTGGAACCAACGGTTGTAGGTAAGATTGTATGCAAAAAAGAAAAATCCAATATAACGATAGAGGGCGTTACATATATTTTTTTAAAACTCTATCAGATCCCTTATTGTTTGTAAAAATGGAATTTTCGTTAGCTAACTTTAAAATATTCGATCTTTATTTTGTTTTAGATGAAGTGAGAACGGGTACATACCGTCAACTCTTCCACCCAGAACAACTGATCACTGGTAAAGAAGATGCCGCCAATAACTACGCCAGAGGTCATTACACAATCGGTAAAGAAATTGTTGACCTCGTCCTTGATCGGATACGAAAATTAGCTGACCAATGTACTGGTTTACAAGGTTTCCTCATCTTTCATAGTTTCGGTGGAGGAACCGGTTCTGGTTTCTCTTCATTGCTCATGGAAAGGTTGAGTGTTGATTATGGCAAGAAATCCAAATTGGAATTTGCTGTCTACCCAGCCCCACAAATTTCCACTGCGGTAGTTGAACCATACAACTCCATTTTGACTACCCACACTACTCTGGAGCATTCAGATTGCGCTTTTATGGTGGATAATGAAGCTATTTATGATATCTGTCGTCGTAATCTAGACATAGAAAGACCAACCTACACCAACTTAAACAGACTTCTAGGACAGATCGTCAGTTCTATCACCGCGTCTTTGAGATTTGATGGTGCTCTGAACGTCGATTTGACCGAGTTTCAAACCAACTTGGTACCTTACCCACGTATCCATTTCCCTTTGGCAACATACGCCCCAGTAATCTCTGCTGAAAAGGCTTACCACGAACAGCTCACGGTATCTGAAGTTACCAATGCCTGTTTTGAACCGTCCAACCAGATGGTTAAATGTGATCCACGTCACGGCAAGTACATGGCCTGTTGTATGTTGTATCGGGGAGATGTTGTGCCAAAAGACGTAAACGCAGCCATTGCGACTATCAAAACTAAGAGAACCATTCAATTTGTTGACTGGTGTCCAACTGGTTTTAAAGTAGGTATCAACTACCAACCACCAACTGTTGTACCAGGAGGGGATTTAGCCAAGGTACAGAGGGCTGTTTGTATGTTAAGTAACACTACTGCTATTGCTGAAGCCTGGGCTCGTCTGGATCATAAATTTGATCTAATGTACGCCAAGAGAGCTTTTGTTCACTGGTATGTTGGCGAAGGTATGGAAGAAGGTGAATTCTCAGAGGCTAGAGAAGATTTGGCTGCACTGGAGAAAGATTATGAGGAAGTCGGTGTCGATTCTGTTGAGGGAGAGGGCGAAGAGGAGGGAGAAGAATATTAAATTGATATCTTTAACGTTTTTTATTTAACTACACAAGTTTTCGTCTCGATCATTTAATCAAAAATAACTATACAATGTATTCCTTATATTACTTGCCTCATTTGATGGTAATTATAATTATCAAAACAAAACATGATTATAATTGAGGTCAGCATTTAGTGTGTAAATATGCCATGTATGGTAATTAAATAAAAAGGGTTTTAACGTATTGTTCTGCTCCGACTATAGGCTAATGAATACGGCATACAGTGCTGTGGGAGAAATTTTGCCCGGACTCGATGTATGGTAAACGCATTCTATTTACGCAGTTCGTAGTGTATGTCTGGTAATGAAATGGGGTTTAACGTCCTATTTTGCTCCGACTGGGCAAATGAAGACGGCCATACGCCATACAGTGTGCTATGGGGGGATTTGTTGACGTATGTTACAAGGCATTCATGTTTTATTGGGTAGCATTTATCACAAAAAAAATTCTCGGGAGTGGGCGCTGCTGTCCACCTTTTTAATATCCTTAAGTCGTCTTGAAAGTTATTTGCGCCATCGCCAGCCCTCTTAGAAATCTAGCCACTATATTTACAATCCTTTCTTCAATGCACACGTAGTCTCCCTTCATCTGGTGTTGCTTACTATATATATACTATTCCAAAAAAGTAGGGGATATTTGATTTTTAAGTGTTATTAAAGTCACCTAATGAAACTGACGAAGAAACAAATGACAAAATGAAATGAAGTTCACATTCATCGATTTATTCCAAATGATCGTTAGACTAAGTAAGGCACAGACTGACCATTATAAGGGTAAAATGATACCCGGGGTCAAACAGCAAAGTTACCACAGCATCACAACCAAGTCAGTAACGGGTAAATCCTCCTCTGTTTGCCAAACAAGCATTGATCCGACGTGGCATACTCCTAATGAGACGTCTAAGGTCATTTTGGTCCAGATTGTCCCATTCCTGTTGCAACGCAGCAGCAAGTTCTTGGACATTGGCAGGACGTTGTTGACGTTGACGTAACCTCTGTCCAAGTATGTCCCAGACATGCTCGATGGGGGAGAGGTCGGGACTCAGTGCTGGCCAAGGTGATGTTCTGTTGTTGGAGGTTTCCTGTAACGATCCTGGCCCTGTGACATCTTGCGTTGTCATCCTGGAAGATGAAACGGCGGCCATGACGTCGTGCGAACGGCACAACATGGACTGCCAAGATGTTGTCCCGGTAGTACTGGCCTGTAACACCCCTTTAAAATGGGTGTATAGATCTTTGTCATATAGCTTTAGAAGGGGCTGCAACTTCATTTGTTCATGTCGAAACAAAATGTTAAATTTGTCAATATAGTGTTATTTCGATGCGTGTCCGAATAGTCTTAAGGCGTGGACTGTATATCATAAGACCTGTCACTGAATCAAGTGGCGTGGTTTCGATTCCCCGCCTGTCCAATTTCGAGGGTTTCTCTGGTCCTCCCACTAAACACCCATCCGTTCAATTTATTTATTGAAATATTAGTCCCGAAATGACCTAATTTGTGTGAGTCGACGTTGAACCCCATTTCTCTCCCTCTTTCTGTACCCAGATTAAAGATTTATGAATGTACTTAGTTGGCAATCTGAATATTTCATACATTAATAACCCTTTTAAGAGTGACCAGATTGTCAAGGTCATAGTTTGAGTGTCTTAAAAATGCTCAATTGTCCATAAAATAAGAGAAGTGTAAGAGGTCAACTTGATCTGGACTAGCTTATGAATTTATCGTTAAGTGTCTGAAATAAAAGCAAATAAAATGGCGTTTAACGTCCTATGTTATGCACCGGGCTAATGAAGACCGGTATACGCCATACAATGTGCCATGAGTGAAGTTTTACACAGACAGCGGCACTACGGCCTATTTATTTCGAATTCAAACTGTCAGGGGTTCTTTAACGTGGGTTCATAAACTTCGTGATTGTCAAATCTGATTGAAATCTATACATCGGAATAAGCCATGGCCTTTATGGGCTGCAGACCAGTGATCTCCTCCTGTTGGAGGCCCTCCAGAGATACAGCACAGCTTAATAAAATGGGGTTTTTACGTGTCGGCAAATGCAGGTATTTATATTTGGTTTTTGTCGCATCCATATACGACTAGTCCCCGCCCCTTGTCATATCCCCCGGAGACTTTTAGTGGTTAGTGAGACAGCGCCTTAATCACTGAGTGACTGTGAATGCTAAATCCTATTTTAAGTATCCTGCATTATATTTAAAAGGGCCACAATTAATACACTGGGGTATTTCTAGTAAACGTACTCTAAGAAGGTACCTTTCCGGTCGGAGGGTAACAATTTCTTAAATTCCTGAGTCTCTCTGGACGACGGACATTACATATCTCTGGAATAGTTTTAGTGCCACTACAATCCATAACTACCACACCTGTTGTCCTACCCCTGCTGAAAATATATGATGTTTTTAAAAATATCGTGAGACAGCATCTTTAATAACACCACACCCACTACCCAACCCCTATACTGATAATATACGGTACCGGTATTCTTAAAATATCGCGAGACTGCTTCTTTGATAATCCGTGAGATTTCTCATGTACGGGACAGGACATTACTCTTTCTAGAACACCCGATATCACTTTTCATTTTAGGGGTAATGCACATTAAAGATCCCTTGCAGAATTCAATTGCCATTCGGGTAAAATATCCCCCGCGGTAGTCATGCGGTGGCTCTGTGAGTAAGACGTTGATTCGTTAAATGGAGGTCCCGTATTCGATCCCTGCGTTGGCTGGGAAACGTATAGTCGTTCGGATGGGACGAAAAACCGAGGTCCCGTGTACACATTGGCAATCTCTTGGCAGTTGGAACTCGATATGAGTTGATCGAATAGCGTCACTGTCCGGGCAAAATTTCCCTCGTAGCACACTGTATAACGCACATGCCCGTCTTCATTAACCGAGTCCGGGCAGGGGTGAGTGTGGTCGATTGACATAGTGGTTTAACGCGTGTGCGTGAAATTACAAGGTCTATGTGGTGTGGTTTCGAATCCCTGCTTGTACGTTAAGGCCTGGTCCCACTGCACTTACGGATGCAAAGAGGAAGTAAAACGGTGAAAAAAACGTGCCCTCCGTTTGAAAACGCCATGCATTCGTTGTGTACTCATTGCATACGTGTTTCATACGCTCTATCCATCGAGCATCCCTTCACTTTGATTTCATCCGCGCAAAAAGTTTTGAGCTGCACAAAACTTTTATAACGGATGAACTTTCTGCCGTGTACGATGTAAATGTGCGACATATACGAGCACCAAACGTTCCATGTCCGTTATCATCCGTTAAACGTCCACTGTATCCTCTCTGCATCCTTTGGGCATCCTCGCAACTCACATCCGCTCCAGTTGAAAACGGAAAGAGGGAAGAAAGATAAGGTACATGTAACGTCTATACATCGTTAGTAGCACGGAAATAGAAAGGATGTAAGCGTATACATCTCGGACAAAGCGTTTGTATCTGGTATAATATTGAAGGATGTCTGGAGTTTGCCTTACCCCTTCGGAGCTGTCATCAACTTCCATCAGCTTTCATCCGTTAGGCTTCCGATGAACATCCATTTAACATCCCCGCTACATACTTCCCACGTTCGTTCTTTTCCGTTTTCGCAAATTTTCGTCAATTTTGTCAATTTCTGGAGCGGATGAAAACGGATGGAGCCACCCCCGAAAGTTTGCTCGTCCGCTGTGTGCTTTTTGCATACGTTGTTTTGTGTCCAGTACCGTTGTGTACTCATTGCATACGTGTTTCATACGCGCAAGCGAATTATTGAAATAAAATTGAACCACGTGTTAATCTCGAAATGACCTAGTTTGTGTCAAATGGGCGCTAAACGCTCATTCATTCAATCATTTGTATTACAGACTAGCAATGTGTGGCTTAACGCCCGAACGCGCCATCGGCCGCCATGAACAGGTATCACGTGATATAATGCGTTCAAGCTTGGATGTATTGTAAAGTAATATTGTTTTGTGTTTGTTGACGTTAAATCTGTATTATGGTATGTTAATAATTAAAAGGTAGAGACAACAATAATTGGTTTATTACGGTCTATAGTGGATAATCGAATATATTACAGGTAAATATTGCGAAGTCACAGTATATCAATGTAAACATTGAAACATTCAACAGTGTGAGTGAGAGTATGAGACAGACTGGGTAGACTGATGTCTTCTTTTAAAATTCTCCATTCGCTGTACGTATAGTCAAGTGATTGCATGGAACATTGTGTACATTGTAAATACCACCAATCATTTCAATATAATGCACTGGTGGATTATAAAGGCATTGGATATTACGGTACATAGAATATAATAAGGAAACATTGTTGTGTTGTGGTATTTAGGATATGGCCGGTAGTTGAACCATATACGCGAGCGCCATCTACATTTGAGTTTTACGCGTTAATGGTAAAAGAAATGAAATAAAATGAAATGGAGTTTAATACACCTTGCAGTGTTCTATGAGGGAAATTTTGCCGGGACAGCGGCACTACGACCAACTCTTACTTCGAATTCAAATATGTACACGGGACCGCGGATTTTATCCCATCTGAACGACTATGCCAGGCCTCCGTCCAGTAACCCTGACAAGGGGAACCACGACGGAAAATCAGATGAACTCCCTACTCACTGAGCTGCCGTGGATTCTGATGGTAAGAGTTTTGCGATCAATCGAAGTATTGTTTTGATATTTTTTCCAAATGGTTCAAAACATCAAGATATTGCATGTTATCATATTCTTATTAGTTTTAAAAGTCCATCTAATCCATATTAATCGTTTTTCTTATTAATTTTTTAATATAATTATTTGGAAATTTGTATAGTCTATTCCAGTACTTAATTCTATAACATTTTTGGGTTGGTTTTTTTTTTGAAGTAGCCTATTAAAAAAATGAATAAAGGTGTTTGAAGTATATCTGGATAAAAAAGATTTCCTATTTAGTGTAAATATATAAAATGAGTAAAAGGCATCATTCTGCCCGGACCAGTTTACGTTATGTAAACAATGAGTGCGCCATCCAGCCAATGATCAACGCCGCATGATTTGACGTCACATATAGAAGGTATTTGAATTTATAAAAGTCCGCGACTTTATACAGACTTATAAGAAGGCTTTCGCGTTTACCTCTGTTAAACGGATTGAAAAAGTAGGCGGAAACACAACTGTCCGCCGGCAACACCGGGATCGAACCCGGGACCTCCCGGTTGTATATAGCTAGTATTTGTTGTAAACGTCTATAATTTATTATATAAATAGCCTATCATGTAAAATAACATTGTTATTTTATTCAATCATTTTTTAAGGAATGGCTGAAGCATTTCCGCCCGATGACAAACCGAAGTCCAGCGAAGATGATGGAGAAACGAAACCGGAAGAAAACGGCGAAACAAGCACCTCGGCAGACGGCGATGAAGAAACTAGGGAAAAACACTTCTGTAACGTTCACACAACAGAAGAGTTATGTCGGTACTGTAGAGATTGTCAGAAAACTTTGTGTATGAAATGCTTAGCAGATGAACACCGAGAACCAAATCACTGGGTCCAAACACTGGAAGAGGTCGAACCGTGGGCTAGGCAGAGATTGAGAGATCATATTGGACAGATGAAAGCAAAGACGGAAGAATTGGAAGTGTATAAAGCACAACTGCAAAAACGACAAGACGATTTGGATAAATGGAAGGAGGAAGCCTGTGCTCAGGTTGATAGAGACGTTGAAAATATTATATCTATGGTCAAACAAGCACGAGATGAAGCTGTTAAACGATATTATCTCAAACAATTACAAGAAGCTCTGAATAGCCGTGAAGATGATGTAAAAGAGCCAGATTTAGATTAGCGAAAACAAACTTTCAAAAAATCCCCGCCCCCCTTTTAGCAACACTATATACATTTATAAACACTCCGCTGACTTGCAAAATTTTCTCTCATAGCGCACTGCAACTGCCAAGCTCTCATTTTAAAAAATTGAAAGCGGTTGTCAGTTGTGCAGGACGTATAGGACCCTAGTTCATTTGATTCCATTTGATTATGAACGTTAAACCATACCTATTCTTAATCAAGGAGCAGTTTGGTCTAGATAACTTCATTCTATACTTTCACTTTATAAATAATAATTAGAAAAATAACCAACCACGCAGTCACATAAATTCCTCCATCGAGTATCTGGTATTTCAATCCAATTGTTACAGCAATTAATAATACTGATTAAGTGTCTGTTGATCATCTATAATTTATACAAATTTGGTCAGTATCGGAGTATTTTGACGGAGAACTCCCATATTACTTGTACCCAGTCGCAACGCTTTGGATAGAGCCAATAAATGGTTGTTTAACACCACCCTTAGACACTGTAATTCAAAAGGTAGGATTGTGCCTTTAAATGTGGAAATGGAAACGATAAAACCCAGACTCTATTTCGTTTCATTTTTTTAATTCAAAATTTCGTTTTACTTGTTTTTATGTAGTGTAGGTTATCGAAAGTATACAAAAAAACGAAACGAAATATAGATCTGTATTTTAATCAGATTGATCTATCTCCAACCTACGCTAGACGAGCCTCTCCAACGCTATTGAGCCTCTCACTTACCACTGCTCTTTTTGCAAGTTTGTCTGCGATATCACCTAGGTGGACGCGGACGTTAAACCCGACATCAAGTGAAGTCAACAAACTCTCATACTTCCAAGAATTCTAATCATTTAGTAACCTATAAATATTAAGGTATATTTTAAGGTAAATCCCCGTTGTTTGTTACATATCATAAAATAAATTTAAGCCATCATTATTAACGTTTTTAGTTCACATCACGCCGAAAGCTAAATCTGTATTAATAAGTAATATTGAAATGTATTTTAGTTATGACATGGACCTTATAATAAGGTCCATGGTTATGATTTCACGGGGCTGAACTTCAATTTTTTAAATTGTAATATATAAATTGTTTCACTAATAATAGTTCATTTCATGCAGAAGCTTAAATCTGTATTAACATTCAAGTATATTTTAGGTGTGATTTCATGGCGCTAGATTTCAGTTTTTTAAATTGTATAAATTTATGAAGTGTTTATTGCTGATACTGGGACTATAATTTGTATAGCTTTTATTGAAATGTTATCGTATATCGTCGACAACGGCCGTCCATCCGTCATTTTGTTTAGCTCCAGAGGCTAGAGTGCCCCCCCCCCTCCGTCCTCTTAATAATTTGTAAAAATGTGTTTATTAGTGTAAATTTTCGCCCCCCCCCCACCCAAGGATCCAGATTTGGTTAAACTGACAATATGAATTTCCTTCCGTCGGGCGTGTCCGATTGTCTTTAATTGTCTTTAAAGCCCGGCCCATACCGCTACGACTACACACAAGCCGACAGGACTCGGCGTCTTGGGTAGTTGTAAAAAAAAATCGGGTCGCGCCTTTACTTCACTTGCCTACGACGGTACCAGTCCACACAGGCCCGACTCTCACAGATTATGCGTCGTGAGTTACGCCACTTCCCTCTAGCGAGTGATTCCAAAAGTAAACCGGAAGCATAAGTTACGACTGCAACCAACTGCATCCGACTACAATTGAACATGTTCAATAGGGCCGACGGTCCCCGACGCGACGGAAATCGATTGAATCGTGGTCGTGGGACTGTCCACACGGCACTGATTATCTGAGACAAGACGTTGCGTTGGGTAGAGTCTGTGCAAGTCGTGGCGGTATGGGCCGGGCTTTACTTCACTTACCTACGACGGTACCCGTCCACACAGGTCCAACTCTCACAGATTATGCGTCATGAGTTACGCCACTTCCCTCTAGCGAGTGATTCCAAAAGTAAACCGGAAGCATAATGCTACTCTCTGATTGGCTAAACATCAGTAAGACAATTGATCGCGTCGTGTGAGTGTCCACACAAACACGATAAGTTACGACTGCATCCGACTACGATTGAACATGTTCAATCGGGCCGACAGGCCACGACGCGACAGAAATCGATTGAATCGTGGTCGTGGGACTGTCCACACTGCACTGATTATCTGAGACAAGACGTTGCGTTGGGTAGTGTCTGGGCAAGTCGTGGCGGTATGGGCCGGGCTTAAGAGTTTATGGTCCTTGATCACGTTGAATAATCTATGGGCACTCCAGAGACTAAAGTCATAACCCGATTGACGTGAAATGTATTCACAGTTGTTAATTCATTACAATGATTACATCTAGAGTTACTGTTCCTTATATTTACACACACAATGTTTATGTTCACTAGATGAAGAAACCGATATAGAATTACTTTGAGTTGTTGCCTTTGGCGTTCATAAGATGAACAAATCTATACATTGTAAATTGTTTTGTATACCAACTCCTAGCATCAGGATGAACTATAGTTATTTAATGGGGTCCTATTACCTACAAATAATAAATATGCAAAAATTCGTGTGGACTATACACGGACGACTTAGCTGCCGTGGGCGTATGTTTCCCTAATTTTAAATCAATTCAGATATACCTTTTTTAATTAAAAAAATTATTTTATGAATTACTTACCGTGAAAATTTATCAGCCAAGGTTTGGGAGATGAAAAGGGGAACGTTGCAGTTTGAACTCCCATCCATGAACTTATTATTTTAAATAATTTAAATGAAATTAATTGTAAATATATTCTATTGATTATTTGTGTTTCTGTTGTGCTAACAAGACGGTTAATATTTCCAGCTCAAATGTTGGACGATTTTATTTTTTTTAAAACGAGAGTCGCTCCACGTTTGTGGGTCGTTGAAAGGAGAAGATTTTGATAATGTATTATACTTTGTTGACGTCATGCTCTCATTAATGGACATCTTGATGCCAGAGGCGGGCAGGTCATTTTCTAATCGGATTTAGGCCATTATATTTTTCATTGGATGTACGAGTTGATGCAACAAACATCTTAATATCTTATCTTACCTGAATAGTTTAAAATATTTCCGATAAACGTATTACGTATTGTCACAATTATATTTTATTGATGTAAAAATATTGTCAATGTGTTATCTATAATAGGTGTAATTTTGAAATATTAAAATGAATTGTTAAATAAAACTTATATTTTCGTTAAAGAGTTATTTAGTTTGAGAGGGCGAGGTTAGATCATAAGGTCTGTCATTGATTCAAGTGAAGTTGAATTAAAGTGAAAAGGAGAATGATCGCTCCTTACCTCGTGGGTTTTCCCCGGGCCCTATGCGCAAGCTGATTTATTGAAATGACCTAGTGGACGATAAAACTATACCCCGCCCCTTCTCTTTAAATATGGACTTTTGATGAAAAACTCACGAAACCCGCATTCTTCATAATAATCTATACTAATATTTGTGACGTTTGTCTGTCTGTTCGGGGTTGGCGGCTACACTATATCTGCCCCGAGTCTGAAATTTGGGGTATAGGGGTAGCTCGGACCGGGGAGTAACATAGGCCAGGCTACCACTTCCGGTTTCGGGGTTATGACCCCCGAGCGAAGCCGGGCATTCTTTTAGTGTTTTTATAAAGCCGAATACATCTCCAAGACTCAGAAGTAAATTTTATAAACAAAAGTCTAATATATACCTTAATGGATACCTTTTGGTTTCATATAGCTATTGTCACTTGTGACTTAGACACATTCCTTGTCACTTGTGACTTAGACACATTCCTTGTCACGCCCTAATATTGGTTCACAATCTAGACCCAATATTAAGAATATAATGTCCATAAAATGTAAGCATTCATTGCCAAAGTTTATTGCTGCAATCTGGTGTGGTGCATTTTTGTGACCAATTGGACTGACTGGGGGTTAGGGGGATGGGTTTAACGTCCACACGAAACAAACTAGGTCATTTCGGGACTAGGATATAGTTCAATTTTATTTTAATAATATGCTTGCGAATAGGGGTCTTTAGGAGTTGGGGGGGGGGGCAGAGGACACAGGAATTGAAAACACGTCATTTCATTTGACTCAATGGCAGTCCTTGTGATGCAACGCGCACGCGTTAAACATTCGGCCAACCACCCCCACCCGGCTGAGATATATCTTACTCCCTGATGGAATTAGTAATCTGAAATTTGACACAAAATTGAAAACATATTTATTGATATTTTGAAGTAATATGGGGCTTAACGTTCTTTTTCCTTCACCATACTTAGCAAATGAAGACAGATATATGATATGCTAATTTAAATAATGTATATAATTTCATACAGATCAGCTGATGGTAACTTTTAGTTGTTAGAACGTTCACATGGTTTAACAAAGTGAAACAAGGGGCATAACTCCAGAAGAAATTAACGGAAATAATTAAAATTAAATAGGCTTCATGTCACTAATGTAAATACGATTGGTTTACTAACTGATGATGGAACACTGACAGTTGGGTCAATGATTGACTAGTCATTTAGGTCAGTGATTGTTGTCCCATTTTGGTCAATGACTGCTGGGTCACAGATAGATTGGTCTGTGTCTGTAGGATTTGTCTCCTCAGCATCATCATCGTGAATATCTAACAATTCTACAAAATAAAGTATAGAATGAACTTTTAACAATTCTATATAAAATATATAATAAATTTAGACGAGACAGTTGTGTGCCTGTCCCAAGTATCAATATCATTAAAATATTGTCTCCCCTTTGACTACAACCATGTACGCATTTGAAAAGACTATGTTAAACTCGCGTACTATAAGCTACAACCATTGGTTGCCATGCAAGCTTCATGTACGCCCGCATTTTGCAAGAGACAGAGAACAAGGTTAAAAAAAAGTGCAATTTTTTTTTTGTACAACCAGGGCCAATATGCAGGAAGTGATGGTCCGATACATGCCAATATTGAAAAGAACCAAGATCTTTGGGATATAAACCTATATTTTAAGTTTCGTAAAAATCGGATAAACAATTTGACGTCTAGAGTTTCAACAACATTGGTATTACATACTTTTACACTATTAAATTTGTCTACGAGTAGCGACCATTTTGTATAGCAGTTTCGTCCGATTTTTCACGAAATTCGAACTCAACCGTCATTAAGGTGTAACGGTGATATATTTAAACAATTTTGTAAATTGAGTAAAAGTTGTGAACTCTAGAGGATCCAGAAGTTAAAAACTCTATTTTTCGTACAATCAGTGGCCATAATCCAGGCAGTTACGGCCCAATATTGGCGAATATCTTTGAGATGTAAACATACATTTCATGTCTCATCACAATCAGATAAAAACATGAATTTTCGTACAATCAGGCTCCATAAGCCATAAGTTATGGTCCGATACATGCCAATATCGCAAGGAACCAAGATCTCTGTAAATTCCGTGTAAATCGGATAAAAATTGTCACATAGATGGTCTACAAACAAATTGCGAACGGATGGACAGGGGCGACGACAGTATGCGTGTACATAAAATGTGGGCGTATAAAACTAGAGCATCGCTAACGCTGCAATGACTGTAACATGACAAGAGACAAGTGGTCATGTACCAAAATCAATAGTTGCAGTCCTTAGGGTATAAGGAATAAGTATACCAAGTTCCAAGATAAACACATAAATTGGGCGTGGCTCTGCCCCTGGGGATCGGGACATGCACCATAATCAATAGTTGCCACCCTTAAACTATAAGGTATACATATGCCAAGTTCCAAGCTGATCCATTTAGAATTGCGGCCTGTATACGATAAACATAAAAATTAAGTGTGCCTCTGCCCCTGGGGGCCGGGGCACGTACCAAAATTAATAGTTGCCGTCCTTAGGCTATAAGGAATATTTATGCCAAGTTCCAAGACGATCCATTAAGAATTGTGACCTGTAGGCAATACACAAAGAAAACATGGGTGTGGCTCTGTCCCTGGGGGTCAGGCATTCGCCAAAAAAACAATAGGATTCATCCTTAGTGTATAAGGAATAGGTATGCAAAGTTTCAAAAGGGTCTGTTAATAATTGCGGCCTGTAGGCGAAACACAGACACACACAAAAATTGGGCGTGGCTCTCTTCTAGGGGGTTGGCCATGCACCAAAAATATAAGAGGTCATCCTTAGGGCATAAGGAATAAGCATGAAAAGTTTTCAAGAGAATCGATTAAGAATTGCGGCCTGTAGGCGACACATAGACACACAAAAAGAAAATGGGCATGGCTCTGACCCTGGAGGTGGGCATGCACCACAAACAAATAGGGATGTTCCTTAGGGCATAAGGAATAAGTATGCAAAGTTTCAAGATGATACGTTAAGAAATGCGGCCTGTAGACGACAAACAAACAAATACAAGAAATGGGCGTAATTTCGAGACTAACATATGGCTCAATTTTATTTCAATAATTCGTTTGCGCGTAGGGGTCTTTAGCAGCGGGAGGAAACCGGAGGACCCGGAGAAACTCCACGAGGTTGAACAGGCGAACATAATCCTTGTGACCACGCCACTTGACTTAATAACAGACCTTCTAATCCAACACGTACGCGTTAACCAATCGGCCATCCAACACCCTATGAACAACTGAAGTATCAATCGTTGATTAATTTAAAGTGCGACATAAACAAAAAAAGAACAACTCATAGATTAATTTAACGCGTGACATATTAACAACTATATGACCAGACGTAGATTAATTTAACGTGTGACATATGAATATCAATATGATCAGTTCTAGATTAATGTAACGTGCGACATAGGAACAACTACATGTATACAGTCTTAAGACCAACTAGAAATCAGCCAGATTTCTTCAAGTTTGGGAATGTGACCTCAAAGATTTGTTGAAGAGAATCCTGTCATCAACCTCTCAAAGACAATAAATTGTAGCCCAATTATTATCTATTCAGATGGTGTATTGTATAAGTGTCATATTACACTGCTCTATATTTAGAATGTAAAACTAAAGCTAGATGGGTTTGGAATCAGATTCTATGAAATTTGAATAAGAGAATAAGAAAAACTAATCAAATTAAACACAGAAATAAACAATTTAATAACAATTTAATAAAATTAAAAAAAATTGATTCAAATATTACATAATGTAATAATAAGCTTATTAATTTGATGTAATATCTACAGCAGCTTGTCTAAGCCAGGGTATAAAATATCTTTCATTATTTTACTCATATACTTTGATATTGACCAATTTGATGTTAACCAATTAAATGATTTTGGAACTTTTTCTTGGGGAGATAAATATTCATAAGTAAAACAAGGGTTGTTGAGCACATTACGATTGTATAACTCTTGCCAATTATATATTGATTTCTATAGAAAGGGGTCAATATCGAAATATTAATGGCCTATTGATCCATCGTACAATACTATTTACGAACTTATCAATTATCAGTAAAAGAAAATTTGATCCAAAATTATCTATTTTGGTGCAAAAATATGAACATTTACTGATTATTTACATACAGGGAAAAGGTCACCCCAAAACAATCTACATGTATTTGTTATTTAAAAGAGCTAAATCGCTAATATTTAGGACCTAGAAATTGACACAAATGGTTCGCAACACAAATAATAATGTAATATGAATGTACATAAACTGATTTAGTATTTATTGCGCATGCTCTCCAGATAGGAATATGACGTAACCGTTTGAGTTACTTGTGGAATATATCTAGCCCCGTCCTTAAAGGCATTCGTGAACCAATGGTAAAATGTTTATTTTGTCTTACAATCTTATGGAAGCCTACAACTACCATTCATAATTTCTACTTTTCGCCCCTTCAAAACACAAAAGTCGAAAAGTGACCTTGAAAGTAGAGACTACATCAACTTCTGAGGCGAAAAGACAACAGTACGACAGCAAGCCAAAATCAAAGGTCGCTAATTTTGTTAACGCGAATTTATTGTCAATGTCAACAAAACAGTACACCTTTAATAATGTATTATAACAATATTACCTATATTCTCTGTCACCACAGAGTTCTTGATGTGGAAAGTTACAGGGAAATATTTATTTATGGCTAGAAATATTTCCGTGTAAATTTCCACATCTTTCTTATCTAAATTAGATCCTGCTTATATATATATGTAATTTAGATAAGAAAGATATGATATCATATCCCTAGCCATAAATAATTATTTCCGTGTACATTTCCACATCAAGAACTCG